AATTGTATATAATAATTTCCAAAGTAAAATTTGCATATTTAATATAAATAAATTATAGTGCTTTTTAAATCATAATTTTCTGCACTAACTGTGTCCTTCGGTTTGTTGGGTTTATTTGAAAAACTTGAACAAATTTTCATGTTAAACATTCATAAGATTTGTATCTCACTTTTATGACTGGAAATGTGAATTCAAATTTAGAACTATATTACATACGCATATGTATCAAATGTTAACGATGCGTACATAAATGAAAATGAATATTTAAATTAATGCAATTAATTTCCAAGTGAAATAGCTCCTCCGCACTTTTAACTCGTCATTCAATTCTTGAGTTACGTGTAGGATTTTGAGACAGAGGAAAGCAAACATTTGGCAAAAATTTAATGACGCTACCCAGTCAACTGACCTTATCGCATCCACATCACTACTGTGCGAAGACCATGGCATTCCTTTCAATTTAAATTCGTGTGTGTCAGAATGTTCGGATTCATTCCGAAGACCTTGCGCCCACCCGGAACTAATTGCTGAACGAATGGTGCCAACGATACCGTTCGGAGTGGATGGGACGCCACCCACGCGGATCGCACTACTCTGGGCGAACTGGACCCAACACATTAACAATGGCTGAGGAATACCATGAACTGCCATGTTTACACACGAATAAAATATTTTTCGGCTAAAGTTGGAGATTCGTTTTTAAAAATTATTATGAAATTGTTCCCAAATGTTTTTGAAGGTCGTTGTTTTTAAGACTTGCACTTTACTGAAAGGTTTTGGTATTTAGTTTTAATGTTGGTGTATTTGTACATAGTGCATAAATGGATAGTTTATTCCAGATGAACTTTTACAAATTATGTACATATTTAAATTCGATATTCGTAAATAAATATGTAGACAGTACTGATTTGTGGTAAAAATTGAAAACTGTGATTTTATAGGTGGCTGAATAATAGCAGCTGTTTCACAATACAAGCTGGGAACGTTGATTATTCTACAAGAAATGACCCGGGTAGTAATAATACGGGTAGTGTATGTAATACCGGTCGTTTCTCTCCCAATGTGGGATTTATCTATGTAACTCGATGGACAGCGACTTGTTGAGTGAGCCACAAGTACAACTGCCCAAGTTTTCTATTCGATTATGAAAATAAAGACAACATGAAAACTATAAGTATTTATTGTTAGTATGTAGAGAACAAGGAATCATACTGTTTGTGAACATTATCATTTCGTACCTAACAATTGCAAGGAATTTTCAGCAAATTTATTTCCATAACAAAAAGCTGTGATACTTATAAGTTGCTGCATGCAGAATTGTCATAAGTTTTAACTGAATTACTCTTAGTGCTCATCTTTATAACAAATCATATACATAAGTTTTTCAATTTAGTTGAACTGCAAATATGTACATAAGTACAAGTTCAGGTACATATGTATGTATGTATATTTGTGTTTGCGTTAAATTATGTACACGCAATATTTTCTCGTAGCGTCCGTACGTAAGATATGTAAGATATGTAGTTGATATTGACAACATTTGGGGTTTTCACGACGAGCTGCATTAATATGTAGATATGTTCTTCCAGGCTTATTTTTCCATTTTTTTCATTAAATTTTAACCAATTACTCGTCGAACATCACGCGATATAATTTTGTAGAACTCCCACGCTTAACAATCTATCTTAAACTTGTATTTAAAATTACGACATTTTTTGTATGCGTTCACGAGAAGTTGATTAGAACACGAGGGATGTTTCCGAACTATTTATGGGCGAAAGTTGAAGTCAAAGTCCAACGCAATTACTTATGTTACACTATTGATTTTTCGCCTACATCACTTTCACCGGAACTTGTTGCTTGAGCGATTGGTGCAGTAAAAAGAGTTATAATTGAGTTTAGTTACGCCCTAAACATACAATAATGTGACAATTTTAAGCTTTCAGCCACAAGGAAGGCAGACGAATAAGTATCTGACACATCAGTCGACCGATTCTAGCAATGTTGATGGTAAATTTCCTAGCGTAAAACCATTTTTCAAGCAATATGTAATAGCACATCATGGAAGCTCTAAATCTGTCTGGAGTTGAAATCAAGATTGTGGGAGTGGTAAGTATATATGTTAGTGTGAGATGGGTGAATACATATCCATGTATGTGATTTATTTAGAATGAGAAAGGCCTGGGGAGCATTTCGAGATTGACCAGCGATCCAACTGCCATCAATTTCAATGCGGTCGTACATTTAATTCTGGAGTTGCAGTTCATGATGAACTTCAAGTAAGTAAATATTTAGCATAATTTTTTACAGATCACGTTTCTTTCATAACATAATTTTAGTGTCCCGATTGTGGTTGATTATTTGTAGGCTTAAAGTTATCGAAGTTGATGACTACTTCCCAGAAAGTTATTTCGTTTTCAACGAGACAAACTCCAGCTTGGCGTATCAACTAATTACTGGAAAATCTGATATCGCAATTGGCTACTTGTACCATGTGCTTCCCCGCTTAAAATATGGACACCCGATTATACCTTTTTTTACGGAAGAGTGAGATTTGTGCTACATATCGGCCAAACTACTTTAGAAATTTTAACATGTTCAATTTATGTATCCTTAAATATTTAGGATCCATGCCTTCTTCCAGCAACCTCGGAACCTTATGGAACAGAAGAACGTATACACAAAACCGTACAAGCTCGATGTCGCCATTGGCACGGCGTTAATATTGATTTCGATGGGAATATTGGCAGAATTCTCACAATCCCACAGAAATATAAAGCCTGGCCTTGCCCTTTTGTTCTTCAAGGTTTCGAGGGGCTTTGGATGGGCTGTTTCGACTTTGTCGCGACAAAGTTATATAGCAAAACTGTTTGAGCTTGCAAAAATTACTGTAATTTTATTCATAATTGTGCTTTGCTTTGCTAGGCTACAATCATGACTGGGCGATTCGGCTGGATTACATAAAGCTTATGCTCTTCTCAGGAATGTTGTTATCATTTGCTTTAAATTCATACTACTCTGCCGCAATTCTCTCTTACTTCACTACGGATGAGGAAATAATTCGCAAATTTGCACACCTAGTTCCGGCAGGATTCAGCATTGATGCCTTTACAAGTATCAGGACTACGTTTCCCAGCGATTCGGAAAATGTAGGGAACGTAAAGTGTCGTTCGTAACGTTACAATAAATAATTACATTTCTTACAGAATACTTTAATCAATTTCCGCGGAGTCGACTACCTGACGTCTGTCGAGTTAGTGTATGAAGGAAATCATGCTCACTTGGACAATTCTGACTCTTTTTTTGAATATTCAATCCAACTGGGAAAAACCGTTGGAGAAATTTGCACCGTTTCAAGAGTTCATTTTAACGGGAGACATTTGCATAGCGGTTTTTATTGTAGGTTCGAATTTGACCATAAGGAAAAATTTGCGATAGGGTATGTACATACATATCTTGGCACGATGTGGTGCCAATTTTTATAGCTAAATGCATGAACATGAGCGGCTGAAGTTGGGGGACATTATCATTGTGGGTGTGGGATAGGGGAGGCAGGGACTTATTAACAAGGACAAAATAGGATTTTGCTGAATTTCTGGGGGATAATGTACCCCTGTCCCCAGGTGGCCCGACCAATGTGCAAAGACATTTGTGCAAACGATAAATGTGCAACCTGACAAATGTGCAGCCCGATAAATGTGCAAACGATAAATGTGCAACCGATAAATATGCAGGAATTTTTCCAACAAATGGTGCAATATATCTTGATATAATTTAAACATAAAATCAAATTACATCTCCTCAAAAACTAAAATTTGAAACATTAATTTTGTGGTGGCATCCCGTATGATGTCTGTTGAAGCTGTAGATCTTATATTGAGCAGTATTAATTTATTGTTAACTTAATATTTTACTAAATTATATTTTTATGGTGCATAAATTTCCTGGTACATACATCTTCGTGAATTCGTGAATTTTAGCCTATCGTATAGGCTGGAATTATGTACATATAAAAATTCTAAATTTCAATGAAATAATTCGGGATTTACTTATTTGCTGTTATTTTAAATTCTGTCCCCGCGGGGTGTCCCTAACTAAAGTTTAATTGTCACTAGCTAAATTTAGCATTACAGTGATTCGGCACGGGAATTTTATTATAAAATTGACAGGGGTCAACCCCGTTATAATGATGATTAGTAATATTTAATAAGTATAAAATCTGCATTATAAGATCTCCAGCTTCATAAGCTTCACCACAAAATTAATGTTTCAGAATTCTTAGTTTTTTGATAAGATGTAATTTGATTTGAAGTGTAAATTATATCAAGATATATTGCACTATTTGTTGGAAAAATTCCTGCACATTTATCGGTTGCACATTTATCGTTTGCACATTTATCGGGCTGCACATTTGTCAGGTTGCACATTTATCGTTTGCACAAATGTCTTTGCACATTAGTCGTTTGCACATTTGTCTTTGCACATTTGTCACCCCATCCTGTCCCCATGCTTCCGCCGCCAATATGAACGAATATGTAAACATATTTAATATTCAGGAGCCTAAAACTTCACGAAACTGGGATAACTGGAAGGTATTTGAGGAGGGAGGCGAAAGCTGCGACCATTACGTGCACCTCGAGAAGGAGACAGTATCATGACCACCTGGGTTTGAAAGAAGTCTGGATTTTGTTCAAGTTCTACATTGGAGCCATAATTATAACCTTTTTCCTACTAATAATGGAATACCATAAGTGAACCTTGGAAGTTTTTATGTACTTTCAGGAAGACGATCCAACAATAAGTAAAATATATTTTAGACGAATGCATATTATGCCGATTTCATTTATTTACTTCTCTCTCATTTACATGAAAGCACACGTACAAAATATGTATATTCATACGTATTTACATATAAATATTACTTTAACCCCTTACAGTGAAATTCCTTCCGTTCTAACCTTTTGTTAATAATTCCGAGTCGGGGTTACCAAGTTCAGCCATTCAGGTAGCCTGGCGTCAAGTCGCGACTGACACAGACCCCTAAATATGAATATTAGAGAGTTGCAAAAGCCAATATATCTACATATGTACTTTGTCACCCTGGGATAAAAATTAAAGTCACAACGAATACCATAAAAAGATATAGGAAAGGTAAAAATTGAACATTTCAACTCGCCACATCCTCAACTTCTGGTTCTCACCTCTAGGAAGAAGTCCCACTCCTTTTTCAGTCCTCATTCGAGTTTTACCTTACAACAAATAAAATCAATCTAACAATTTAATACAAATTCTGTTAAACAATTTCCAAAAAAAATTTCGAAATGTCGACCCCATCACTATTCGTCGGCTTAATGTTATTCTTGTCGGTGACAACAATCAGTGCTATAACGGTTACAGTAAATAAAGACGGCAATTTCAGTGGTACATATTTAGAAAAGAAGTTTTGTTTTTAATCCAGGAAAAAATTAATATTTAAATGCCAAAATTATTTACCACAGGTCAAGAGTTTTCTTTCGAGTTAGCACCGGGGGCTTGTGCCGCCCTACCGAACGACTGGGTCAACACGGTGAGCTCGCTGGGTCATTCGGGTTGCGTGAATGCCTGCCCGGGTCGTGGTTGTGAAGGTCAACTGTCCTGTGTCAGATTTGAAGGAGCTGGGAATCTCGATTTCTCCAACACTGCCTTCAACGATCAGTTCAATTCTTTTTTCGCGTGTTAAAGGTGACAGGAATTTCATCAAGCTGTTATGTAAATACATGCAACGTATTTATGTTATGGGACAGTATACATTTTCTTAAATGATGACTTTGTTAATTTAAATCTCGAAATAAAATTTAAAATGGGGCAAGTTATGCCAATTTGAAAGTTTTGATACACACACATTTGTTAACAAGTATGACAATCGGGAATCGTAAAAATTGGTAACCCATCGAATTTGAGTTCTATGGTGGTAGCATTTGTCGTTTTTAATTTGTTAGAGTTTAATATAAGTTGACCATTATAGAAATTGTACAAGTGTGCATATGCGGGTAAAAGTAACCAAGTACGTGATGCGAAGCCAGGAACAAAGCCAAAACCGTAGATATATGTAGTTCCTTGGCCAAAACTTCAAGACCAAGTCCATAGAAATTGCATATCGCACATCTTAATCATTAAGGCCTTTTTGGATGACGCCATTCCTTCCACCCCTGTTCAACAGTAGACTCTCCTTGCCCCATAAGCATACATGGAAAATTAAAAAATGGCTTTAATTGACATCATCTCATTCATTTTTGCAGGAAATTAAATTTTAATCACTGTTTTGAAAACCTAATTTTCAGCTTAACAAACAAGTCAATTTCGTTTTTAAAAATTTTCAAATTTCACAGAGATGGAACTGTGCATCTCTATAAAGTTTGAAAATTTTTAAAAACGAAATTGACTCGTTTGTTAAGCTGAAAATTAGGTTTTCAAAACAGTAATTAAAATTTAATTTCCTGCAAAAATGAATGAGATGATGTCAATTAAAGCCATTTTTTATCAATTTTTGCCCAAAAATGGGGCAAAGTGGAACACCAAAAGACGTGGCAAATGTAGTTGTCTTTTCTTCTGTTTATTCTTAACCACTTTTCACCATCAACTCATTCAGCTTATCACCAAGCTACTATCCACTAGTTTATCAACCAATCTCTCTCCAACGCCTTACCAGCAGGTTACGAGCCATTCTGCACCCCTTCAGCTTATCATTTTGGGTGAGTCACCACCACCATTTTAGCATGTTTTCGACTTATAAATTACCATTATAAATTGTATCATTTGCAGGAACAGAGCCCAATTATCAACCAATCTCTCTCCACCTCCTTACCAGCAGGTTACGAGCCATTCTGCACCCCTGCAGCTTATCATTTTGTGTGAGTCACCACCACGATTTTAGCATGTTTTCGACTTATAAATTACCCTTGTAAATTGTATCATTTGCAGGAACACAGTCCAATTATCAACCAATCTCTCTCCACCTCCTTACCAGCAGGTTACGAGACATTCTGCACCCCTGCAGCTTATCATTTTGTGTGAGTCACCACCACGATTTTAGCATGTTTTCGACTTATAAATTACCCTTGTAAATTGTATCAAATGCAAATGCTGTTGGCTATGATGCAATGAATCAATAATCATTATTACACAGTGGTATTTATTTCATAAAATAAACAAACAACTACATATCCATAAGGAGCTGGTCCTCTTGCTCCTGACTGAGATCGAGAGGAGGACTGAGTGCCTGTTGTTGTTGTTGTTGCTGCTGAATTTCTGGAAGCGGTGGGGGCTGATGCGAGGTTTCAGCAACCCTTGGAGGAGCACCTCGCTCCAACTCCTCTAGGCGCCGCGTCAGGGTCCGTTATACGTGGAGCAGCTAGTCTTGCACCAAAACCACGGAATCCTCCGAAACCACGACCCCTTCCGTACCCACGCCCATTTGCAGGATGGCTCCCTCCTTCACCTCGGTGCCTTTGCCGTTGCCGAGATCCTTGGCCTGGTCGGCGCCTTGCTCCCCGCCGCCCTCCTCTCCAGCCTTCATAAATGATGAAAGACACCATTGTCGATAAGCTGAAGGGGTGCAGAATGGCTCGTAACCTGCTGGTAAGGAGATGGAGAGAGATTGGTTGATAATTGGACTGTGTTCCTGCAAATGATACAATTTACAAGGGTAATTTATAAGTCGAAAACATGCTAAAATCGTGGTGGTGACTCACACAAAATGACAAGCTGAAGAAGTGCAGAATGGCTCGTAACCTGCTGGTAAGGCGGTGGAGAGAGATTGGTTGATAATTGAGCTGTGCTCCTGCAAAGTATACAATTTACAATGGTAACTTACAAGTCGAAAACATGCTAAAATGGTGGTGGTGACTCACACAAAATGATAAGCTGCAGGGGTGCAGAATGGCTCGTAACCTGCTGGCAAGGAGGTGGAGAGAGATTGGTTGATACTTCGCTGGAAACTCAACTCCTGCAAATTATACAATTTACAACGGGTAATGGATAAGTCGAGAAATGTTTCGTCGAAAACATGCGAAATGGTGGTTGTGACTCACACGAATGATAAGCTGAAGGGATGCAGAATGGCTCGTAACCTGTGTGCTGGTAAGTCGGTGGAGAGAGATTAGTTGAGTGGGCAAGAGACTGGATTTTAATTTTCCCGTCGATTTTGGAGGAAGGGTCTACTTTATTTGGGGGTGTGGGGCATTGTTTTACATGCACCGTTCAACGTTTTGTAAGAGGCCCCTTAAGCTTTAATGTAATTTAGGATTCCTAAATAAGCATAAAGTTTACAGAACGAGAGTGCAGGGTCTCAGGTTGACTCGTACATATTTCGTACGTGAGAACGAAAGCAGAGGCAGAGAAGGAAATACTCACACTTTTTGCTCTTCATTCATCTGTCGTAGTTTGGTTGGGCTGGCGGGAACACGTTTTTCATCCTCAACGTTGCCGAAAAGTACGCACTTTTTCAGTCCAGCATAGTTTTTCTATTGAAACGCCGTAGTGAAATAAAAGGCTTCATAATGTACTAGTTCCAGTCCAGTCATTCGTAGAAATAGTGCCGGTACGAAAGGAATTAATGGAACTCTAAATAAATAGTGATTTTATAGCAATTGGAACTTTATTTACGAGAGTTTCTGACAAGTGAGTGACAGTAGAGTTTAGTTAAATTTAGACATAATGATTGATTTTAGTGGTGATTTCATAAATTTAAGAGCAAAATATATTTTCAGGTTTCACGTGAAGAAGACATTCGTTGTTGGAAAGGAGGATAATTGAGAGTCAAAATTTGTTCCTGGGAATTTGAGACATTCAGTAAGTCAATAGTGAATGCGAGATAGTGTATGAATGAATAAATTTTGATAAGGAATGAAGTATGGAATTTCATTCAACAACAAATTTGAGGTTTATCAATCTTGCCACATTCTTTCATAAGTTCCTCTTCTCCAAGTATTTAGTCTTCTTATACGAAGTAGCATTCCTTATCTCGTTAAGATTAGTTTAAGCCATAAAATCCTAAAATCAGATAAATGACGAGTAGACATTGAATTGAAGAATTTCCCTCATGTATCCATTTTGGTGTAAACTAATAAGGTTTTGAAATTATTCAGGTTTTTAAACATCTCACAATGAAACATCCGCCATCCCCGATTAAAAACTCGTTGAAGACGATAATCAAGACTCCAGTCACCAGGGCTTCGCAACCATCTTCCGCCCAAGCAGTATCTGAACCAGTGACGCCCACTCCAAGTATTGCCCCCTCAATTCCGTCGTCGGCGCAATCTATTGAAGAGAAGCGAGTTTTAATAAGGAAGTAACTCGTCATCCTACTTCATGCGATTGTCTGCCGGCGCCGAGACCATCGGAACAGAATCAGGAATCCGACAACCTCATCCCCGGTACAAAATTTGAACCTAATTATGCACACAAAATAAAATGGCTTACAACGATTTTAATTGCATTAATTTATTTCTCATCGTTGTCTTTTCAGCCGTGCCATGTTCCTTTCTGTGAACTCATGAAGACTACTCAAGTTCACCTGAACGCTTGTAAGGAGGGAGAAGCGTGCAGATATAATCACTGCGCTTCGTCAAGACAGATCTTGATGCACTGGAAATATTGCAGAAGAGCTGACTGTCCCGTTTGCGTATCCCTAAGGAGAGCTATTCCAACAAGCTTACTTCAGATCTTTCCGAATCCGCTGTGTCGAGCGGAAGTGATGCAAAGGGTCGCCAGACAGCAGCAAAATGCCAATCACGGAGAAGACCAAGCGGTCCCTGAACTTATGGAGTCTGAGGAATGATCATCATAACTGAATTTACCGTTCCTGTATTTATTTACAAAAAGTGATTTATTTTTTGTGTACATATAAATATCCACAATTCTTTACCACTTTTCTGACACGAAATTTCCCAGTTTTTGTTGAAAATGCTTTAAAATCCAATTATAGTAGCGTTATGAATTATATTTGCTGTTGTAGTCAAGTTTTCGACAAATTTAATTTTCCTTTATTTATTGATTCAGTTTTGAAAACGATTGGTTAAAAGCAATTAATGAATAACAAGCCAACGTTTATTTACATTTATCAACGTTTTCAACCTAACGGAAGCGATTCCAAGAAACGAATGTGTCATAAAAAGTATGATTATATTATTTATCATTAAATCAATAGTTATTATCCATGAAAATGCATCATTTCCTACCGTTCAGTATTAATACTGTAAGACATGAGATTTTGTAGATTAATTGTGTTCAAGGCGTGAATTTTTCATGTATCATCTTACGAGCTATTAGAGAAAAGAAAGGCGTTTTAGTATTAGAGAGAGAAAGAACTGAATTATGTATCTGATTTATTGTACGGTTATTGACCTATGATTTAAACATTTCGTTCCAAAATTACTTGAAATGTATGAATAAAATCCTTATCGTGAACATTCACTTTAAAGATAAGATTATGAGATTTTGTGTGCCGCACAAATACATTTGTCAAGAAACGTTTGTTTAGGTTATTTCGCGCAAGGCATATCAGTACATTCGACTATTCTCATCTGAATTGTCTCATGACCTGCCATTGCATTATTTATTGGAACGTTCTCGTTCTTAATGCATATCCGTTCGTAGGGGTGTCAAAGCATCTTATTTTCCTTGTTAATTATAACATGGGGCATATATGTACATAGTTCACAACACAATGTAGGGGTCAGAATTCTTCGAAAATCGATTTCAGTTTTCCTCCTTGATGTGGTTGAACCACCATTTTTTTCGACCCCTTTGTCTCCCCGTATTACGGAGGAAGTTGATTCACATCAACTACATAAATTTTCCACCAACGGTTTCCAGATAGCTTGATCTCGGTAGTCGTCAGACGCATTATTTGTATGGTCCGACATGATCTGACACATGCCTGATTAATTGATTGTATAGTCAAGTTTATACGTGTAATATGCACGAAATTCTACACATACATCTGTAATTTCTTTATGTAAATAAAATAATTTCGCAGTCTTAGCCAAAAATTGAAAAATAAGCAGATTTATATATTATGTATGTATGTACATAAGAGTATTTTATCTTTATTTAAAAAGCCATGTTTAAGTATTTCGGAAATTTCGTAACATTCTCAGTATGGATCAATATGTAAATTTTACATATGTATTTAAAATTAGCAACCCTTAAAAAATTATAAAATGGGATAATTATGCACAAACTGAAATTGTAATCAGGTCTTTACTTTAATACATAGCATGCATATTGACCACCACGCATTCCAGTAATATCTACATACATTAAATCCGTGTCAACTTTCCCTTCGAAATCCAAACAATTTTAGTACGTGTACTTATTTCCAATTAATCCATTAACCTATTCTTCCTCCCCTCTTCAACCAGTGGACTATCAAAGTTCGGAAATGTTCTGGCCACCACGTCAAAATATTCCCACGCGTACATCCACTCACAACAGTGGCACCTCTTTGTCCCACTACATTTCCACCAAATCGACACCCGGAACTTATCCTCCGTCGGAAATGGAATATCCAAATATTTCAGCGTCTTACATGGCGCCGTATTCCGCGGTATAAAATGCCTATATACAACATCAAACATTCTACCCGGCAGGGCACAAACTACTTTTTCTGACGATTTTTCCGGTTCCATCCGAACCGTCAAACTCTCCAGGAGTGGGAACTGTTGGGCATAAATGAGCTTCTCCCCCGTACTTTTGTCCACAATTGCATACTTGAAATTTAAGTTGACGCACATGGAACCCCAAATCGAGTAAAGTTCCGGGCTTATCCAAAACTCGAGAACTTTCAGTTTCGGCATAACCGGGAATATCCAGGGGTCATCGAAGCTCGAATCTACCGAAAGTTCTGCGTGGATGCAGAGGTGCTCGAGATGAGGGGCAAGTTGGGTGACGATGTAGGGACACGCGTCTTGCATGGTGACCTCTAAACGCGTCAAGGTCACTGGCTTCAAAGGGAGGCATGGAGTCATCAAGTTAATCGAGGTCCTATCCGTCCTTCGAATAATGAGCTTATTCAACTTCCGGGGAAGTTGAAACATATCGAAACCAGGAGTGTCCGTCAATTTAAGGATTTTCAGGTTCGGAAATAATGGGAAAAAATGAGGGATTAACGGCTCCAAAAGATCTTGCATGTTCGGCTCGCGGTGGTCCTCATCATAGTCTGCAACATCGGTCAACCATATCCCAAATTTGGTCACGTGCCGGAATGCGCGGGAATTTTGGGCGAGGTGTTCTTTCAATTTGTGTACGTTCAGTTCATTCCATAGTTTCCGGAAGATTGGGCGGATCTCGAGAGATTTCACGTTCTTCATAATTTTCAAAGTTTCCAAAATTCTGATCGGAATTGAGATCGAGTCGGAAGGGAGATCCATGGGAAAATCGATCTTGAGACGGGTAACCTTCTCCCAATTTCTGGATAAACGGGGAGCCAATTTTTCCAGGTAGTTGGAAATCTCGTGGGGAGTCATGCAGTGGAGGTAGATGTAAATATTTTTATGGTACGAGCGGCGTAGACGCATTGTTTTAAAATATTTTTTGAAATTCCGGACCTGAAGTTGAACCGAGTTTCTGGCCAAGATATGAGTACGAGCTTCCCCCTCCCATGTTCGGTTGACCTTGGTACATTTCATGATGTCGGATGTGGGCAGGTAGGACAGGATATTGGCGACAATCTGTCCCAAAAAAAATTATGGCCAATTGAAAAATTAACCGAGATGGAATGCACCCAATTATTTTATTGAATCCATACAGACTCACCTCGGGTAAAGTAACAACAAGATTTTGGTTAATTGAAGTTTCCATTTTTCACAGAGATGAATGGAATATTAGTAACCTGAAATATGAATAACTTCAATTAATTAGCATTCCATAAATTTGGGTTGAATCGCTTTCGGTAAAACGTAAAGTATTGCCTTACCGTTCGAAACGAATTATTTTATTTTATGGATAACTTCCAGGTAAGTTTCAGATAGACAATGGCTGGAACGAAGTAGTGGAACGAAGCTGGGTCGAATTCCTTTGGTCAAGTGACGCTCACTTTTCCACGTGGTTCAGTTATGTATATATGTACTACTTATCAGGCATATGTAGATTTAGTTTGTGTAAGCCAAAGTGAATATACAGACTTATTTATAGGGACAAAATTGCCTCAGGTTAATCATGCGACCCTTCAAAACGTACGTACATTCTAGTACTTATGTACATTATGATCAGACGTCGGATATGAATGATCGATAAAACCTCAAAATATGAATGAAAAGTTACCGTAAAAATTCCCAAAATATGACCACAAAAATGACTTTATTTTTGTAATTTTTGGCTTGTGTGAGACTATTTTAATAAGAAAACAAGTTCTGGGATGATTTAATTCGTTAACTAAATCACACAAGACGAAAGAAAATTTACTTTCGTAAATACTCAAATATAAATTCTTGCAAATTTCTCACAATGAATCATTAAAAACAATGAATTTTTGTCATTTTCTGGTAATTTGGTATGCAAAATCTTAGAATTTGGCCAAAAATCATAAAATGAACGAAAACAGCCAGAAATATGATCGAGAATATGAATATGTCACAAAACCCGAAAATATGACCAATATGAGAAAATATGCTTTGACCTAAGTACATGACCTACTACTGACCGTGAACATTCTCAGAAAGTTTGGCGACTATAGGTCAATAAATGGAAAAAGTCATTTTTCATTCATATCCGACGTATGATTAGATATGATATTCACTCCCAAGAACTTCAAGTACTGGACAATTCTATTTGTAGATGTACTGAGCCTGGGTTTTTAAAGTTTCCAAGAATATGCATGTATGCCCTTAATTTAGGAATGTGTAGAGTAAGCTTGTACATACATGCATTTTCTTTGGGTTGTGTCGCCAACTGCGTTCAACCCACGTCCTCCAAGAATATACATACATACATAAGCACGTATATTAACATTTAATACATATGTATGTACAAATGTACAAATGTACATGTGAGTTCCTTCAAGACAGATTCCTCTTTGTACCCGTAGCCATCGAGACCATGGGAGTGTGGGGCAAAGAGGGCCTGTCCCTTATCAATGAAATCGGATCAAGGATCACGATCGTCACTGATGAGAAGAGGGCAACGTCTTTTCTCATGCAAAGGATGAGCATTGCAGTGCAGCGTGGAAATGTTGCTGCAATTTGGGATCGCTTCCAGCCGGACGAGAGCTAGATGAGATATTTTTACTTTAATATCGACGAAAATCTAGGTTATGTTGATTTTAATTTTCAGATAGGGACAATTTGTAAGGCGCTGGTCGTTTAGCTTTTTTCTCAATAGAATATGTACACATACATCTCTGCGAATACAACTTATACTACAATGAATAAATATTTACAGTTTAACTTTTAATGTACAAATACATTTACTTATATAAGTATGAAGGTGCACATATATGTATGTATATGTACATAATTAGTTATGTAGACACATAATCGAATTCGGTAGTTGCATTTAAGCAAGTGGGCTTCGTTTAATTAATAATTACACTTCGGTTGAGAAAAAAAATACGGGCTGTGCGGCACAGCCGATATATTTCTCAACCGAATAATACAGTATGTATACATTACTTACTTACTGCAAAGAATTAATATCTTCCTCATAAAAATATCAGTAATATATTTCGTAATGACATATGTATATCCGAGTTATTTATGCCAATAAGTTTTTCATGGTAAGATACATGTGCATACATACGTATGTATGTATGCATGCATGTAGCTAAATTCGCATTCATTTTAGGCTAGGTTCAGGTCATGAAATGGACAAAACTTGGTAAGTTCTTTTTAGATACTAGCATGCATGGGACCTTTTTACACACTCTGATATGTACATATCTAATTGCATATTACATAGGTAATTAGATACATATCATGTATTCTATGTTTAAATTTATAGTTGATACGTATGTACATGGGTGTGATGTCCCAAGAAGAGCTATTCATTTATAGATGGATATGTATATGTACATATACATATACATGTATAGCTTCCATGTATATACATATGTATGGCATATTGCATCTTCCTTTTGATAATTCCTTATTTGTATGTGTACATTTATCCAGATGCATACCCCAACATGCAAAAGGTTACACAAGAATGCGTGCATTGAGAATGGAGACTGCACTCTTGGAGTGAGGATGAGTATTAAGAACGTGATCTTTCATAATTGTACCAATACTCCTTATCCTGAGCCTCATACATCTGTAACTAAACTTCTAAATCGATGAGATGCTTGATGCACGGTCTCTTGCGAAATGAAACACGACTCTAAAACATGTGATGCATTTACATATATACTGGAGTTTTGAACGTTTTGCTAATTTTCCTATTGGCATATGTACAGAATCATAAAAATATATGCAACTAAATCTCAATGGTAAAAATTTGTGAACGTTTTTTACTAAAAAACGTTCACAAAATTTAGCCACAGGAAAATTTTTACCACTCATCCTCAGTACCTATCACTATATGTGTACATAACTCGGTGATAAATTGTTCACGCCTTATTTTCAGTGTATATGCAATTAAATAATTTTTACACCTTCTTAAATAAATCCATAGTTTATCAAAAATGTGTACTATGAAACTCATTTTACTCGTATTCTCTCTACAATTGTGCTCATCAGACTTGTTAGCAAAATATAAAACTATAAAATTCTTGGAAAAAATCACTGATAAAGTAAAAGATCCATCGGAATTTCTTGCCAACTTGCAAGCCACGCTTTTGAATCCGACTCACCTTGAAAAAGTGTTTACAATGTTTGAAGCCAGCGATTTTTCTGAAAAGAAAGTCTGGAATCGTGAAGAGGAAAAGGAACGGTTCATATCTGTTATGACAAGCGAGGACGATGACGAGCTCGAAGAGAAACTTATGTACGCGGAGATTTCTATGAAAAAACTGAAAATTTCGAATCTGGATGAGTTGGACGAAATTTTTACAATGAGCGAATCACTCGAGTTTGTGTTAGATTACTACAAAAATATGGAACAAGCGGTTAATAAGGTGAATTACTTAAAATTGCGTGTGTTTGTGTCAGTCAAGTTTTGAAATTAATTTGAAATTTCTTTAAATTCCCAAAAATATGTATGTAGAGCTCAACACTACTTCAAGGTTTGGCCTCGACTGAAAAGAAATTACACGTTTGCTCAAGAAAAAAGAAAGGTCTGTTCTGATTTCGGAACAAATTTATCACAATGCGAAGAAAAATTTGAAACGATATCAAGATGGAGAAATTGATATTCGGACGTTTCTTCTAAACGAGAAAGCTGCAGAAAATCAAAATTTGGAGGATCGAGCGAAACTGCAACAACAAGCAATTGAGGATTTCGTACTTCACGTAAGAGAAATATTTAACTTAACAAATATTTTGGAAAATATATTTGCGGAAAAAAAGTTGGCGTAAAAATTTAGCTTGAAAATTAATTTGTGTATCTTCGAAGAGTATTTAATTCAAATTATTTTCAACATTATGTTGCGAATATGAAATGTCATAATGAATACCCACATGTACATATGTATGTACTCCGACAACCTTTCCCATATCCCACAAATTGAGCACTCATGAAATTTCGGCAAAAAATTGCGCGATCACAATGGGATATTCGTTCCGCAAGTTTTGCCACCAAATTATATTATCTCACAAACTTGTCCTCTTCATCGAAAGCAATGGAAATTTATGGAATATAAGTATGTAATCAAGATAGGATAGCAGAATGGCTCTAAAAATGTGCGAGTTTCGAAAATTTGCTAAGTATGCATAGTAGTTGCGACGCTAAAGATCTTAGACATTGTCTTGGATATATTTTTCAACTTACAAAAATGTACATTTTTATGCATGTAATGTTATTTTCTCCTTTTTTTCTTGTCATTGAAGAGCGAACTTAATCCGGAACTGATGGCGACACTGGACATGATAGATTCCATGGAAAAAGAGCTTAACAACATTGCTCAAATGTCCCCAGTTTGGGTGAAGCATGCGTTCAACGTCAACATCAAACTTGGGCTTCCTGCAATTAGGCAAATTCCAGATGAACTTCCTGTACAATTGGACGTCTTAAACAAACTGATAGCATTCTATATCAAAATTGAAGGATTGAACAATCTTGTTCTGGTAAGAAACACTTTTTTTCAGTAGTTCTACAAAATCTAATCTACATAGATACTTATCTTGGTATAAGTACAAAATTCATATCCAAAAGGACAAATTTTTTTAGACTTGTCAATTTCCACGAAGTTTTAATAATTTCTGAGTCAATTAATACACATTAACAAATGCAAATTAAGATTTCGAAATAGGTATGCAAATCAATAAAGCTTTTGTCTTTGCTGATTTGAAATATTGAATTTTTCAGCTCGAAAAGGATCTGAGCAAGAAGGACCAGTTGGAGGAAGATGTACAAAAGGAGGAAGAGCTTTTAGAAGATTTTCTTAACCAGAACGCCACAACTGAACAAATTCTTAACATTGTCCCTGCAACAGGCATTCTTTTGGCCAAGGCGACTAACAATGTGATGGCTGTTGCGGAAATTGTGAGTCAATATTTTAATTTTGCTTATCATCCGTCTTAAGAATATTTCAAATTTTATGGACCTTGATGAAATTTCTTCATAAAATTAATATTAAAGAGTCGTATCACGATTTCAAAATTATTTTGTCGTTTACAGCGGGATGGTTCTTTCATAGAAACGGTGAACAAGTACAAAGAGCTGACAAATGAGCATAAAAGGTCGACTCATGACTATGCCGATCATGTGCAGAAAGTGACAGAGATTGTTAACAATATTCTCTTGAAACAAGTTGGAAAGAAGGCTGAACTTTAAAACATTGGGTGCCATTTACAGATTTACTTACATGGTGTAAGGATAAATTATAACGTATGTACATACATATTTATGTAAATACGTGCATGAATCTATGTTTATGCACAAAATACTTCTGTGTATATATGTACTAAAATATATACGGTAAATAATAAAAACTTCAGTCATCCGTAAATTATGTAACCCAGAAATCAAGTTTTTTTTGGACCAACCACGACCCCTTGGAATTGGTCATCTTTGTTCAAAATTTTTCAAATTAATTACCCCACACAAAACATTAAAAGTCCATCTATCTTTCGTTCAAAAAAACGAAAAGTGTGCAACAAGTTGACAAGTTATTTTTCATAATAAAAATTGCTGCAGAGCGTCTGTTGTTTTGGGTCATGCTTTCCATGTGCTTTCCATGCTGTGCCGGGTTGCCCTGATGAGACAAGTGCCCGGGTCATTCATCAGCAGCTGATTGAACCAAGCTCACAGTTTTCCCTCGTCCGACCGATATTTTAATACGTATTTCAATTTCAATTAGTTAATCATCAATTATTTCACTATCGGAGCATGTAACAAGGTAATAGGTAAGTAGTATTGAATATCCTGACTTTAATAATTATTATCTTGTCCATACTTTATTATCCGAAATAAACTTGAAATAAATTTTAATTTAACTGACAGATTGACATGCAATAATAAACGTATCGAAATACGAAGATATACACAATGAAGCGGTCGTCCCTGGATCAAAGTGCCATCCCTGGTACCTCCGACGCAGAGGGCGAAACTGGGGTCAGACCTCAAAAGAGAAGATCTTCGGAAAACAAGGTAGTCGTTGGTTTACTTTCAACAACGTTTTAAATATTTAACTCTACTTGATTTATTTTTTACGTATTATTTAATCGTCGCAGGTATGGGAGAAATTTTTTGAAGAAAAACAAAAAGATTTTGCCATCTTTGATAAGACAGCTTCTACCTCAAAAATACCACCCTCAAAACCACGACCTTCAAAAACACCACCTTCAAAAACACCACCCTCAAAACCACGACCTTCAAAAACACCACCCTCAAAAACACCACCCCCAAAAACACCAACCTCAAAACCACCAGCCCTAAAAACACCCCCTAGAAAAGAGCCCTCAGATGATGAGGAGTATGAAATTGAGGAATACGACTCCCCCACGAAATCGTTAAGTAATTCTGATACAAATCAAAATACTGACATTGACGGAACGAAGAAAAAAAAGTATGATTATCAATCACAAAGAGATAATAATTATTTTTATTAGTATATATAAATACATTTTAATTTTTATAGGTACTCTTTGGTTGAAGAAATGAAAGCACTTCTTACCCCGTACGACAACTCCGTCCGAAGATTTCCACAATATATTTATGGCGACACTTTCGAGTATGACGAATCTCAAGCTGTTACACTTATCATAAGGCACGTTTGTGGAACTTGGGACAAACTAGTTTGGACAATCTGTCGCCTCGTGGAGCGTGATATAGATCGTTGCGTTATGTTTCGACCGTTGTATTTATACGACATAAAGTTAGGCGGTGTACTCAAGTTGTATCCCCCATGGTGAGCAAATTCGAATACGAATGCGTTTTTATAACATCCATTTATAATTTAAAAAGAAAAATGTTGTACAATTTGTAATTGGTTTATTAATTTTCAGGCAAGAATTAGAAATGCCTGAATTTCCCATGCCGATTCTGATGTGTACAGATTTCTATAGGCTTCCCCTCAAGAGAGAAAAGAATTTTGGAGTATCGCATGACACGATAAGCGCCTTACTAACGCCCCCAAACCCCTTCAGGGGAAGTTACATCAAAGCAACGTCGCCAGAATGCAAGTTTTTATGATATTTTTTGTTTCTTGATAAAGATTAATCTTTAATGAAGCTTAAATTTTAATTGCATTTTCAATTTTTGTCTTAGGTGGCCTTAATTTCTTGCTGTCTAAATGCACCCCATTCCACCTGAGTAATCAAAACACAATCAGCATCCAGACTAAAGCCTTTAAACCATCGATCGATCTAAATACCGTAATGTACCCAGTATCATGCCGAGGGTGGCCGAAATTAAGCCAAAGTAGCGTACTAATTTGCGATTCTGATCATGTATTTGCCCATTTACAACTTTCTGAACTTGAGAGTGGAAAGAGGGAACGAATCTACAAAGCGATAAACCCCGGAAAGTATATCAAATTTAGGAAACTTGGAGTTGTCTCAAAAACGAGTATTCTAGAGTGCGTGACAATACTTATAAATAGATAAATATATGCGAGTTGACGAATCATAATTTTATCTTTTATTTTATTTTAGAGATTTCTCCTGGTTTAAAATTTTTCAAGGGTTGGGATCCAATCAAAAAGTGTTTTATACGCTGTGCTTTAGACATGACACCGAATGGAAGGAAGAAGCAAATTTGGATTTTCCATATCGGCCTCCACTCGGTTGGGCAGTGAAACCTTGGAATGATGGCATCTAAGTTACGCCGCAGCAATGAGAAGTGCAAAAGGTGCTACGCAAGATCACATGTTCTAAAATATATTTATCAAAAATTTAAATTTCTAATGATAAAAATTGTTAAAGCCATGTTTTATATATTTGTCAAAAATTGTTCAATTTTTTGATTTTTCTCGATTACTTTACTTAACTTAACTACTTATGTATGTTCATAATTACACAAGGTGCTCAACTATTTTTCATGCATTGAATCAAATTCTTCATTGTTATTTAATTTTTTACATAAATCGAACGTATGTAAATAGTTAATTGAAACTGTCACTAAATGTATTTTAGTAATGATGAATTTAATAAATTTATATACGTAGAACTAGATAAATAGCTCGTGTTGAAAGATCCAAGTCAATAAATAAATTATAAAACATATGTAAACTCAGTAGTCCATATACATACTGTGGATGAAGTTCTAACCCTGCAGACTTATTACACCGCTTTGTAGTATTAATTTCACGACGTCACCGGTCAAAAAAATTTTTTCCTCCAAACTGGTCCAAAATAAAAGTCTAGCATGGGAATAGTATAGAAAAATTATTTTTAGCGTTCTATGACCCCTGGGTCATGAATTAAGGGCCCCTGAAGGGTCAAATAGCGTTCCCTGATAACCCCATGCAAATGGGGTATCAAATTAATCCCCTGGACCAGGGGAACCAGAAAAATATTTTTATAAATTTTTATGACCCTTGAGTCGTGAACTAGGAGCCCTTGAAGGGTTAAATATCATTCCCTCACAACTAAAGGCAAGTGGGGTATCAAATTAATCCCCTGGACAAGGGGAACCCAAAAAATATTTTTCTGGATTTTTTTGACCCTCAGGTCAAGAGTTAAGGGCCCCCGAAGGGTCAAAATAGTAACCATGGTAACCCCATGCAAGTGGGGTATCAAATTAATCCCCTGGCAAAGGGCAAGCATAAAAATATTTTCCTGAATTTTTTTGACCTATCGGGCAACAGTTAAGGGTCCCTGAAGGGTCAACATAGTAACCATGGTAACTAAGGTGAATGGGGTATCAAATTAATCCCCTGGACCAGGGGAATCAGAAAAATATTTTTTGGTTTTTGTGACGTATAGGTCAAGAGTTAAGGGCCCCTGAAGGGTCAAATAATAACTTATTGTATTTTACTAAACGGGACATTATTTTAAAGTTTTCAGTTTTGCAAGAATGTTAAGTAGAGAGGGGTAGGCATATTTTTGAAAATTTCGTACAAATTTAATGAATAATAATTCTTAACACTATGTAATCGGATTCACTATTTATAATATTTATTATGTATTGAATCCATTGAAGTTAAAATCTAGGTTGATTCTGGTGGGAAGGTTAATCTCCTCCTAGAAGTTGCACATTCTTCTTCAGGCAAGTCTTCTTCTTCCCCAGCCTGTGAGTATTCAATATCATTGTGTATTTGCATTCGGAATCTATCAACTACTTCGTCAACATCGTCAGGGTCCTCATCTTCGTCGTCAGACACATCATCTGCTGCTGTAATCTGTATATTATGTATAAGTTATGTATTTTTTTACTAATAGTTTACTGTCACCAAGAACTCACTCGAATGGGGTTGGCTGAAGCTACACGTGTTTGGAAGTCATCAAGGAAGTCATCAAAATGTCCATCATTTTTCCAATACTCGTCCTCCAATCTATTTACAATAATAATGTAGAAATTGCGAATTATTCCCATAATAGCGAATCTTGGTTTTACGAACCGGTGCACATGTTTGATGTGTTTCTGCCATTGTTCCTTTGTGTATGTTGTCATAATTCTCTCAGCCTCAGCTTGTGCAAACTCAGCGGTCCCCTGTGTGTTTGCAGCCCTAACTGCGTGCTTGATGTCTTTCCACACGTACTCAATTGGGTTCAAGTCGCTAAAAATAGTTATTACATGAATATTCTTATTACCGTTACCTATGATTACCAGTTCTTACCAGTTATATGGGGGTAATCTGGAAAATACGTAAATACAGTGTTTAAATAAATATTACAAATTATTAGTAAATTACCCATGAATAGAAAATAACTTTACCGGACAACAGTGTTTCCATATTTCAATGCCTCCTTATCCACAATGTAATATTCATTTCCGTTTTTAAGGTCTTGAACCATTTTCCATAATTCAGGTCGTCTCATTTGCTTTACAGGTTTTAGTTTCAGCTTTTCAGGGCCCTCTAAATTATCATTCAGCCAGTCGTATAGCTCTTGTTTTCGGGATGTAGATTTTGGGGCTTCCTTGGTGCTGTGATACGGAGCTGACAAATTTAAATAAATGAAATTCAAATTAAAATGGAATTTACAAATACAAATTATTGGATGATATTACCGTTATCAATAACAATTATGCATGGACCATAATTATCTTTTATCTTTTGATTAAGATCCTTCCACCAAGCCATGTAAGCGACACCGTTAACGTTTGCGTGGTAATCCATCTGGACTTTCTTCTTTGATACTGGATATACCTTCATAGCGCCAGGTACGAATCCATCCTCTCCACCTGTGAAGATAATTATTATTTTGAAATAATTTCCTATTTAATGTGGATAGTTGAACTGCACCTGCATGCATCACAATGATACGTGGTCCTCTAGAAATTTTCGGGTTTTGGAAGGAGTATAAAGCCGCTTCATGAAATGACTTTGGTGAATTAATAACCCAGCCTTTTCCAGTTCTAGCATAACTATCGACCCACGTTTCATCTGAATAAATATAATGCATTAATAATTATATTAAATTAAATTAAAACATTTTTGATATTTAATCAGCCAAACCTGTGTAGACAACACATTTTGGGTTCTCGGACTGACGATTTTTAATCATTACGGACAGATATTCATATCGCTTCTGCACGATGTCTGATCTCATGAGGATAACTGCTCGCTTATCAACAGTTTTGAATCTAAATCCTAATTGCTTAATGAGTTTTCTTAACGTCCACTTGGAACATTTGAACGCTGTAAGAGTTTCCCCTCGGGCTATCCGACCATCTTCTTCTTCCTTGACTTCCTCCATCAGTTTTGTGTATACGTTATGCATTGTTGGTGCTTGATTATTAGCATAGAATTGATGAATGATTCGTTTAACGTGCTCAGTTCGGAAGTCGTCAAACTGATCCATCACTGGCGTTGGTCTAATACGTTTCTTACCAGGTGTTTTTATACTATTCGTTTTGTAATTCTCCATTGTCTGATAAACTGTTCTCTCTCCAATTCCTAGAATCTGGCTAGTTTTGGTGACAGAGTTTCCTGTTAGTATTTCACACTGTACCTGGTTACTGTCAAAGAATACTTTGGCGTTGACAATTAACTTTTGAGCTGTCGCCTGTAGTGAAACACCAAGTAGTTGGAATGGGAGTTTAGTATTTGGTTGTTTACAGTCGTTTTTCGCTTTCGGTGTTGCTTTCTCAATTTCAAAGGCTAATTGTTGCATAGGAAAACTCGTAGGACTGCACCTCGAAAGACTAAGGTAAGGTTTGGTTCCATCATTCCGTCTAGGAACATCAGATAAAGGAATTCGCATTTCACCTTCCCCCAATACCTGTTCTTTAGCTCTGAGAAGGGAATAGAAATATCCACACTCAGAATCCGGACAAGGAGGACCAACAATTAGGACATCTTGAATGAACTCGTTTATAAGGTTCATCTTTTCGTCGTTTATGGGGGTTGGGAGATAGCCTACCGTGTCACTGCCGGGTGGAACATTTTGGATTAGTGAAAAAAATTGAACTGCTTGATGAAATTGCCCTTGATTGTGTCCGAAGTGAAGTAAAATTATGCAGTACGTCAATGACTCGGCAGGTAAGATTCCTTCGAGATGGTCACTAGTAATCTGGCTGTCAGAAAACAACATATCTGGTGCAACTTGTTTCGATCCGAGGACAAAGTAGAAATTTTTTATTTTGCGTTGCGTAGTTTGTTTCTCTTGTATGATTGAGAAGATCTTGTTCTGGAAAGATGCGTACATTACTTGGTGGATAGTCATCCCGCCCACAAGGATTATTTCAACGAATCCGTTAAGTGAATTAGTTTTTGGAGGACGAGCGCCTTTTTACGAACATGTTCAATAAACGAAATCTGGTTATCATCATTCTTGGTTGCAAATTCGTTCAAAATCATCCTACATCCCCCTTTGTAAGGGGCCGTTGGGTAAATGTCTGTTCCCACACATGTATCTTCACCTTCTGTACTCTTGGATGCATACTCTGTATTTGAAGTGTCCATTGGTGATTCACCGCCAGGAGCTGACCCTTCCCCTAACTCTTCACGTTGTCCACAGTGCCCACGTTCATCATCTCCATCACCATCCTCCTGTATTGATCAGAACAAAAACGTACATGAGCTTGTTACTACAATAACAATTTCACGATGTCCCCCACAACATCCGCGGTCGCTGCTATTTATAAATATGTTGCAATATTTCTCACAAGTGCGTCTGCATTGGTGTCCATTTCATCCACATTTGAGCATGGCATGACGAGGGAATTCATGTCAGACTGTTTTTGCTAAAAGTGATAAACTTGTATGAAATGCGTCTGTGCTCTCAGACAATAAATCGATGAATCTGAGCTAGCATTAATAGTGCAAAAATATAATCTTACATCGATATGCGGTGGATTTACATTAGTTTCTGGATCCACCGTGTAGCAGCTCCCTAGCCAAATATTTTGCAGAATACTTATCCACTTTGACTCCTGAGCTTGGCCTTCCCAGATGGCACGAGCAGTTGTTAGTGTTCCTGCTGAAGTTTTATCGTACACCGTTTCATGTGCAAAATGCAAAGTTAAACTGGGATAAAATCCTGCTGGGTAGAAATATAAGAAGGATGTATAGGACCCTCCAATTTGACTTTCGAAATATTTTTTGGCACTCATTGCGGCCGCAAAAAGTGGGAACAGATCTTTTCGATGTAATTGCACAGTAGTTAGAAGTGCTTCGTCTGCCTCTGATGGTAGAACCCCTAGCAAATAATCGACGTCATGTTTGCGGCATGCTGCATCTGTGAATAATATCAACACAAAAATTATAAAATTAATTTTCACAAATTTGACTTGGTTAGTGTATGAGCATAAATTGGGCAACAATTACCAACAGCATTTATTGGGCCACCGAGATCATCCTGCTTCTCAATATCGGTGGCAGGCCCGCAATATCTTAATTAATACCAATAATAAAATTATGTTAATAAAGAATCATTTCATAAAGATTCCAATCGCAACTTCAAAAATAAAAAAACTCATCCAAAATAACCAATTACCTATATCCAGGGAGATTGAAAGGTAATCCGCTTGGCGCCTTTTTAACTTTAGCTTTCTCCAAGGAAAGTATAATACCACGTGGGCGTCGGAGAGATCCAGGATGGAAAAATGCATCTTGACGAAGATGAAAGCAAGATGGCAATTTACCTTCGTTGGTAGGAATAAACGTGTGCTTTCTGGCAAAGAAGGCTGAATGCAGGAGACTTGTGTAGTTGAACCTGATGCATGATATTTGGTTGCACAGAATTAGAACTGTGCATGCAGAAGGAAGAGGAGTAGTGCCTTGAATAGCTTTAGTTACTGCTTGCTTGGTGGTACAGTTCTTCGTTTCAGCCGCTATATTACAATAAGTGTCACTAATTTTTTCCTGAGTTAAGTCGGATAGTTTATTGGATGGAAATGTGTGGTTGGCGTTTGAAATTGTGATGTTATTTAGTAGATAACGGCTGGCATCCACGAAACTTTTAAAATAAAAAGTTACATAGCTTTCACTTCCCCATACCCGTATCTTTTTATTTTCATACTCTACTTCTTCAATTTTGATAGTGTCACTGAAGAACATAACAGTTTCATTAATTTCCATACACATCGTTTGATTACATATCAGAAATCCACTGCAAGTGGATGGTAATGTCTCCTTGAACCAGATAACCAATCCACCCAGGTTATCCGTCTCATCACACACAACTTTAACCTGTTTATCTATTTCTATTTTATCGACATTCGCGCAACTTTTACCACAAACACAATGAACTATATATAACACATACAGTGTTCCATAAATTAAGTTATGCAACGTCATCTTCAATTTTAAAAATTAATAATTGAGCGGATACCAGTAAGTACAAACTCCAAAACTTAAATTTCAAAATGTCGACTGGAGAAGCCAGCAAGGATAAGGGGTCTCCCATCACCTCATATATTTATAATGCATCAGTTTTTAGGGGATATTCATCACCCCAACCATTAACCCAATCCTTCCCCAAACAAGATGGTGCATAAAGATATGTATATGAGAAAGGGACCAGTTTATACAAACATAAGTATGCTGCCTGAGACAGGCTATGAAGCCTGGTTACCATGGTTACTATGTTGACCCTTCAGGGACCCTTAACTCTTGACCTATAGGTCAAAAAAATTCAGGAAAATATTTTTATGCTTGCCCTTTGCCAGGGGATTAATTTGATACCCCACTTGCATGGGGTTACCATGGTTACTATTTTGACCCTTCGGGGGCCCTTAACTCTTGACCTGAGGGTCAAAAAAATCCAAAAAAATAATTTTTGGGTTCCCCTTGTCCAGGGGATTAATTTGATACCCCACTTGCCTTTAGTTGTGAGGGAATGATATTTAACCCTTCAAGGGCTCCTAGTTCACGACTCAAGGGTCATAAAAATTTATAAAAATATTTTTCTGGTTCCCCTGGTCCAGGGGATTAATTTGATACCCCATTTGCATGGGGTTATCAGGGAACGCTATTTGACCCTTCAGGGGCCCTTAATTCATGACCCAGGGGTCATAGAACGCTAAAAATAATTTTTCTATACTATTCCCATGCTAGACTTTTATTTTGGACCAGTTTGGAGGAAAAAATTTTTTTGACCGGTGACGTCGTGAAATTAATACTACAAAGCGGTGTAATAAGTCTGCAGGGTTAGAACTTCATACACAGTACATACATGTTTGCATATGTCATTATATTATGTAAGTACTTACCAAGCGAAATTAAGCAATAATTTGCACATGTCGTGTGCATTAAGAATTTGCCGATTTTCTGCAAAGTGGATATGAGAGCAGAAAAAAATGAAGCAGGGTTAAATTTCGAATTTTTTCATTGGTCGGAAAATTTTCAAAAATTTATTGACAATTTCCAAAAAGTTGAGTTTACTATTAGATACGTTAAAGCAACTATCTGGGATCATAAAAATATATATTTAATCGAAATTTGACCAAAACTCGATTTTGGGTGATGATTTTAGTGTGGCAACTTTGGGAATTTGGGCGCCTTTGAGGGGGTGTTGCGGGTGCAAATGAGCTCATGGAGTTTAACCCTGCTTCAGAAGTGGGGTTAAGGTAGGTTAGCTCCAGTCGGAACAAAATTTTGCAATTTTCATAATTTCTGCCATGCTATCGATAAGTGAAAAACTAAGCGAAATTCGCAGCGACGATTTTTTCGTATGTCTGAGGTCCCCCATGTATTTTAATACAAAAATACTTTACAAAATACATTTGAGGAATATGAGACAAACTCATGAGAAAAAAAGAGTTACACTCCTTACATTGAAATGCAGATTAAATATCTGTATATCTACCTAAATTGATACATATAAATATTGCAAACCAGAAACCACGCATAAAACTCATAATCCATATTTACGGTGTGAACTAATCTCATCGATTATTTTCAGTTTCTGGACTGGACTCACGACCATTCCAGGAAAGCATATGAAATATTTTATACTTAAATTTGAGCTTTTCTTGTATTTTTCAAGGTTAAATATATCAGTAGTATTTTGTACTTTGGAATGTATTTAAAATACGTATTTTGTATTTTGCAATGAATTTTAAATATATATTTTAAGTTTCGTCGATTTTGGCAAAAGTATTTTGTGATTTGTGTTTTGATGAGACTCGAGTATTTTGTAATTGTATTCTGAAGATTTGCAATAATGTATTTTCATTTTGTATTTCAAGACCCAGGTATTTTGTCCAACCCTGTAAATTGATCCCTATTTTCTATATTAACTTACGATCGTATATTAACTATACGATTACTAAACGGTGCAAATGACAATACTTTTGAGTGTAGATTATACGGGATTGTACACGTAGATAAGAACAATACATATACTATATCCTTGACCTTGCTTTGGAGCAAGAAACGAATAACAAGAAATGTTTAGTATTGCATTAGAATCTGGAGTGCAAATATCAGATATCCTCCTCGACAGTTTAGAATATTCTGTTGTCAGCATTTCCCAGTCAAATACGCACAGATCTGGAGTGAATAACAAAACGGTCATATTTCACTGTGACGTATGTCACTAACCCCACAAAATCCTTCTTCTTCCACTACCCTAATATAAATTCGCCCTTTCCCCGATCAAGGGACAAACATGTATTGCAATCATTAGTCTGAGTTACAAGTTAAAGGACAATTATTACAATATTGACATAACGGGATATATCGGTATCTGTACGTCTGCATGGAATTTCTGAATGATTCGTTAATGTGGAATTACATGTAATAACTTTGTCCAGTTTTGGCTGGGATGTGATGACTCATAAGTTGCTACCCCACCCAACCTACAATTTCTTTCACATACTTGTGCCACTCCTTATCCAAATGAGTTGTCGTCACTTTCTTAAGCTCTGCACGATTTAAAATTCTGAAAAGTAAATTTTTATTATTAAAATTAGGCAGTATTCATGCAAGGTAAGTATTTATACTTAAATATGCAAGTACATACTTCAAGTTATTTTTCTATTGATTAGCTAAACATTCAAGTAATATTATTATTAACGTTTAAGAAAAATTTACAAGTTACGGAGTTAAGCGTCATTTTTATGTAACTCTAATAATAATTATAATTTACAATCTTTTTTACCAATTACTTAGGTAATTGGTAAATTACTTCGCTTATCTCACATATACTTGTATATCTATCTCACAAGCTGAGCACAATAACAAAAACTTGCGAAAACCATTCTCTGGAAAACCGCAGGATTTTTCTGCGTAAATTTACCCAGCAAATGGGCATGTATTAATTTTAGAAAATTATTTGGAAATCTCATCCTCGTCATTTATAGCGAGAAAAGTTACAGAAATACAAGGAAACAATCTCAAAATACGTTTGTATGTATATGTAAGAAACTAAGAATAGGTGTTTCTATAAGTATATATTTATGTAGCTTTTCCAGATTTGTGAAGTTATATTTTGCGAATTCCCTCACGCCATAAATTCCTTAAGCTTAGGAAGTTTGCTAAATGAGTTGCGATGCTAAACAAGATGTTGTGGTGAGTACACCCATTGTAAATAATAGAGATGTACTCATACAATAGCTATATATGCGTAATATGTAGTTATATCGTTTTAATTTGATGTCTATATCCGTATCGACTTTAATTTAACGACTGATTTAAAATCTTTATTTTTCCAAGGTTGGTTCTTCATCCGTGGAATGGGAATATCTCAAAGATTTGCATGATTTACTTTTAAAAGGTGAGATTTAATCGAGACGAGTTAATTCAAGCAGAGTAATACTTAATTACGAATTTAAAGTACTATTTACATGATCCCTGATGTACATACATTTTCATTCAGAGGGAGTTATTGTCTCCACAGATGCTCAGAAATTTGTTACGCGTTCTGTTACGCTTGTTCATTTTCATGCACAAGCACAAGACATTCATTTCTTTAATAAGCGTATCCATTTTTAATTCTATATATTAAAAGAAATTATGTGGGTTTAACTTCCCACCTGAAAAATTGGGGATTAACAATTTGGTTGAGCTAAGCCGAATCAAACTGTTAATCACTAATTTGAAAAAATACAATTAAATTCTCATTTACTAAATAGGACCGTCAACCGCGTAGATGTGGATTGCAAAGGATCTGCTCAAAATCGGCTGGTAAATGTGTCTTTGGACAATGCTCTACCCATTAAGTTGTACTGTATTCACTATTGACCTCGAGGATCGGAAGTTGAAATGGGCACGAAGGCAAAATATTCGCGTGCAAACTCTCTCACCAGGTTCAAAAAAGGTCTGAAAATATGGCAAGTGAGTTTTAACTTCATTTTAAAGGTTTTCACTATTTAAATTATTACACAGGTTAATGAAGAGGATATCACTGGAATTTGAATTACCATTACCGGTCTTCTCGTTATGTAATCTGTTCACTAGGATAAAGTAGCTTACTGTTGTGGCTTAGCTTGTGAGAAAAAATTCTCAAACTGGCATATTTACATTACATAAATACAAAAGATAATGATGAATATGTACATATGGGTATGTATGTACGTACATATATGCAAAAGTGACTTTTTAGTAACCTCAGTTTTAAAGTACGATTCAGATTTAATTTTTCAAATTTCTATTTGCAATTTATATCCTATGGTAATGGACCTGACCTCAAAAATCGATTTTTAGAAATCCTTCGAGTATGTGTTGCGGCATTGTAATTCCACCCCCACCCAAATCCATCCCCTCTCCATTTGTGTTTTCATCAAGATCGAAGTGCCTATTGGTTTGTTCTCGCTGCACTCTGTTTAGGTATTCTTCCGGGTGGAATCTAGTTCTTGGAGTCTTATACGGGTCACGAACGGGTTTTCCTGGTATTTTTGTTAATTCCTTCAATGCCTGTTTTGTAGGCAGGTGGTCAAGACCGTACATCTCAAGCGTATACTTTCGGGTATACTTACGAGAGGTCACACGCGTATTTCTCCATGGATCTGACGGGCCACCTATTTCATATTTGTCCTCTTCTTGCTGCCTTCTTTTGGACTTTCTCAACTCCTCCTGATAGCAAATGTCGCTTTTATGAGTCTCATCATCTGAAACCAAATGTTGGCTTCAAATTTGACTTCCCCGACCTTTGCTTGGTGAAAAGGCTATCGTCATGTGATTCACACGTTTTGGATACAGTAAAACTGTTAGAGCACACATCATTGTCAAATGGGTTATCTGCAGATGAACTTAACTGAAAGCAGCCTTCTTCTACTGGTCGTAAATGTTGCATCAACGGGTTAAGAGGCCTTTCAACCTCTACTACGGGATTTTTTGTGGAGTTTAAGGCCAATAAGTTAACTTCGTAATTTTTTAGCAGGCATTTTATGCGAAAAGTTACGAATATTATAAAAAGCTAAACTGTATTAAATTATTACTTCAGACATTGTTTTAACATACAACTTTTATTTAGCTAAATAGGGAGTTTATCTTCTCCCTCGTTTACATGCATATTGTTGGTAAATGCCTAAAAAATAAGGTTTTGTGGTGTGTACATGCGTAACATTTGTAGTCGACGGAAAGCTTTTCAACCTAAAATATATATTTCTATGATAAAAAAATCCATGCATAAAATTTAGATACAGGTAAATCTAAATTGTTTACAATCATTACGATTGGGTTTCGGTTACGTTGTTGGTGACGTCGCTCCCGAGTCGGAAGGTTTGGCTGCAAATATGACGATATCGATGTTGTTAATCCGTGGATGAGATTAGTGGTGATGCAACATAAAACTCATGATATGCCCGGCATTTCATGAGTTTAAATTAACCCTCCCAATATTTGTATAAAAATTGTGCAAAATATTTCAAATTAATTTTTACCCATTCTATTCACTCTGTTTTGACGAATTTACCGTTTTTCGTTTATATTTAGATTTTTCTTAATCTCTCGAGTCGGAGGAGAATCCTTCTGGTTATGTATGAGAATTAGCTGGCTAAGAAGCATATGTGTATGTCTAGATATATGTATGGCATAATAATATATCATATAGTACATTGTTGAATTAGATGTCCCTCGTCGCATGATATATTAATTATATAATTCAGTTTGAGAAATGCTGTAATGCTTTCCTTTCTTAACAACTCTGAGGAAATTATCAAGTACAGCACCGTTCTAATTGGGGTTGCATCTGTGTAAGTAAACCAGACATGCTAATCATAATAAAGACATTTTATCCAGTAAATAAAATAATAATTGTATTGGTTAGTTACTTTTTAAATTCTGCAAATTAGTAAGATCTTCGCCATTATCGGAGTTAACGTAAATGTGAGACCGAACCCAAAATCATAAATTTTATTGTCATTTCATTGCTAAGCGCATCAAGGGGTGACACGATCACATGTATGCAGACGACTGGCTTATCCTGAAAAAGTTGAGGGAAATTGTTAAATGGAAATCTAAACGTCACAACGGATTACGTTTAAACTTTTGAGTTATTAACTCTTCTCAGGCATGGCCCATAGAGTTATATTTTGAACGAAATATTTTAAAAGTAAAATATATAGTAAAATATTCGCGCAATAATAGTAGAGTTTCGTGGTTTTAATTTGCTGTAATTTTGCATTGCACACGACTAGTTGAAGAAGACGTAATGGTAAAAGTACGTCAAAAATCAATTAAATATATAAATTTAGAAAAAAACCTCTCGAATTCGAAGAAGCTCGACAACGACATAGAACCAAGCTTGGTAAAATGAGTTGAGGCGCTAAATATTATAATTTGAATAATTTCAAATGTCAGTACGACAATGTTTTCATAACCGAAATATGATTAGGAATACTTTGTCCTGAGCACGCTGAACGTATGTAAATAATTATGGTTAGTGTAATTTACCAGGAGACTCTACCGATAAGCCTAGATATCGTTACCATTTGTAGGTATGTGTAACGTAATATCCATCATACCTTATTTCTCCGAGTTGACCTTCAAAATATGTATGATTTATTTACGAAGTTCGTATTATTCTTGCAAATCGTACAAGGATACGTTGTTATTTTATCCTTAACTTAATTAGTTGAATGAATGAATGAATGAATGAAAGTTTATTTAACTCTTCTTGGCAAGCCCATAGAGTTATATTTTTTAAATTATGTAAATAATGTAATAATTAATAATAAATATAATTAACTAATTAATTAATTATATTGAAATCATTTTTAAATCGTTCCATATTAAATTAAATTCAAAGTTGAGTTATATATTGAATTATTGAGTTGGATTATTGACATTGATAATAGAGAGGTATTACCTAATTACGTAGAATGGTAGTTTTAGGTCCTAAATTAACCTAAGTTAACTTAATTAGTTAACTTGTGTCTTGACTGTGTTGACATAAATTTAATGCTTTCTAATTCAAGAATTTTATTTTGTTCCGCTCGATGTGTACACTCTATATATTTAAGCAATCTTTCATTATGTCATTTGTTCATGTGCTATGAAAAAATAGTCATTGTCAAATAGTCATTGCCAAATAAAACCTGTTATATTCAAAACCAACTTCGACTATATATATCAGTCCAAAGCAAAACAAAATATTCGTACTAATTAATTCTGCTAGTTTATATACTTATATAATTTGTTGTCTCATTATTGTCCATCCTATACTGAATTTGGTCGTTTATTAGCGTCTATAAGTGTGGAGCGTATGTGCATATGTAGTTTGTCTAGAAAGTTGGAAATTATAAACCAAAATCCGAAACGACAAGTAAATATGTATGTTTGTATGGATGTAATAGCATGTAATCACTTTAAACATGTGCATTTTAAAAAAGTATAAAAATGCTAAACTTGTCCAGAGACCACCTACAACCTACATATTTATATAACTTTTAAAAATAATGTTACCCTTTTGAAAAGTAAATGCATTCTCTCAATTCTATACTAAGGATTATTATAGTTTCCTTATTACAGAATCGGGAGTGCATTTATGTTAAAAAAAAGTGCCATGATTTTTAAAAGCACTGACGCCACTGATAAGGCAAAAAATGCTTTGTTGTATTGGTTCCAATTATTTTAATAACATGTCTGTGCTTATTCATGTCATGTCTGAGTTTTTGCTTACCTATATTTGTACATATCTATGTGTCATATTATTTTTGTATACTGTTTTCAAGTTTTTTCATAGTTACATACCTATACATAAATATGTAAATAAATATGTTTCAGAATGTCAAAATTAACCTTTTATCTGTAAAGTCAATCTATTGGACATTTTAAGTCGATGTTGAGTCTATATTCCACTCAATAACGGACCCTTTCACCAGAAACATTTTGTTTTCACTATTTCACCAAGTAAAGCAAAATGCTTTCTAAAAGATATTTTCTCGTCACTGGAATTACCAATCGAGTCGGACTTTTCTTTGGATCGTTTCCATTTAAGTTGAATATTTCCGAGCGATACCTCTACATTCCTGATAAAGTAATACGCCACGGTTTCCGACGATTGGCAATTGCAATTTTCTACACGAGCTATTTAGGAATTCAAGCTTACCTGAAGAAGGTGGAGGGTGGCTTGACTGGATTTAATTTCACCGTGCTCTTCACCTACCTGGGAATCTTACTCTGCATCAGCTCCACCTTCTTCTTGATAGACGCGCAAGGATATTGCGACACGGTCAATTTTTCAAATAACTTTATCTCCAAGAATATGAGCAAGTTCATGAATATGGGAAACAATTATAAAATTTGCAAACTGGGCGTACTCACGTCAACCTTCTGAAATTTGCGAGATTTCACAAAAATTTTGCTTAAAACCCATAGGACCTTTTTCGAAAATTTACCCAGAAATTTGGCACGTTCTTATTTCATAAACTATTTAGCAAACTCATCGTCACCATCATTAGCAAAGGAAGTTACAGAAAACAAGATTAAAACAGGTTTTTAGTAGATTTTCAGTCATATTTTGCGAATCAGTCATATTTTCTCCAGTCATATTTTCAACGACCCAAATTTTTTGATATTCGCAACTTTGCTATATGAGTTGCGATACGAAATGAGACTTTGTCGTGAGTACTCTCATTATTTGTGCCATTTCTAATTTTTTTTACAGGGAAATGGTTTTCAACTTACAACCCTGAAACCAACCTCATCGGCAAATTGTGGGACACCTTCTACACTCTCATGAACCTTGGAGCCCTTGGCTCCCTAGTTACCTCTCTTCTTCATTACGTCCTCTTCCCAGAGTCCCCAATCTACATCACGTCGCACATCGACACGACCCACCTGACTTGGAAAGGTAACCTTCTCCTCTTCCTGACCTCAACGATCTTCTACTTTTTCGCAATCGGCCACGCAATTTGGAACGGATTGATGCACGGCATCTGCATCCTGACCTATGCCTTCTTTGTCACACCCTTCGTGACACAGGAGCTCTGCATAGGTCGCCGCAGTTATCGGAGCAGGCCGGAATTGCGCCAGATCGAAAACTTGCTTCCGGTCTACAAATCGGTGGAGTTGCTTCATTCCATCACGATGAAATCTTATGGGGCAATCATTGTCCCGGCCCAGTCAATATTTGGTAAGGTCATCCTGCTCTGTTTTTTCATGGTGGTGAGGCACGGAGGTGAGCTTATTGAAAGCTCGAACTATTCTCTACTTCTTATCTTGACCTCCTTGGGTTGCTGTATGTTCATCTTTTGGAGTGTGATTCTACGATTTGGTGGCTATTTTTATACCCGGTCAATCCGGACGGTTAGGTCGTGGAAGTTGTTGACCTTGAGTCAGGCAGAGAAGAGGTATTTGGCCAAGGTGGGAAAGTCGTGTAGGCCTTTGAGAATTGGTTACCCAGGGTATTATAAGATTAGCAATTTGTCCATGCTGAAATTCTGGCAGGGCATGGCGAAAGGGGTGTGTAGGGTACTGATAGCGATAGTGTAGACTTGGTAAATTGAAATAAAAGTCAGATTTATACACATACTTGAAACTTTGAGTGTCGATTTCATATGTAAATGTGTCATGTTATGCTCCATTTATGTACTTAAATTGAACCTGAGTTAAGTATATGACCATTCATTAAGTAATTTTGTTGGTATTTTTTATTCAGAAAACACTACGCAAAAATATATTTTTTTTAAACTATCTACATGAACTCATTATTTAATGAAATTCAAATTATTTAACTAAGTAATTCACAGCAATTCATAGAAACAAGACTTTTGAAACATTTGTGCTGTAAAATTCTAGTATGTGGGGAGTGGCATTTGTCCCACCATAGTCCTCACCACTTTTCCTGTCTTTCCCTTTGGAAAATCTAAAAAAAAAATAATAAAAAAATTACAAGATTTGTATTTCGAACAGTACAATTATTTAGGTACGCACCCTCCACAATGTACAATCCTCCCTTGAGCTGCTTGTACGTTGCCAGCTTTCCTGCGTGATACATATATGTAAGAATTAAATGATTCGACAAGCAGATCCGCCGACTATTTCAAAAGTACAAATACTCTATTGGATTATGTTCCCCACATGAAACGAATTAAAACTTAGCATTTTTTCGGGCGCCAAAATTTCCTTTGGGGGGGTTATGAGACCACTCCCTGCAAACATAGAGCCAAAAGAATATTTTTGAGTTTTTCCCATGCATGCTTCCGTGTTAGCTCCCAATCTACTGCTGTGTTAAATTCTGGACAACTGCCGATTTTCGTTCTTTGGCCTCTAGACTTGCAGGGAGTGGTTTCAGACCCCACAAAGTATATATATTCTGAATCCCCTCGCCAATACCTTTCCAACGATACCCCATTTATGGGGTAATGTGACCTTTGACATTGTGACCTTTCGATCCCCGAAAAAGGTCACGCATGTCGATTTCGACTTTCTTTGTAATTTAACCTTTATTCTACTAATAATTTGCAACGTAGTAAAAATTGGTGAAAAGCTAATGTATGAACATTTCGTCATACTTTTTCGTTATAGCGAAAAATTAATTTCTGAGTCAATTTTGCGTCGCTGTGAAAAGCCCCTCAAAGTCGGAATTCCACCTCAGTTCGAAAAACCTATGGGGGTACTGATCCATAGAGTGTAAAAAAATTTTGTTTTTGAAATTTCATCAACCCATTTCATAGATATGCTGTGCCCTATGTGCACCACATTTATCTCCCATTATTCTCATAACCCCCCAAAGGAAATTTTGGCGCCCGAAAAAATTGCTAAGTTTTAATTCGTTTCATGTGGGGAACATAATCCAATAGAGTATTTGTACTTTTGAAATAGTCGGCGGATCTGCTTGTCGAATCATTTAATTCTTACTCATATGTGCAAAAAATTACTTCAAAACAATCCAAAACAATCAATCAAGCATATGCAAATTTCATACCATCCGCAAAGGTTTTAATTTCCGTGGCCAACTGTGCCAAACTTTTTCCATTCTTGTGATTCATCAAAGTCACGAAAGCTCTCGGAACTTCGCCCCCTTCATCGGGGACGGGAAAGACACAAACTTCCTTCACTTCTGGGTGCAGTTGGATAACACCCTCCAATTCAGTGGGCGATATCTGGAAAAGTTGACCCAAATTGGTTGACATTTCTGAAAAATATGCATTGGGGCCCGAGGGAATTTTACGTGATTATGGAAATATTTGAAAATATCCTTCGCCCTGTCGACGATGAAGAGGAATCCGTCATCGTTCAGATATCCGACATCCCCCGTTCTAAACCAGCCGTCGATGAAGGCATTCTTCGTACTCTGCAAGGTTATCGAGAACAGTTATCAGATATGTTTTATGCACTATGTACGTGAATGAAGTGACCTCTGGGTTCTTGTAATATCCTTGGAAAATGTAATCCCCCCGAGCCACGATTTCCCCACGTTGATTGGGTCCCAGCACTTCCATCGTGTCGAGATCCCTGATTTGGAGTTGGCCTCCGGGATACGGCTTACCCACGGTGCCGGCTGGAATGTCTGCGTACATATGCGCGAAAACGTGTGTAAAGTAAAATAAGCTCTGGAACCCACACGCTTGGTAACGAAGTATTACCAGGCAGTGACCACCACCAGTGAATAGTATTTTTTTTTACTAACAACTTGTAGTTTTTTTACGCCACAGTTACTGAGATTTCATAATGACAAATTTACTTCTAATCGGTAAAAAAATCATTAACAAGTGAGTAACCTAAAGTTACATATGTACATGCAGTTACTGCCTGGTAATTTCTTGTTACCGGAGTACTTATCATGTTTAAATTCACTTTTGTACGCCTCATGCGCCCCAGTTTCTCTCATATCCGCCGTTGTCGATACACACGGACCCTCCGTCAGTCCGAACGCCTTAAAAAATTATTTTTGTCATGTCGCGAAAATTTTTTAACTCGAAACTATCACTGTACTTACGATCATGACCAATTTTACATTAGTAATGGCCATGAATGCCTTGTGCATTTCCTCCGTGGTGGGGCTGCCTCCGGTAAAAATGGTTTCAACCGAGGTCACGTCATACCCATCAGCATCAGACGAACCCAGCGAAAGGAGAAAGCTGGGGAAAGCAAACACCACGCCGGGCTAGAAAGAAGAGAATATTTCAGCTAATTATTATTAGGAAGAAGATGAACTAAAAACACACAGGAAAGGACAATAAATGTCTTTTGACCACCCACCAAAATGCGGGGAAAATGGCTAAAAATTGTCCAAAATGGAAAATCTTCGGTTTTTTTATTCACATTTTTGATGAATATTTTTGACCAGTGTCAAAAATAAGGTTTGGTTAGCAAAAGTGTTTATAACACCGGGTGTGCGTGAGGGTGGGTGCTAATTCTAAATAATTTATTGCTTATTTATCCACCTTATATTTGTCCACGGTCTGGATGATGATCTCCTTGCTCATTTTCGCCAGCACGACGCCCAACACTCCCCTCACGAGCATGGCGAAGGGAAGCAGCGCCCCAGAAACGTGCGTCCCCTTCGATGCTATCAGATTAGGCTTGTGCTGCATGAAAGGGAAACCGGCCCATTGACGGATATCGTGAACAAGCCCCTTGTGAGAATGCCACGCTCCTGCAGATCGCCATCATATCGAGATTAAAATTAAATGTAATTTTTACCCTCTGAATAGTCCGATAACAAAATTATTACCCAGCTGTGACGATATGTGACTCTACGTACAATAGCATGCAAACTAAGTAAGTTTGTTGCCACGTTGGTAATAAGTTCAATTTTACAATGCAAAAATACTACCAAAAAATTTACTACCCACTGATACCAAGTTGTTATTATCATTGTGGTTGAGTTATGTACATGTTGAAACGCTTGGGCATGCTTTGTTACTGGATTATTTAGAGTGTATCCATAAATAAATACTAAACTAACCCTTGCTAGGTCCTGTGGTTCCCGACGTCGGTAAAATAATAGCCATGTCGTCTCCGGTCATTTCAAATTTTGGCGCAGATTTTCCATTGTCTTTATAAAACTCAGCAAAATTTTGAAACCCATCCGCCCCCTCGCCACATACCACGATTTCCACGGTCCATCCCACCTTGTCGGCAATACTTTGACATTTTGGGGCATTTTCGGCGTCACAGAAAATCCAGCGGGAGTTCGACTCCTTAATCTTTTCCAGGATGGTTTCTGCTCAGGAGGACAAAATTATGTTGCGGAATTAGTTTTGCTACAAAAATTCGCAATATAAATATCTGTATACCTTCAGACTCGTCGACATAGAGCGAACGAACGACCCCATTTGCACGCCAGACGCCCTAAAAAATTTAATTCGATTAAAATTATACTTATTTAATTAATTAAAAAATAATCACCATCATCATGACGATTTGTGGGAGCTGGTGAGACGTCATGTAAACGACGATGTCTCCCTTGCGAAGGCCACGCTTGTAGAAACAACTCGCGACTCGTAGCGTCTCATTGTCAAAGTTTTTAAAGGTGAGACGCTCCCCGGTCAAACCGTTCTCCTAAAATGTGTAAAGATAACCGAGTTATCATAAATATGCAGACTATTTCCCTTGATTAAAACCATCCGCAACAGGACACGGTAAAAAATTATCGTAAGATTTTCGTTCTTTTGACCATCCACCGACATGTAGCAAAAATCTTAAAGTGTCCAAAACTTAAAAATGGGCAACACAACAGCTCCAGTTTTGGACACTTTCGACCAAAATACTGCAAATTTTACTGTAAACACGTTACAATGTCCCGTACCAGAAATGCCTCCCGGCCCTCCTTCAAAAAGTGCTTTGCCCTCTCCAACAAATACTCGGGCACGGTTTCCTCCCTTATTTTCGGGAGAGGTTTGGTTGATGAGACGGATGTAAAGCCAACAACCATTTTTAGCAATACTTTTTCCCAAAAAATTATAACAAAATACTACTTTGCAGGAATTTGTAGGACGAAATTATAAAGTCGTCGTCACTCAGCAGACTGACCCAAAAATCTTCGTCCTCGTGATTATGAACATTTTTCGCTGTACATCCTCCTCTTATAAATACATACGGATTTTAATTGATAATTAAGAAATATTTATGGATAGTTACTTAATTTGGTTGAGGTCGGTCCAGCCCAGACTGCTATGCAAGAGGGAAATTTCGCTATTTGTTGGATAAAATTAGCAGTGTTCCATTTCTGCCGTTTTATGTAACCCCCATTTTCAGTTTTAAAATATTTTACAGGTGTGTGCGAAAATATTCGCAACTATTTACTTGTGATAGTTCCATTTCCCAGTTTTGCCCACTTGCCAAAAAATACTTTTACACGATATCCTATCCAGCATGGTTTTAACCAAGCGAAACCCTGTCTATTGCATAATTCCACGCCACAAACTGCGAAAATTACAGGTTCGCATGCAAACTTTGCGTGTGAAGACGAGAATCAAGTCATTAATTTCATTCAGCTATAAAAATTTGATAATTATTAAGTGGGGACTAACTAACCATGTGCAATTTCTTCCTAGATCTTCCTCATTATCTTGAGATGATACATTTTTTGGATACACGTGTATCCAAAAAACTCTTGCAAATAAATACATAAATTCGTTAATCATTTAAGTATGTTTGTCATTTCCAGAAAATGAGGAAGATTTAGATATCTACAATATGCCAATTTATTTACGCGTGTGTACCAAACATCCGATTTACCTAAATACGTAAACCAATTCAGCACTTTTCCTCCAGTTTTGAAGACTTTTAATTGGGACTGGATTAAGATGCGATGGATGAATCCTATGCGTGACATACATATTTTCCCAATTGTGGTTGGAAAGCTATCGTGGTTTTTATTTATGCAAAAAATTAATTATTTCCTTCTACAACTTTTCGTGGGCATGCAACTCGATATATAAGACTTCATTCAGTCGCGATTACAACGTTTTAACTTAATGTTCCCATTTTTTGCAATGTCTCCTGTTTTATTAGCCTCGTAATTTTATGATGCCATATATGTATATGAGTAAGGTTGGGGTAAAGAAAGTGAGTCATGAGCTACATTTAATTTCCAAATTTTTTGATGTAAGCGTGCAAGTATGTATATTAGTACCTCTAACATTGCATACAAATAATTTATAGATTTTTAGCATTTATAGACCATACATATTTTTCACAACATATTTTGAAAATTCCAGACATCATTTTAACACAATTGTCTAGTGGAGGCTGACATACATATTAGCGTGCATCTATGTTATGCAGAGATGCATCATGCAGTATCTACCGATGAAGACACTTATATTTTTCTCTAGTCGAACCAAGCAGATGAACCTCTTAAGATTAGTGCAAGAATCTGAAAAAGCATTTGCATAAATTTGGTAAATTAAAAAATATTAGAGGTCAATAAGTTTTCTAATTCAAGTAAAATCCTCAAAAATAAGTCATTAAGGAATCTTTTACAAAATTATTGATTAGATATTCTGCGTGTCTTAACATTCATGAAGTTGATTTATTAAAGATACAAAATGTAAGATTATGTACGAACAAATCAAATCTAATACCCCCCAAAAAAATCAACGTTTTCCTGGAATTGGAATTGGGTTAGTGGTCGGCACGTTTGGAATCGAGGACGCCCCGGGAATCATGTTTTTTCCAGTATTTAGCATATTCGCGCCAGTTTTAATCCCTTGCGTCGGGTCCGTCGGCACTGCGCCAGCACCAGGAATAGAGGACATCCCAGGGATGGAGGACGGTCCAGGGATCGAGGAAGCCCCAGGGATTGAGGAAACCCCAGGAATTGACGAAAGTCCCGGAACGGATTGCTGCATAAAAACAAATATTTAGTTAAAAACGTGACCAAATTAGACATTTTTAGCTATTTTCCCTTACCGGTGCACCTTCTACGAGGACATGGGACAAAATTACAGCAAAGGTGACCAAAATTGCGACGCTGACAATTTGACAAGGCTTCATTTTTGGGCAAAGTTTCTCAAATTTTTTAGATGTCTTTACTTTTAGCGAGACTGCGGACGAGTAGCGTTAGGCGCTTGGTTAGTGAGGGCGTATCAATGGAAATGTAAAAATTTGATACAATTCGAGAGAACAATGTGTCCGGATGTAATAAAAACAAAACGTGTGCCCCACGTCCCGTTTGGGAATTTGTATGACATCACGAAGGGTATAAAGAACAATGAAATATGTAGCTGGAAATATGGTATTGAGTCGTTGCAATCAAAAGTTTTGTACCCTACTGAACTTACTTATGTACGGTGTTCATGAAAAATCGGTACATACTTACATATACTGTTTTTCTTCACGTCCATAAAAACTGCATACGAGTGACGTCGACAAAATCGCGAGTCATAACAAGTAATAATTGTGAACCCATGATTGAATAATGTGCGTGAGTAAGTGCATATGTACAATTTTCGATAGTGATGATGACATTGGAAAATATCTTCACGTATATATGCAGGATATTGGTTTATCTCATAGATATGTACATTTATCCTTTACACTTCCAAAAATAGAAACGTATGAAATATTTTATTTATGTATAAACGTCAATTTATTATTTGGGAGGGAAGAGATTGACGACAAATATTATTTTACATATTTATATTACACCTGAATTTACTCTATTACATAATCAAATAGTATTTTTATTATTAATGATTTGTAACAACTGTTTACTAACCAGTCATGCACATACATATTTGTTGTTGTTGGCTATAAGATGCAATAAATAAATAATTATATATTACCCGCATTTTGATGGAACATAAGGTTAAATTATTATGTGAGTTATACCCAAAAAGGAAAAACAAGAGAAAAATTATGTTGAAAGTTTCCTTTCGGAAATAGTGTACTTATTAAATTCCTTCAAATATGATTAATGCAGTGTGCAAATTCATGCACTCCTTGGTACATAATATTGCGAAATTTCGAAGGCGTATAAAAGTAATTAACACATCTTTGTATCATTAAAAATTACCCTTAAGATCAGCCAGATTAAGTTATTACGCTGAGCTACATCAATCTTCATGCACAAACCCGGGTACATCGCGAGCAGGATTTTCCTTGAAGAAATTGACCGGTTTAAGCCAAAATCCTGCAGTTCTAAAATCATACATTTGCATCCAATTGATTATTTATTTACTTAACTCATTGCGTAATTAAATAAATTGTTCCAACTCACTCTACTGACATCGCAGGAAAATCTTCCACTCGAGGAATGTGCGTAACTCCGAAAACATGCCACAAAACGATGTCAGTACCAACCAAATTTGCATCCGGTGTACTCGCCACCCATTCCGGAAGTCCGCTATTGTTCAAGTACGCACCTCCCGCGTAGAGTTGGTTCTCCTCGTATGGCGTGACCCATACGGTGTAATCGACAAAGGCACACTTGGGATGAAGAGGGCTGTCCGGATTGATCATGAGATGAACGGGGCTACCTGCGACGAGGTGATAGCCCATCGGTGTCCGGGAAAAGGGGTGTTTCTTCTCTATGTCTCCGTAAATGTGCCATGATCTCGCAGTGGCTGCGTTGGAATTTGTTCTCGCTTGTGATGGCGTCTTCAAAATGGTGGGAACCGCTTTGAATCCATTTCCGTAAGGGTTTTGAGACGTCCCGGTCGAACCTAAAACGTGATTAAACTCATTTTCAGTGGCGCGAAATTTGAATTCCCTTACCATCCGGGACCACATCCACCATCGCGACGGTATTTGCATTCCCGTCGATCTCAGCGTCCACCCGAACGATGAATAAATGCTGATGATTCGGCGCCAGGATGCCCGGCGTGGGTGTGAAAACTGTCCCGTGATCGGGTGGAGTCACACTTTCGCCCCAAGACGATAGGAAAATTGGGGCATCAATTCCCTGCAGATTGACCTCCATCCGGACGGACGCATCCTGATGGAAGATCCACCTCCACTCGTAGTCGTAATTTCCCACGCTGGACGTGAAGGTGATGACGAGTCGTTGATTCCGCACGGTATACGATCTCTTATCGCGAGTGTTGTATTTCTTCATCAGAACCCCCGCGTCGTCCTCGTACATACAAATAGCGGAGGGTATAGTGACCGGGAGACCGGCTTTGGTGGAAACGACGACATCAAAAAAATGAACGGATCCGCCTTTACAATCCGGCGTGGGGCGGAGAGTGACCGCTGTTTGGCCGATTCCATACTTTCCGGCGTCATAAATCTACCGAAGAATCAATTTAGAGTTTTTACATGCTAATTTAATGGAATTGCCTACAGTTTGAATGGTTTCTCCTGCTATGTGTCCACTATTACCGCCAAAAATATATAACGAAGTCAAATAGACACAGAACGGGAACGAGGTCATATCAACCCATCAATATTCATATCTATCTAAATAAGTACCATTTTGCGATGATATGGAGGCCGGGGGTCACCATAAGGGACGAATAATTCTGATAAGCTGGCTCTATAAATAAGTGGACGAACGTTACCGTTGTCGTTGTAATTAACATGATACAAAACGAGTCCTTCCCTTGGGTTGAACCTGAGTTAAGTTCAACAAGCGTTAAGTACGTAATAAATATAATTCGGAAATTTGTAGTTCACTTGATTCAATTGGTCACGACAATTTTAAATTGGCGTTAAATGCAAAATAAGTTACTACCTACGTGCTCGTTAATTTGTTACAGTTACAAAGTCATCGGCTTATCGGTCTTCTTACCCAATTCTAAACTTGAACTTTTGCCAGGAAACCTGATACCCGGACACTTTGTAGGAAGGGCCACCTTTCTGCGAACAGGTAATTGGGTGGACGTCCTTTCGAAAGAAACCACTTGGGAGAAGGGCGGGATCATAGTTGTGCGAGGTTCGAGGAACACTGGTCTCGCCGAGGGGGGCCTGGCTGGTTTCGAACCCTAACGTGGTCGGGAGCTCTTCGATGGCGAGCATTTTCTTGGCCAGGATGTCAACAACGGCGACGAATCCGACTTGGTGAGCTGAATAGATTTATGCATGACACAGTTGAGATAACGGTTAAATTTTTTGTGACAATTAATATCATTATGAATACCGAAAAAATTGTCATATTGGAAGTTTTGAAAAGTCATGAACACTTGGGCAATCCTCTTTCCTACGTATTCCGGACGGTCACCGGCATATCCAAAGTCCCTGCATTATCACGAAATTGGTTGCATTATTTAATTCGCGGCTACGAGTTACATACATAATGTGAATAATGCGAGTGGTGAAAATTATGCTGTTCAACCTGGATTTCTTAGTGACCCACACAAGTTGGGAAAATTATTCTCAATAAATAACATTTTGTAATGACGTTTCGAATTTTAGAAAATATGTATTGTCGCAAAAATTTAGCTGTTTAGTCTGACTGTGCTTTATACGAATATATGTACATAGATTTATATGTACGTAGTATGCACTTAAAATATATTTATTACTATAATTGTACAAATTCGCACTTGTCAAAATTTTGAGCATTTACCAAAGAAATTGACCTACAGCTAATTGTGAGCCCTTTAAATGTGTGTTAGGAGTATTCTGTATGGTAAAAAATCTGGTTTGAACATAACTTGCATTCAATACTCACCCGCCCAATGGGACCACCATCGACAAATTGGTCAAACCCATCGCTTCCAATCTCCTCCGCACTTCCGGATCGGATAAAACGACCTCATTAATATCTTCTTTATCACCAATGGTGAACATCTGTTGAGTTCCGGGATCCAGCTGAACCACACTTGTCACCTTTTTCCCAAGTAAGTTCACTACCACCTCGTACCCCGCTTGGGTCATGGGGTCCATTATGGTGGCAAACGCCTCCCTGGTTACAAACGGGGGAAGAGTATCATTTAAGAAGTATGGAAGTAGTTCCGACTTCCGGGGTTCCTTTAACGTCACAGTGGAGAAGATGGGGATCAGATTGGGGGAAAAGTTGGCTGTAATTATTTGAGATGCCAGTCTGATTTCGGTAGATGTTAGTGGGTCCAGCGGGTGTGGTTTGGGGGTTGGTTTAGAAATATCTGCTACATAAGTAGTGAAATTCATTTAAATATTTAATGTGACCTGACCAACAAAAAAATTACTCTAAATAATGCAATGTAAAAAATTCAGCAATAAAGAATCGTGGATACCCAGCTTATTTATGATTATATACAAGTGAATATGAATTTATGTAAAAAAAATGTACCGATTAGAATTTTGTCACCATATTATTTAGAGTGGGATGAGCCACTTTATGTAAATCATAATCAGTAGCTTCTTACGTGGTATGTGGAACCAATTTACACCAAAAATTTTGTGTTGTTCGACGAAAGAAGGGTCACTTTCTGTCGTCGTCGTAGATTCATGGATTTGCAACATGGTAATTAATATAGTGAAAAACGTAGGAATCAATGCGTACTTTAACTTAACCATATTTATTTAGTAACCGTATGTATGTATGACAAATTTAATTGAGATGGTCCCAGTTGAACTTCCAAAGTACGACTTAAATTGTCAACTTGATTTTTCTGACAATTTTCAAAATCTAATTATTTCTGGATTAATCGATTCCTTGTTGCATCTTACTGTTATCATTATTTATTCCAAAAACAACGGTAGAGTTAACGGCATCAATTCATACAGAATATGGATTTAAGTCCTAAATAAACAATTTACTATGTACATACATACGTACGTAAAATGAAGATTACTACAAAGGTCAGCATTATAAATTTGTGTGGCAAACTGCATATGTATATTGATGCACTCTAATAAATCCTGTAACAGGGTTTGTCACCGCGTGGTAGTACGACTGTCACCATTCGATAGCCTTCTAGGACCAGTAAACTGTAACAATTTACATGCAGTCACATTTCAGTGATGTGATTGATAACGCAGCATTTCTTCGAGTGTCTAACTCCTTAATCGGTGTGAACTTTAATTAAATAAGTATGTAAATAATTGATAATGAACTACAAAGTATGGACTTTTGAACGATGGTACCATTTCATTCTGATCGGTTTGACCATCTTGAATAAATATTGATGCATGAGTTATTGCTCACAAATACTCACAATTTTATTACTTTCAAACTAAATTTATATACATACATTTACTAACGGTAGATTGTTGAATGCCAATTGGTGTCATAATTTATATGTACTAATGCTTCACATTTTGCTTAGAGTGATACGACTACAACGTTAATCATAATATTTGGAGATAGACGTCACTCTACGCGGAATGCAATGCCTTCGTACATACTTTTATGTATATATGTAAATACATACTCCTACGTAGGTACTTAAACAATAATATTTCCCGCTTTTGGTAATCCTAAGTTTCTGAAACATTAAAATTCCCCGCTTTTGGTAATCCTAAGTTTCTTAAACATTAAAATTCCCCGCTTTTGGTAATCCTTAGGCTCTTAAATGTTACAATTTGTCACTTCAGATTATCCTGAAGTACTTAAACAATAATATTCCCCGCTTTTGGTAATCATAAGTTTCTTAAACATTAAAATTTCCCGCCTTTAGGTAGTCCTTATTTACTTAAACATTAAAATTCCCCGCTTTTGGTAATCCTCATTTACTTAAACATTAAAATTTCCCGCTTTTGGTAATCCTCATTTACTTAAACATTAAAATTTCCCGCTTTTGGTGGCCATTATTTACTTAAACATTAAAATTTCCCGCTTTTGGTAATCCTTATTTACTTAAACATTAACATTTCCCGATTTTGGTAGTCCTTATGTACTTAAATATTAATATATCCAGCTTTCCAAATGAAATGAACAAAATAAATATATTCACAACATTTCCATATAAATATCTAACAAATTAGATATCTTGAACGACATTCCCTTAAGTACCAACTATTACGTATATAATTACGAATAATTTTCAACCATTTAGTTGTGTTTATACTTCACGTCATCCTCACTTCACTCGGTCAATTCGATCTTTTGATTGGCCAGAATTTTTGTTTTTGTATATTACAATTACCTACTTCTTCCAGTAAAAAAATCCAATTGGCCGAGTGAATTGATGATGACGTGAACTATAAACACACCTTTAGAAAATATGTAATTAATTCAGCATCCATCCCGCTACGCAAATCCACCATTGTGGTCCAATTTATGTATCAAATATATGAATACGATAAGAGCGATGATTAATTTACGTAGAGGGAATGATGCCTGACGATTATTTTGGCTCTGCTTATTATTGTTGTTTATCCTTAAAATTGCCAGTTGAGTCCAGGGTCCATATTATTTTTTAACCCTTTTTTATGTCGTATTAAGTATTTGCTTTTTCCTACATAACTTTTGTAACCCTCAAAGCCATAAATACACAGGATCAGTTCGCACATGCATGTGTACTAAATTCTGTCTGAAATTAATCGCTAGCTCTGTACTCTGACCTGCAAAAATTTTTACGGTTTAAATTTTCAAATCGCGACACCCCTTGGAATTTAGGACAACGATTAAACTTTCAGTTTTTGTGTATTCCGTTTGAAAGTTTAAACGATTGTTTAAAATGTCTACATACAGTTTCCTTATCTGCTTTTTTATCATTTCTCCAAAATTTTGAAACTCCAAACAGGATTTCGAAACTTACTTATGTATGAATGAATAGACATTAAATTACAAACCCACTACTTCCTCACTGGTGCGAACAAAATTTCATGGCCAAAACCTAATCTCACTGATTCGGAAACAAATTACCCTCTTCCGTACTTTTCCCAGATATGAACAATTCTAAAAACCTTCATTTGAATTGTTGAACTTGTTATGGAGTGGTGTGCGCTTAAACTTGCATTATTTATAACATTAGGATAAATAGACCAAATGTTAAATTGAAAATTCTGTCTAAAGGGTGTTGATTTAATTCGCGAACATTTTTAACTGCAAAACGGAAACGGTTGTTTTACAAAAGTACGACTACTACCAAAGCCTATCTTTTTTTAATTGATGCCTCAGTATTTGGTCTTTCCACCATGCACATCAATCATCCCTTCAACTCTTTGCTGTAGCCTCCATGCTAATTTTCCCAAGCTGATTTTGGCACTGGATTTAATTTGCTTTGAACTTTGGTAATTATGTCTTCCCATGTTGAAGGTTTTGGATCTGGTGCACTTTTTCCTTAGGTCTATGCAACATGTTATCCTGGGAATACGCGGCCAGATTTTTATCATTCCACAAAAATTTCCTACGTACGATTGAAACTTGTTGCTCCAATATCTACATAGTGGAGTCTTCGATGTGATATGTGACATTGTCCTGGTTGAAAATAATGTTTATCTTAACTGGCAATAATTCCTTATTCCTTAAGCTATCAGAGCACATAGGTCGAATTCTGTCCATATCTCCCGTTTCATCATGTTTTCTCATTTTCATACAGTATTCAGAGATGCCACGGCACGCGCCAAAAGCCACTTGATACCACAACTTCCGACCCAAATTTGAGGACCCTCAGTAATGACTGGTCCGATTTTTTTGCTGTTCTTTATCTTCAATTTTGTCAGTATCATATTGGATATACATTAATTTCAGACTCATCGATTCCGCGGATGTGGTGACCAAGTTCCTAACGTCATCAAATAACCGCTGTTTCAAGGAGTTTATGCAAATGCAACACGGAAATCATTATGTTTGGAAGGAAAATGATTTTTCTCCGTTAGCTTGTTAGTTCTGTGACCATATAATGCCAATTCGACGATAGTTTTTACCGCAATGGACAATTTATCTTCGATTTTCGTTAAATCCATTTTCCGTTGTTCAACTCCCTTGAACCATTTCGACGAGAACTTCAAGTTTTCGAACGAAATATCAACATATTCGTTGTTTTCCTAGTAGGTGGGACCCATTTGAGTTGTTCAGATCATTCTTCATGTTCGAAAAATTTTTGTTCATCCATTGGCACAAAGTGTTTCAGGCACGTCAGAATTTTGGTGGATATTTTATTTCACCTGGAATTCCTCATTTCCAAGACCTGCATCCCAATGGTATTACGCTAATGATTACTACCTATCATCGGTCCACACATGGTGACAATTTCAAAGAAAAATATTAACGGGCTCAATAATTATAGCAGACTTTGTCTCGAGCTTGAGCCGAAAAATGGATGTTCGCGGATTAAATCAACACCCTTTATTCCTGTGCTGCTCTGAATCGGAATCGTAAATGCTTTACAGAAACTGCTCCCATCATCGCAAACATGAATAGAAATTTGAATTTACGCGAAGGCAAATTGGCCCGAGCAAAATATCTGGACCACACCCCTAGAAAGGCATGGGTTTCAATGAACGTTGGATAACTAACCCCCCTTGAAACTCCATATCTTAATTCCCAAAAGCCCGAAAAATAGAATTGTTCGAGAGCAGTAGGTTTTGGCCAGAAATTTAAGTAATCTCGACCAGTGTGGCTTCGAGGTGAGGCCAAACATGAATTTTAAATAGTAATATAGCACCTCAATGGGTATTGTGTATTATCGTCAGCTCGGACTCAACTGGCACTTCAAAGACATTAACGAAATCCTCAATTTTCACGTTTCATTTCTTTGTCGCTTGTATCACTAGACTTGCATCTTAACTGATCCGGTCCAGGGCTGAACATTTTATGAATATTTAAAATTAGATCAACCCTTTTAAAATGATCCAGTTTTTGACCGTCTAATTTTGCAATGGTTTCTGCCCGAGCTAAATTTTCTGACGCCAGGGTCGCGATTTGTTTCATGAGTTGAGCATTCTCTTCTCTCAGGGCGTCATTTTCCATCTGCATTTGTGTCAAACGTTTCTTTGCCAGGTCGCGATTTTTCTTGGCGTTTATCGCGTTTCTGACCGATTTTGTGGTTGGGATTTCTTCATACTTTTTAACCTTCTTGGGTTTTTGGATAAGTTTCTTGTTCGGATTTGGAGGTCGTCCCCTCTTCCTTTTTACAAGCGTTTGCAGGGTCGTCGACATCGTGTTGAGTTAGTATTAATTTTATTACAGGGTTGGTTTAGATTTCCGAGACTTATTAATTTCCTGGTGTGGTCTTTTGTAATTTCGAAATTACTCCAACTTTTTTATCCTCCCTGGAACTTATTAAAACACCCAATTATTACGGTTTAGTTAAACATATGTACATATTTATAGGGGAAAATTCTGTCGTAAAAATGCAAATATGTATAATCAAATATCCAATTAATAACGAATTTAAATTTATTTACCGGTGATGCTGTTTCGCCAAACAATTTTTTACGTTTTTTCATCCTAATTTTAAATTAGAATGAAACGTGCAGACACATCTGCACCAACCTCTTCTGGAACGATTCGTTGAATAATGGACATAAAATCAAGTGTATATAGGTACGTAGATACTTCAGATATGTATGATCCATAAGTTGTACACGGATAGGTTTAACCAGTATGGAGGATGCACAATGCGACGTAATATCAATTTACGTAAATATGTATCTATGAAGCACAGACAGTCCACCATTTCATCACCGACCACATTTTTTATCCCATCTCCCAAATACTAAAGCACATACATACATATCCACGTGTCGTATATTCACATCCACTCATATATGTACAAGTATACTTTGATAAAGATGCCGTACATAAAGGGTGTGCTAAATTTTCGGGGAATTTTTATAAGTGCACCATGTGGAGATCGATATGTGCATAAGTACATACCGTGTATGTACCTAATCTGGAAAGATATATAGGATATCTTGATCTCCTATCCCATCCCATGCTTAATGCCAGGTCCCAAACGTTTTTAGCATAAAAAGTAACCACATCACATTCTCATTGTCTGTCTCATCGCATGCATAAACAACATGAACGTTTGTACGGAAAATTGTGATTCATTTATGTACTTATGTACATGTGTTTGTATTCACTCCATGGTTACATACGATTTGTATGTAACTTACGCCTCGTAAGTTACGAGTATTCGACTGTACTTATCACACCTGTGATCAACCGGTGATTCAGTGTGTGCTTACGGAGTGACCGATATTAAGCTGGTTGTTTTACGGGACAATTTCAACAAGCTAATAAACTTTACCTACCTGAAGAATGAACATGGACATCACTGGTGATAAAGGTGACTCGGTTTTGACGTCAAACTTTGACGTGAGTAAAATAACAAAGGAAATCGTCACCTTATCGCCGCCTCTAAAATTGAAAAGTCATTCTCAATCGGTTAAATCATCTCCGGCAGCATTCATCTTAAGAAACTGTTTGACCAAGGCAGAGTGTGCGGCTTTAATAGAGTTGGCTGAAAATAATGAAGCCGGCAAAAGTTTATTTTCGGAAACGGTAGTAAATTTGGAAGGAGTGGACGTCGTCAATCAGGATGTTAGAGAAGGCTCGAGATATATTTTGGACTCTGTAAGAACCGATTCCCAAGCGTATATAGCAGAATTAGTGTTTGGTGTCACCTCATATGCATATTTTGAATTTTTGACGCATTATGTAGCGATAGTTTATTCAACATGGAAACCCCCTATCGCCGAAAACGGGCATAGTGAGATTTATGCAAATAAGGTGATCCGCAAAAGTATTCGTGCATTTAACGAACTTTAACATGAACGAAAATTCATATCAATTTCAATTACAATACATGCATTGCCTATGCATTTTAATTAAAGAGTGATTTGCGTATAAAATATGACGGATTAAAATTTTTAATAAAATCTGTCACATTAATCGACTAAAAATTTACATAATATGCAGATTCATCGACGAAATATAATTTTTAGCTATCAAAAAAGTATCAAATCATGTACGTAGCATTATTTCCACTCAAATTTGAATTCTCTAAACAAATCAACACTGTGTAATAATTCAAAATTTGAAATTTAAATTTTACTATTCCCTTCCCAGGAGAACATCGTGTCCCAACTGTGGACCAGGATTCGTCCCCGTATTCCCACCAATTTGAAGGGTGCCGTCGTCACCGGGCTGAACGAACGATTACGCTTTCTTCGGTACGAGACTGGTCAAAAGTTTGCGCCCCACTACGACGGCACCTACTCGAGAGAAGACGACCCTCTGGAAGTCAGCCTGATCACGTTGCAAATTTACTTGAACGACAATTTCGAAGGGGGCGAGACCAATTTTCTTGGCGATGATGATGACGACGACAAGTCCGGGAAAAACTTTGAAGTCGACAAAGTCAGAATCACTCCAGAAACCGGAATGATCCTTGTTTTCGAGCAGGACCTCATGCACGAAGGGGCCGAATTAAAGAACGGTGTGAAGTACACGGTTCGAACGGATGTGATGTACTCGTACTCAAAAAAGAAGAATATTATGATGTAACGGTTTGTACTGTAAGTAAATATGTACATACGCATTTGAAATATTTTAAATGCGTACGTACATTATTTAATGTTCTAGCCGAAACTAGCCGAAAGAATAAAAATGTGTATATGGACCACTTGAAATATTTTGCACACCTGTCGTAAAGGACATATCATAGGTACACATATTCATCTACTTATACCCGATCTTATTACATAGAATAGCACAGATTTTATTTTTTACATATCAACTTGTTACCAACTTTGTAATTTTACAAGAGTTCGGAAAAATATTACAGACAACTAGTGAGCATTTAAAATAAATAGAGCATTATGAACTTTAACTACATGAAGAAGACCCTTCTTGAATGTTCACTCCTAGATGCCTGCCTATGTAGATATGTATAGATAGCAAATTTTGGAGTCAACAACGAAAAACGTTGGATATGCGTCTTAAACATAAATCAGCAACACATTTCGAATTTCTTCCCAACGGTTTGAATCGTATTTGGACAAAGTAGATGAGATACTTTGAACTTTGGAAAATTACATTGCATGGTTAACAAATAACTTGATTCTCGGTTTAATCATTTTTGAACTTGTTCAAAACTTGGTCATTCGAATGCATTCAGAAATTTTATATTGCAGCCAATGCCGTTGAAAGGATACTATTGTTGATTGATGGAACTATTTCAGAGCAAGAGTTTTATCTGTATTTCTTGGTATGAATTAGAAAGAATTTCAGACAAAATGAACGTATGAAATCTATCAGTTCATTTTGTTTTAAATTCCTTCAAAGACCGGATGTTATTAGTGATGGTAATCCGTAACCGACCCTATCCTAGGATCGTAAAAACTCGGATAGGATCGGATTTTCACACGGATCGGATAGAGGATCTGAGGATCAGACAATCCGATCCTATCCGAACCGATGCAATCCTAGGATCGTATAGGATCCTCGGATCATCCGATGTAAATATAAACCATTCACCACTTCAACACTTACGAACACCAATTGAAATACATTTCTTGGGTAACCAACTTTGGGGTTGTAACCAAGTCAAAATTTCATTTTGGAAACTTTGGGGGTGTAACCAAGTCAAAATTTTATTTTGGAAACTTTGGGGGTGTAACCAAGTCAAAATTTTATTTTGGAAACTTTGGGGGTGTAACCAAGTCAAAATTTTATTTTGGAAACTTTGGGGGTGTAACCAAGTCAAAATTTCATTTTGGAAACTTTGGGGGTGTAACCCAGTTAAATTTGTTGGATTTAATATAAAAATAACGGCTAATTTCAATAATCATTTTGGAGATGACGAGTTGTTAGAATTTTAATTATTAATCAATTATGTATGTTTATACGCATATAAATAAACAAAAGCAGCTGGTAAAGTGTTTCCATAGTTACTATCAACTCAGTTTTTCTTTTCCATCCCGCGCTGGTATCCTTCCCATGCTATTAGTATGGTAGGGATACGAAGCGGGAATCAAATTTTTGGTGAAGTAATTCTGAGTCAGTAGTAGACACATGCATGTCAAGTGAATCTTGTATCATCCGCGGATATCCTATGATCCTAGGATCGGATCGCATCGGATTTCCAGCTGAACCGCGAACCGATCCGATCCTAAAGTGAGCAAATCCGATCCGATCCGATCCTGTATTTATCCGATCCTATCCTACGGACCGGTTAATTTAGGATACGGATTACCATCCCTAGATGTTATCGTTATTCAAAGACCAAAATCTGTCAGTAAAATTTAATAATATAATAGACTACATTATTGTAGTCGGATATGCACATCCCTGATTTAATGAAATGCAAATCAGTACAAACAATGTATGAATAAATGTGCATTAAATAAAATTCAAATAACCCAATGTACACAAATTTTGTTACGGTTTTAAATCGCAAATATTGTATATGAACGTCCAGGGCCCGTGAAAGGGGGAAGCAGTTGCCCTGCTTGCCGCCCATTTCACGGGCCCTGATGCCTGTACGGCTCACAGTAAGTTAGTGGGTGGGTCGGAGGACCCACTTGATCCAGGTCATTTTGTAAGTATTATTGTATGTTGTCATCACGGCGGCTTCAACACAGCTCCTAGGACCTTACCCCGTACATAAACTAATGACAAGTATTGGTTCCTGTCACTTTCTAGAATTACAGATCGGAAATTACGAAAACTCGACCATAGGTGCGCAGCTTCCAACAGCTTCCGCTTCCGACCAAAATTTTCGCTTCCAGCTTCCAGTGCTTCCGCTTCCGCCCAAAGTTTGTGCTTCCGACTTCCAGCGCCTTCGCTTCCGACTAAAAATCGCCGCTTCCGACGTCACATTCTCGAGAGTGTGTTACAGTGTGTTTCGCAAAAAAAGTGTTTGGGACAAGTCTAAAACCATTTGTATCACAAACCTGGAATTCGAGTGCATAAAACTGCTCTTAATGTAAATTCCATTGTCGGATTTTATCTAATTTTCTAAATGTTGTTGCAATTTCAAATAATTTGCACAATTTCAAATTTTTTACAAGTAAAAACCAATATGTAATTTTTTAAAAAATCGCTACTTGCTAAGGAAAATTTTCATAATTTCTTCAAACAAATCTTGACACAAATTACAAATTTTCAAAAATCAGAGAGTATACATAGAAACAGGATGTGTACAATTTAAAACATTTGAACACAGTATTTTAACTGCAGTTAAATATGAGTATATGTATAAAAGTAAGTATGTAAGTACATCTATATTATAATCTATATTATAAGCTGGAAATGTCTGTCGGCAACGGAAGTGTTCCGCAACCGAAGTGAAAGTAAAGAAAGTCAAGTTTAGAGTGGCGCGAATTTTTAAATTAAATTAAAAATTAAAAAATGAAAGTCTGATTATGCAGTTATCTTGGGATGGTTGTTTTACGGTGGTTATCAACTCCCAGATAAACACCATCAAATATGAGATAAATGTTCAAAATATTTAGAAATTTCAGAATCACATACTTCGCGGAACATTTGCTTTCACTTCTGTTGTCAACAGACATTTCCAGCCTATAATTTACGCCCGGCAGATGACGGGCTTATACGCTTGTATTTAATACGCGAGCCCTCACTTCCAACTTCACCTACACAAATAAAAAATCCAGTCATTAAAAAAATTCACTTATATATCACACATAAAATTTTGGGAAACACTTCCTCACTCGATAGGATTTTTTACAGTTCACCTTTCTTCGTCATTAGTAAATATGTACATAGTTGAGTTTTTATAGTTTTAATTGGCATGCTGAGCAAGATAAGTATGCAATTATCCATTTCCAGTGAATATATGTATTTACTTACACAATTGACTACGAATTGATCCAGTTTATATTAGCTGATGCTTGTTGACGGTTTAAGGCTACTGTGGATGACGCGTTGGAGCGTTAATCTCACTCTACCTCTATCCAAATATCTTGAAATGCATCTTCAAAAATTGAATCAACTCCAGGAGTTTTGAGATAAATTCAACTTTGATATTGTAATCTAAATCTAATTTTTGGTACTATCATTACAAACAAGTTGATTTGAAAAAATAGCCAATTCTTTTGCCATTTTTTCGCTATGAATTTCCTAAAAAATGAACTCGCTAATTTTTTTCGCATGCCGATTTAACGGTCCAACCAAAATGTATTTGATCCCAACCAAAATTAATAATTCCCCAAGTCAAAAAAGGTCCAACCAATTTATGTACTACCCTCAACAGAATAATTGGATTTTTAAGTAAGAAATACATAATGAAGTTTGCATGGCAAAATAATCAAAATTTTACAATATCAAAGAAGATTTATGCATTTTGTCGACAATCAAATGCTTCGCAATTTTTTTTATCACGCTTAGGTTTTTAAGTGTCGGGGATCGTCTGCTTATTCTTGGAATAATGACGGGCTAGATATTTTGTAACCCTTTCTGGGATGTATTCCAATATTTTAACGCAATCGATTTTAAGTCTTTTACATAATTCTACTTCCAACAATATACTACTTTCGAATTTTCGAAGAAGTCCGAACAGAATTGGATTTTTTGGCGAGCGCATGGAGTGGTAATTTTCGTAATTTTTGCCCCTTTGAGTAGGCGCAATTGTGGCCCTGTCATTTTGATATGGATAAATATTTTTTGGCTTAATTGTTTTCAATAGTACAATAAGCAAGTTGAGTCACAGCCTAAGATTAAAACCACTATGATTTGGTTGGATTATTTTATTATTTTGGTTGGACAGGAAAATATAAACCCGTTGGCCATTTCATTATGGGCGAAATTATTAATTTGGTTGGGGAAAATATGATTTTGGATAGGTGGTATAAAATCAACCTATTTTGTCAAATCTACTTGTTTATAGTACTAAGAATTAGATTTAGATTAAACTATAAAAAGTTGCATTTGTCTCAAAACTCAAGTTCATTCAATTTTAGAAATTATATTTACAGACATTGAACAAGGGTTGAGTGATACTAAAAACTGTATGAAGATATGGGGCCTTAACAAAGAATTACTTTGACATATGTATATACATATGTATATATGTTTGTCAGCTATTTTGCCATGAAAATAGATACATGATATGATGATGATGATGATGCCCAATATATAATGATATCCATGTAATGTCTATACAATAATAATGAAAATACGTACATAATAATGAATAAAAAACTTGTCACGCTTGTAGTTTATTTTTATTACCATTCGGCTGCATGACCAGGCGTCAGAATGACCACGTCTGGCGTCCAAGAGCAGGAAGACAAGCTCATATACATATTCCAATGTCATATGTATTGCATATCCTGTCTCTAGAATACATATTTATGTATGCAATTGTGCATACAATTGTGTATGCTACTTTTCCTTCATTGCCTAATTATATCTGGCAAAGTCAGTAATTGGTAAGTTAGATATTATTGAAATATGCATTTTTACAGTAACATGAACAAAAAAGAACCACAATTTTTCCTCCCTCGTATATGCATCAGTGGTTCTTCGCCTATAAATGTAGTTGTAAAATTAAAACCAGAATCATTCTGTCAAAAACATTTATTGAACTGATAGGTTTATTAAACCAAGAGGTCATTTAATTATTGTTTAAGAAATTATTTTGGAAATTAAATTGAAATTGAAGGTGAGATATGGTACAAGATTAATTTCAATTACATTTTGTATACAAAAACTTTATAGATTCAGCCGTTAAGGTAATTGATTTCCAAATGTTTTAGATGGACGCCTTAACCTCAGGCTTCGTGGGGACGACGATTTTTCTTGGGTTTCTAATTGGAACGAAGAGATGGCCAATTTTTAGCAAGTCTAGAAGCCCAATTCCTCCCGGGGTTAGGTCGGTCCCCTTGGTTGAAGGAGGGCTGCCCTTCATTGGACACGGAATCGCCTTTGCCATCGATAGTATCGGCTTTGTGAGAAAGTGCTATGCAAAATATGGCAAAGTAATCTACTTATCCATAAACAACTCATCACGCATAAAGCATGTCATCGATTTGAGGCGAATTAGCGACGACATCCTATATTTGCTTAGCAGCAAAGTGGAAAATAAAGAACGTCCGGGAATGAATGGGAATGCGCGCTCTAGCGAGTATATTGAAAAATCAATAAACCCGCGAACTATAATAATTTAAATTTCTGAAAGCCCACTTCATTAGGGTCAATTTGGTATATCACTCTTAAATTTCAAAAATGGATAAGGGTAGAAGAAGCTTGTTTGAAAGGGAGCTGTTAGCAAAACGAGTGATGGAGTTCTACAACACGACAGCCAACCGAGACTCCAAGGTGACCTGGAACTTTTTTAAGCAGGAAGGAATTCCAAGTTCAAATGTGTATTCCTACATAAAAAAGTTCAAGGATTCCGAAAATGTGCAATTCAAGAAGCCAGCTGGTCGTCCGGCGAACCTAGCGACCACTCGAGTGAAAAATAGAATTGAAAAAATTTTCAAAACCAAGCCATCAACGTCAGTAGCTGTAGCTGCCAGGAAAGTCAAAATTTCCAAAAGCTACCTGGGGGAAATTAAGGTCCATAAATTAGGAATCAAAGCAAGGACCAAAAAACCTGCACCAAATTACAAGCCCGTACAAGAAAGTCGGATCAAGGATTGCTGTCAAAAATTGTTGAAGAAAATGCGTGGAAAAGTAGTGATCCTGGATGACGAAACGTATGTTCCGGTTGACCCTTCAAATCTTCCAGGGCGTCATTTTTTTCATAGCTCGGATCCCTCTGAAGTGGCTTATGAAGAAAAAGTACGAAAAAAAGACAAATTTCCAAAGAAATATTGCATTTGGCAATGCATCTCCAGTCACGGACATGTATCAGACCCGGTAGTTCTCGAAGGGAATATCAATCAAGATATTTATCTGAAAAATTGCGTCAAGGCTGGATTGGAAGCATTTATTAATAGGTTTCACAAAAATGATAAAGTTTTGTTTTGGCCTGACCTCGCCACTTGTCACTATGCAAAGAAAGTGACCGAGTACCTCAGAAAGAAAAATATTGATTTCGTACCAAAAGATATCAACCCACCTAATGTACCCCAACTCCGCCCAATCGAAAAATTCTGGGCACGTTCTAAGTCAGTATACTCCCGGCTTCAAGATGTGCCTGACACCTTTCGAAAATTCAAAGGACGATGGAAGAAAATCACCTCGGAAGTGGCAAAAACTTCGGGAAAAAATTTAATGAAAAATCTTCGCAAGAAAATCGAACTAGTCGCCAACGGGGGTGTGGCGGCCTTAGCTATTAATTAAATTATGTAGGTACGTATTTGGTATTATACATATGCAAAAAGTTTAAAATTCCGATAACTCATTGTGATTTTATGACCACATTTTCAGACCATTCCCATTCATTCCCGGACGTTCTTTAAATTCGGATACGACTGGCTTTATTGGTCTTGACTCATTCCATCCCCCTTGAAATCGAAATTTTACCAAAAATTCTCCTTAAAATTTATGACAAGCTTAATAATGCATAGTACCGCTGTGAATCAAGCATTTAAATCGTTTGTATTTATAACAGGTTTTCAAAATAAAAATATTTCGATTTTCGATGATCCTCGTATGCGATCGAGAATGTGCCGCAGAATATTTCAAGGCTGGCGAACACAAGTTTTCCTTCGTCGATATATTAACGATGCTCTACTTTGCTGATGCCTTTTCAGACGTAGGAATTCCAGTGACACGATTACAAAAGCTTATGCACAAAACGGTTGCCGTACGGGTTGACCGATTCCTCCCAAAAATAAAGGTTGAGGCGGAACGATGCATAGCTCGTTTAGAAGAACAGGTAAGTACATACATGTTTAACAGAATTTGTAGGATTACATTTCTATTGTTCAAAAACATGGATCATCAATATTTGTTATTGGTAAAGCCACGGTTTTTAATCTTTAAAGATTAAAACCTGTAGCTATTTTTTGGACCGAAGGGCTTACTACTTATTTTTGAACTATTAAAATTCTAATGGTTTCAAGGTCCAGACTTTTGCGGGAAATCGGGAAATAAATTTTGCAAAGGACATGGTCCGTTTTGTGATGTCCACAAGCGTAATGTGCTTCATGGGGATAGAACTGTCGGATCGGGCATTTGAAAATATGTACGAATTCAACCAACTCGTCAACACCGTGGTGAGCTCAGCCTACTTTCTGCCACCTTGGTTGATCAGGCTTATCTTTGGCAGAAGGCTGGCATCTTATAGGAACAGAGTACTCATAGAATTTGAGCCAGAAATTGAGAAATACAGGGCAGATCGGGGAAAAAATGAGTCCATCATTTTGCGGTATGCTTTCCCATTGATGCAATTTTTCTAATTGTGATGTTTTTCGCACTCATTAAAATACAGACTCCGTGTTTGCACTTCCTCTGAATATCACTGACCTATTAAATAGGGCCACTGTCGATTCATTCAACGAACTAACAGGAAAGCCACTCACTAACCGGGAAATTGGTGAGATATTGCTCTGTCTGTTGTTCGTCAGCTCGGAAAATACGGCGACCGGGCTTACACTCGCGATCGTGAATTTGGTCAATCATCCCGAACATTGGGATCGGGCTAGGGCAGAGAGTCGGAAATTCTTGCGAAACGGAGATGTCAAGGGGATCATGACTTCGGAATATTTGCACGCCTGTGTCATGGAGATGGCAAGACTGAATTCGCATATGTTTGCAATATTGAGAAGACCGAGGGAAAAGTTGGTTATTAAAAAAATAGTTTCTTATGTACTAGGTTGCCAGAAGATAAGTATGTATGTATTCTTTAATTAGGAATGTTCTGGGAGAATTTTTCGTCGGTGAGGTTGACGCTGTTGGCATGTGCGTACAAATGATGCAAGTTCATGGTTCGGCGGAAGAGGTTTTCTCCGACCCGACAACCTACAAGCCGGACCGTTTTCTGGGAGGTGTGGATGGCTTAGGAGACAAGGAACCGATGGGTCGCAAGATATTATGACGTGGGGGTCAGGTAAGTGTTTCGTAACGAGGTGTTCCTCGCCCCTAAGATATTTGTTCTAATAATTCATTATATGTATGTGCATATATACTTACGTAGGTCTTCATCTTTGCCCTGGACGAACATTTGCCCTGTACGAGATCAAGATGGCGCTAGCTTATTTCATTGATAAATTTAACCTTGAAATTGTCTCATCTTCATCATTGAATTTCTTTTCACCATTAGCGTTTGGAAAAATGGAGGTGAATGTTAGTTTGAGCTTGATGGATAATGACCAAATAGCAGAATAAATATATAAATTATTTAGTAGGAAGTCGGACAGTTTGGCGAAAACCCTTTTGGCAAAAAAAATTCGCCAAAACAAAATCCCATTTGGTGAAAATAAAATTTCACCCATTCTAAGGCATTTTGAGCACAATGTTTTTAAAGTACCATTTGGCGAAAAAATGTCACATTTGGCGAAAAAATGTCACATTTGGCGAAAGTGACGGTTATATGAGTGTGCTAAGCTATGAAGACAATGCCACAAAAATTGATCATTCTCTGTACATTCGTAATATATTTGAACTATAGCATTCCTTCCGGGTAACAACTCTGCAACTTAATTACTTATGTATCCATGTAATAATACTTATTAGTACATACATATTGATTCCACGTCTTGATTGGACTTGGCAGCAGCACATCACATCACGGCAAAAGCAATAATTCGGTTTGATGTGCAACAGGGTGAGAAGAATAAATGCATACACGGTCACAAAAGAGTGATCGAACCCCGATAAATGATAAATGCTCGATAAACCTAGATACATACATTTAAAATGGATTCATAAGTGGTAACAATCAAGCAATTGTATGTAATATTTATAAATGATTATGTTTTTACTGTTCATTTGTTCAACAATACCTATAGCTAAACTTATAGAGCTTACAGGGCAAATACTTTCATGGTTAGTTAGCCCGGATATTTATTCCCTCGGCATAATAAGCTATATAATTATCGTATAATATATTAATCTATTTTAATTTTAAGGTATTTGGCATGAACAAATGTGAAATTTGTATTTCGCCAAATATGATTTTAGTATATTTTCATTTTCGCCAAATGCGACAAAAATTTCCCATCCGGTACTTTCATGATAATTTTTTTTACCATTTTGGCGAAAATTTATTTTCGCCAAACTGTCTGCAAATAATTTAGTATGCATTATGCTTGGATATATTTTAAAAATTAGCAGCGTACAACAGTTTCACATTGCAGTTGTGTTGAATAATACCACAAACTTAAATACAGGGAAACTCGTGTAAAACATTTTAATAAACATTACATAAAAGCGTGAACATTTTAAAGAAATTGATTCGCTAGATAAATCCACACTTTTTGTTTCTAAAAAACAATTCCTAGCTTCAATATAAGGTTAACAATCCTTAAAAAAGTAATTACTGAGTTTCATATTAGGTTTATGATTGCTTCAATTTTGTCTTTGTGGCGAGATTATTAACAAATCTACCCATCCAGATTACAAAAATACCCAGGCACAAAATAGCCATAACAACCGCAAGTAACAAAACTAACCAGACGTCCAAGTTCCTTCTTTGATACCAAGTCAGATTTCGCGCCATGGGTTTCAAATGTGACAGGTGGTCATGCCGAAGAACATACTCCGTCCAGAAGACAGCCGTCTCGATTGGCGGAATGGGCAAGTCGGTAAAAATATTGGACATTTTTTGTACCCTTTGCTTGAATCTGGGGTCGTAAAGGACGCTGGACAGGGCACTCTGAAGGTTCTGGTCAGTAAAATTATGAACGTCCAGTCGTACCGTTAGGCCACGTTCCTCCAGCTGCATGGCGTTGAAATCCTGATCTAATAGATATGTATGCACACTCTTAGAAATCCAGTATTAAAATAATACCAAGCGGTATTCATACATGACTCTACCCAAGTGTTATTGATATACAAGAAAGGCTCGGTATTATAGTTTTACCATATCCATAGCAAGTTTTTAGGGACCCGCGTAATTTTAATACCGAGCGGTAGCAACTTTAATACAGAAAAATCAATACCTCTGGTACTAGACATAATTTCTACCGGTAAAGAGAAAAATTAAAAATTCAGAATTCCTAAATATTACTACTTACCAAAAAGTATGGGAAATGCGATCATCGGCACTGCATTGAATATCGCTTCTTGCACACTAGGGCGGCCAGCTTGGGTTATAAATGCTCGTATTTTTAGATGACCTGGAAAAATAGGTAAACTGTTAATACATACATCTTGTTAATAAATTTGCTAAAAATTTCGCAACTTTTGATACTTTGCCACCTTACTTAACACATCTTGTTGAGGGAACCAACTAGCTAGGAAAAGATTTCTGGGAATTTTTTCAGGAACTTCGCCATCCCATTTCCATAAAAATTTAAGGTTTGGAAAAGCCCTGATGGAATTCATGAAAACGTTGATAATGCTTTGCGGCAAGTTATTCGCTACCACGAGGGTGCCCAGACTGACATAAACGAAGCCCTCGTTTCCAACATCAGCATCCGTGGAAGAGATGAATTCTTCCATTTCCTAAGAATATATTCACACATCTAAGGATAAACAACTAGAATGTTAAAATTGAGACAATTCACGCAGTCCTTTGTAAAATTCGTAAGTGTTGTAAAATAATTTTCCAAACTTTTACGCAATAAAAAGACTCCCTTGATCTGAGTAAGTAAGTTTACAAAAATTTCTAAACTAATTGTTTTCAGAATATCTGTCAAATTTTGTAAGTTTGCAGAATTTGCGGATTTTACAATGTTACCACGCACTGTCAATTGTGTGAATTGCCTCATTTCAGTTGCAATACATAATTACATACATATGTAGCATAATTAATACAAACGTCTGACAATCACTTACACTGGGTAAAGCTTCATGCTTCATTTTCAAATGAAGCCCGGGTACAGAAACGAACATAGGCGGGAGAGATCGAGCCTGTTCCGTTATAAAATTTCCCGCCATAAGGACAAGACTGACATTTTTGTAGAGATCATAAATTGATGGCATCTTCTCAATTTTCAGTCCTTCTTGCAACACCGACTCTAAAAATGGGGCAACTTGATACGTCTCGTACGCCCAACCGAGTGGAAGCAACGTGCTCTTGATTCTGTCGATGAAGGTAATCGAATCCGTGCGAAACGGAAGATCGTACGATGTGCCCAACGCCTCGTCCGGCAAGGTGAACAGATCCGTGAATTTGGCAAAAAATGGCAACGTGCTGTACATAATAATTTTGGCATTCAATTTATACGCTATTCCTACCCCGCAGTCAGGAGTGACGTCCGTCACGACCAGGTCGATCTTTGTCGTTGCGATCAACCAGGCTTGAAACTCCACACTGTTAATTAAGACTTGACAACTTTGCGCGTACGATTTGTCGAAACTTGTGAACGGTGGTGGGGGCTTGTTTTGAATCGCTGCCGTCGGGTCAGATGCCAGGTTAAGGATGTACTTCACAAACATCGCGAACGATTCGGGAACGATTAACCGGATTTTCGGATTAACGCCCTCCACGCGCATGGGGGCAATGTAAGTAATGTTATGGCCGCGGGATGACAATGCGTCGGCAAGTGGCATCATAGTCATGACGTGACTAGGCGAACCGCTGAAAGTTATAGTTGAAATATACATATATTACAGATTAAGTTGATTGATTGTCTTGTAAATATTTAAGATATACATACAAAGGATGCATAAAAAGGATATTTGCCGCATTAGCGTTGCCAGCGACAAATATGATAAGGCTGATTAACACGTGCATTAAGAGGCAATCTAGTAAAGGTGCAATCAATTCGACATCTCAGGGATGACTGTGGTTATGCACATGAAGTTGTAAATAACTAGACGTCGGTTATACAGAGAGTGAATCAAGATACAAAACTCACTTTTGTTTATTTTTCTACAGCTTTATTTTTCGTTTGTGAATTTTATAAATTGCTTCAATGGGTAGCCCATTAGTTTGTCTAACGAGGTGCAATCGCTTTTTCTACGCCATTATCACCTTTGACACTTTTTTGGAGTGATTTTGTTCTACCCGTTTTGAAAAGTTTTCCAAAACCCACTTAGCGCCCGAGCCGTCAGCTTGAAATCTCTGCTTCAAGTACTCAAATCTAAAATAATCCATCCGAATAATGTCATGCGACTCGCCAAGAGTAATTGCAGTTAAAAATTTATTTCTGGAAAATAAGTTTTCATGCAGTTATCGCGAATTTGCTTCGAAAAACGCGATGTAAGACGGCGTGGGGGCGTACAGCGGGTCCTCCTCCGCGTTAATATATTTAGGTCAAAGTGACTGATCCTAAAAACTATTGCCTGACTCACCCCCAACATTTTGCATACTTTTCTGTGGTGACGGATGTTCCTTATTGATGAAATTTGCAATCTAGTATAACTCATGCTGGATCCTGACTGATCTTGAACGCCACTTTGGTGGAGGTGGAACTCCAGCCAATGATTTCTGCCTCTTTATGATAGTGCCATTTAATACAATGGAAACATGGCTTTGACTGGTACTTGAATTCAGTTGTCGCCAGTTTCTTAAAAAAAATTTATGGTACAATTCATCTTTGGAAAACTCTTTTACGGCTACCTCGCACTCCGTGGGGGGGAGTGGGGGCATGTTGCTGCACAGAACTAAGAGTGATTTTGCAAACTGTTCCTTGACTATCTGGGTACGACACGTGCAAATTTCAATAATCCCAAGTGTCTCTAACACTTGTTATCTCAAAAATAAAAGTGAGTTTTGTATCTTGATTCACGCTCTGTATATGCATTTATAACTTTTTCAGAACAAACCAGATCGCACTAATCCTTCGGTAGACTAACATCCCATCTAAGCAAAGCATGATCTTAAAAATTCAAACGTAGTTTTCAATATTTTGCATGTTTTCGGGTTTTCGTATTACATATACATTTTTCATGCATATTTTGAGGTTGTTTTGTTATTATTACATACTTTCTTACATATTTTTTTACGATTATACATACATAAATATTTTGAGGTTTTTTACACAAAAATATTTTCCTTCCTTCAATATGTATATATATTTAAGATTTCGAAGTGGAACAGGTGTCAAGATATGGCTTTAAATGAACATTAAAATACACGTCTGGTACATATAATTAGCCACTAACACTTCTAAAAATTTGAATCTCCACGAAGATGAAATGTAAATATAGTAGAGAATTTAAGTTGAAAAATATTTTTTATGTGAATATTTTCGAGTTTTTTAAGTACATATGTACATATTTTGAGGAATTTAAGTAAATACATATCCGCCCTATGGAAATAACCCACCTTTTAATATAATGTCAGATATGTATGCAAATCATATCCAACCATTTATGTAAACTTTGTGTCCTATTTCATGACAAGCAGGGGCCGCGGAAGTCGTATGGACATCTGAGGACATTGGGGAATGGCTTATAGTGAGGATGGGGCAGCTCGTTGATAACGATTTTGACCTTGAATTACCCTGGAACGGTTTGACAAAATTTTGAACAGACGAGCCCGTTGTCCGAGGATAGAGTTGTGCAAAAATTCAACTCTCTACTTTCAAAAATGCTTCTATCACAGCCCCCAGAAGTTGGGACAGTCATTTCAACTTTTTCTAAAAAAACTCTAGCCCGTATTTGCAAAAATTTTATTAAAATTACCTATTAAGGAATAAAAGTGAGTTTTTGGTGACATTTGACGAAGCACTATTTTCTCTACAAATTACTAATTGGGTTCTAAGAGCTTACTACACGACAAATGCCGAAAAAAATTCATGGAAGTTGGTGCTTCCCGGTAAGGAGAACTTTTATAAAAAGTTTATGCTTGTTGGTGAATGTCCGGTCGTGGTGTCCTCCCACTTATCAAAGTCCCCCAAAAAGTGAGGGTATCTGCAAAGTATTACGTGGACAGTGTATTGAAACCAATTTTAAAATAACATTGACCTAACTTGCACGGTAAAAAAATAAATCAGATGATTTTTCATCATGGCGCAGCGGCTTCCCAGACAGCACAGTTGGCCCAAGATTATGCAAAGGACCTTGAACCTAGACTGGGGATAAAAATCGTTTCGAAATAGTGAAATACATATACATGAAGTAAGTCAAATGGACTTATTTGGGGTCAAACACTTGAAAAGAAAAATTTTTCTACGGAGACCGAATTTTTTAGACGGAGTTTGGAAAGAGTTGAAATGACTGTCTCAACTTCTGGGGGCTGTGGGGGAGGCATTTTTGAAAGTCGAGAGTTGAATTTTTGCACAACTCTATCCTTGGAAAACATGCTCGTCTGTTTAAAATTTTGACCCGCTACAACAAACCGTTCCGGGGTTATTCAAGGTCAAAATCGTTATCAACGGGCTGCTTGGTATATCACTGGGGGATGATTAATAACCATGAGGACCTTGTCCCCACGCTTCCGCGAGCACTGCTGGCGAGACTGTACAAGTCCCAATTATTTATTAAGAATTATTCAGCACCAATCGCTACAGTGGCCACCTCTTAGCACCGCTCATTCGAAGGTCACATTGTGACCTTCTAGCAAATGCATCTTGTGTATGCATTAAAATAAGAGTGCATATGTATGTTCATGCATATGTCCTACCACTCCTACACGAAATTGCTGTGCTGCATAAAATGCTTTGTATAAAAATACGTATAAAATTGTAGAAAAACAACTTTTACATATGTGCATGCGCATCAGTGAAAAACTGGTTTACTGCAATATTGACATTTGATTGGGGAAACAAATATAAAAAAAATAGAATCACTTATGGAAGTTGCTCAGACCAGGGTTGTAGAAATTGCACTTGTCTCTCACAAATCTCATCTCACAATCTCTCTTTTGTCAGTGAGAAATATGTGATTTAGATAAATATAAGAAATATCCTGCCGTCACCTAGCAGATCACAGAAAATTTACCGGAATATACGAATTTCCGATTATCCAAATTTAGTCCAAAATAATTTTCAAGTCAAATACTAAATGAAATTGATTTGTAATTTAGTCAAATTACTCTTATACTTGTACATAGATCAAAAAACTAAAGGAGAACCAATTTCGAAGTAAAAACAGCAAAAATGCCGATATTGTTTAGGAATATTATAAGTATACTTTCGTGGGAAAGAATGTTTACAAATATTCATAGTATAATTTTCAATGCATAGTTTATAACAACGTAGAGTGTGGTGAAATTGTTCCATTTAAAGAAAAGAGATTCACTAAGTTATCGGACCGCCGCAATCAAATGCTCAGAACTTTACACACAGTTGATGTAATTTCAAAAAAATTGCATATGTTTACTACCAAAGAGTTTGGATTGCCATACAGTTCAAATTTTAATGATTCAATTCCGCTTTCTGCTACAGATTGCATTTTCTTCTTCAGATTTCGCGTGAAATTCCTCCCATAGACTGCGCCTACTTTCAAGCTGATTTTCTTCCATCTGTTCTTAAATTTTCGTAAGGTGTCTGGCGTTTCTGACAGCTTAGAATATTTGGATGTAGTCAGCGATCAGAATTTCTCAATTGAGGAAACTTTGGTGGGTTTCCATTTTTTGGCACAAATTCAATTTTTTTCAGATGTCGGTACTGAGTGACCTTTTTGGCGTCATGGGACCTTGCGAGGTCAGGCCAAAACAAAACTTTATTTTTTTATGATCTTTGGTAATTAACGATTCCAATCCCCCTTTAATGCATGATTTAAGATAAACCCCCTGGTTTACAGTACCCTCCAAAATGACGGGATCGGAAAAATGAATAATGCTAGACATGCATTGCCAAATTATTCATTTTTTTCGGAATTGGTCTTTCTTTTGGACTTTGTCTTCATATTTTACTTCACAGGGGTTGGAACTATGGAAGAAATGCCTTCCTGGAAGATTTGAAGTGTCATCTGTGACGTGGGGCTCATCGCCCATGATGACCACTTTTCCCCGAATCTTCTTCAACAATTTCTTCCAGCACGCATGAATCCTTTCCTGTTGTGCTGATTTGTAATTTGGTGCTGGTTTCTTTGCCCTGGCTATAATCCCTAGTTTACTGACTTTGATTTTGCTCAGATAGCTTTTTGAAATCTTGACCTTGCTTTCCGCTGCAGCCATTGTCGTTGATGGATAATTTTTGAAGATTTTTTTTATGTGATTTTTGACTTTTGTCGTCGCTAGCTTTGCAGGTCGACCAGTGAGGACTTTGAATTTGAATTCATTGGATTCCTCGTACTTTTTTATGTAAGAGTTGACATTTGAATGAGGAATACCTTCTTGCTTGAAAAAGTGCCAAGTGATTTTAGAATCATAGTTTGTTCGATTTTTGCGAAATACAATCACTCTTTTTTTCAACTCTTGCCTTTCAACCCAAGTTTTTCTAGTCTTAGCCATGACTCAATAATTAGTGATATATATCGATGCAAAGCTTATAACTTGGTCTAATAAAAAATATTTTTTTCGAAATTTAATTTAAATCTGCTCCCGCTCAGCGCGCGTTTAATGGGGCGGTCTGATAACTTAGTGGATCTCTTTTATATCATGGTCTGATATCTGTGCAATTTATGACGTTTGTGCAAACCAGTCTGATTGGTTTTATTTATTTTGTTAGATTAACCATCAAAATATTAAATTCGTCCATTTCCAGGACTCTATTGCCCCTCTAAGTATATCCTGCCCGTTTACACAAACTGTGGATTATTATTATATGCACACCAATTTTTTTACTTTCGTTAAAAAATAATTGGTTAACCTTGTTATTTTAAGTTTCATCCGTATTTTAAAAGCTCGGTAATAATTTTGAACACCGAGCAAATGTATTATGACTCACTATTTCTCATATTTCTCACTTCATACCCAAATGAGATGATTGATATAAATCATTAAATCTCAGGTATATACCACTTGTAACCCTGGCTAAGATAAGCATGGCATATTTTGTTTCATATTTGTAGGGGCAAATGTGGTGGGACATGTAGGTATTATTAACTTTCATAACGGCAAATAATATATAAACTTTCATAATATTGGTACCACACAATCTGCCACAAATCAAGAAACAATAATTCCCTATATTAAGTTTATGCACGTTTTTGTACATACACAAGTCGACAAGTCCTTGAAAAATTCTAGGTCAGCTCTTCAACCTATAAATACATATCCGTGGACAAAGATACAAGATAATCATAATTTGGCACTTTGTTACTTTTGACTACACAAATATGTAGTCATCTCTTGCCTGTTAAACAATTTGCCCAAGAAAAAAGATGTCGGAAGTAACACTAAATGCATTTATTAAATATTTACTTTACATACATACTTACCCATGGGTAAGTATGTATGCATCCATCTACGTGCATGCATCAAAGTCCTGTAGTTTATTTATTGCATACTTACATACATAATAATTAGTGTGTACCATCAAGCAGGTTTCTACATATTTACGTGCACTTTATGTATGTCTATTAGATTAAATTAAATAAATTATTAGTTCGTTGTCCACCTTCATGCGAATACGAGGCTGATAAAAGTTGAAATTCAAACAACAAATTTTTCGAGTAGGCAAATTTCTAAACAGGTTTTTGTTCCCCAAATATATAAATATTTACATGCATAACTATGGGAACGTCCATACATACATTGTGTCATCAAAAAGGTGTTTGGTTCTCGGCCGCCTTTCTTACTCGTGTTAATCTTACTATGAGTATGATAGGAAATTCGTGGGTGGGTGGTCTAAAAATCGGCGTTTTTTTGATGACCTAATATATGGTCGCGCCCTATACATAAATGAAGTAAATATAAGTATATTTATGTATCCGCGTGAAATTCTTACTCCAAGTTTTTCTAACACGGTTTTATTTGTGTTTTTTCATAAATATCTGTATTATAAACAACATTTTTATGTGCGGATGTACATACATACTAATTGGTACAACAACATCGCTTATAATTGCATTAAATAGTTTTAAATGTGTATTTTTATTAGTATTCTTTATTTAGATTAATAAAACTAATTTTAATTACATATTTACTTTCAGAAATTTGCAACAATGAGGAAGGTGTATGCAACCTTAGCAACTACTGTCCTCCTGTTCCCATGGTTAATCACTGGTGTCGCAGTTATCCTAATCCTTCGCAAAATAGTTGAAATTGGGGCACATATTTGGAACCGGAAGGAATTTCTAAGCATTGTCACGTCCCAAAGCACCGTATTTAGTAATGCATGCGCAAATCAGACATCAATTCGCTTAAATCTGTTAAAAATTCAAGTTGCTTCATCACTTTTTTGGGCGATATGCATTTTTCCAGGTATGATGCCTGTATTCTCCGACGAATCTTGGACAGCTATCGTCATACTGGAAGTCAACCGGCCTACGATTAATCTACCCCGGCTAATCAAAGATTTCGAGAATAAAGTTTTGCACGCGAAGGTGGATGTCTCCAGTTCGGCCTTGCTTTACCCTGAACTAAAGTGCAAATTGGTACAATGGTGGGGATACTATTTTTGGGCGTTCTGTCCTAAATTCGATATTACCGACCATATTAAACACTTGAAAGGTTGGCAAATAATTTAATTCAATATTAACGAAAGTATAACAAGCAACATAAATAATCTTAAAATTCTATTAAGAGTCAGAGTTTCACAACGACCTTTCCAATCCGGATAATTGGAATAATTTAATAAACTACGTCTCCAGCAAGAGGATCTGGCAGATGGATAAACCCATCTGGGAGCTATTGGTAAAGGAAGGCGTCAAAACGGAACGTGGGAGAGGGAAAAGTCTGTTAATTTGGAGATCCAGTCATGTCTTATGCGATGGTTGGTCAATATTCAAATTAACTGCGAGGCTATTCGACACGCCGGATAATGTAGGAAAGGAAATGATTCGGCAAAGTGGGAAATTTTCATGGAAAGGAATCCTTACCTGGTGCACCCTCCCATATGATTTTGCTGATTACGTGACAAATGTGGAGTCTGATGATACTAGTGTTTCACCACCAAGTAAGTTTTCCCAAGTTCGATGTCACCTTTTAGTCTACCTCAGGGGCCGCAGAGGTCTGGGGACAAAATCCCCACAGTTATTCGACATCCCCATGTTGTATAAACCCGACTTTCTCCTACACATCGGGTAGATTTAAATGTGACAAATTTTATTTACATATCCCATTTGTAAATATTTCTTTCAGACGATAGCAGTCACTCACAGAAGGAAATGTTTTCGAAATCGTCCCCCACATTGAATCTTTCGGACTTGAAAAGGATCAAGGATGAGTACGGGGTCGATTTTCTTTCCCTTCTTTTTGCCGGTACGACGGCCGCAATTCGGGATAGTTATCTTCAAAATGGCATTCAAATCGAGGGTACTCACGCCAAAGCTAGTTTTATCCTTCCAGTTCCTAACCATCCGCCACAATTGCGAAATCATATGTAAGTGTTGAATTGACGTTGACATCAAACTCAACCATTTTTGCATACGAGGGTGGCGTAATAAATACTTAGAAAGAGTAGGAAGGAAACGGATTTGAACCAAAATTTGTGCATGAAAACAAAATAAATTTTGAAAGTTTAGTGTAGGCGATGTTGTTAACAAAAGAAGTTTAAGAAAATCACAACTTCCTAAATGTGTTTGAGGTTTATTGTCATGCAAAAATTTTGGTTAAAATCCGTCCTACTTTTCCTAAGTATTTATTGGTTCACCCTCGTATAAATGTATAAATATATTTAGGTCACATGGGGCAATTCTTCTCCCCGTTGGGGAAGAAGATTCGAAAATAAGGCTCCAGTTAATTGGACAGAGGATGCATAAATATCGGACAAGCAAGATACCTGCCTTGAAAATGTATCTCACGCATGTGCTTGGCTCCCTTCCTGTCGCGTGCGTACAAAGTTTCCAAAAGAGATTATTTGCACCCATCGTGGTCAATAATTTGGTTGGGCCGCCTGTTGACTTGTATTTACACGGCGACCGGATCGATATTTCGTATGGAGGAGTTAATATTGCAGGAAATAGGACACCCAATGGTAATTGTATTCACGGCTGGAAAATGGATTTTAACTTGAGCGTACATAGGTTTAGCGCTTATTTATATCATGTTTTCCATTCCAGAACCGCGGTTTGCCTATGATACCCGCTTTTACACGTATGCTGGAGCCGCAATCATGGCAGTGACTGGTTTCGAAGAATTCTTTTCCCGTCCCGACCAACAGATGACTACATTTCTGAACAGCTATGAAGCAGAATGGAGAAAACTTTTGAGCATGCTGGATACCAGGCATGGAAGCTCTGAAGCCCGGAAAAATTTTTGAGCAAAAGAGTACGATTTTTCTATGAGCTAATAACCATGTGATTTATGCATTTGATGAGTATTTACATACATTACTTTGGAGAAAAAAAACTTTTTCTGTTAAAAGGCTCAAATTTTCTGCAAATTTTGTAGCCAGCTAATTTTAAAAATACATCAGCATAACGCATACTAAATAATTTATTTATTATCTGATCCAATCGTCTTCAATCAAGTTTAATCTAACATTCACCTCCATTTTTCCAAACGCTATTGGTGAAAAGAAATTCAGAGGTGAAGATGAGTCGATTTCAAGCCTAAATCTTTCAAGGAAATAAGCCAACGCTATCTTTATCCCGTAGAGCGCAAATGTTCGTCCAGGGCAATGATATGAAGACCTACATACATACATAATATATATGTACATACATATAATGAATTGTCAGAACAAATTTCTTAGGGGTGAGGAACACCATGTTTGGCAACACTTACTGGGGTGGATTTGATTAGGTGGGGGTGGATTTAGGTGGGGGTGGGGGTGGATTTGGGTGGGGGTGGGGGTGGATTTATAAATGCCGGATAATCACCCCCAGATAACCACCTAAGACAATCACCGCAGATGTACGCACAGCACAATTGTGACCTGAAACAACTCATCGATCTGTGATGAAGTGCTGTTCTGCGTGCACTGCACAGGGTCCACAAGTTGTATCACGTTGGCACTGGGGATATTGTGCTGTGCTGTGCTGTGCTGTGCTGGGCTGTGAGCACAGCACAGGGTCGAAGAGTTGTGTCACGTTGGGACTGGAACTATTGAGCTGTGCTGTGCTGGGCTGTGCGCACAGCACAGGGTCGAAGAGTTGTGTCACGTTAGGACTGGGACTATTGAGCTGTGACGTAACACAACTCATCTGTGATTTGTTGTCTGATAGTGGTTATCTGGGAATGGTTGTCTGACGATGGTTCTTTAGAAATGATTATCGTGAGCGGCTATCTAATAATAGTTATATTGGTTATCATGGACCCTGTACTTTAAAGTGAAGGTAAAGTTAAGTGGATGTCACTTTTGCTTCCATCGCGCGGAACACTTACTTTCACTTTTCTTTCCCACAGACATGACCAGTTAATAAGAGGTATAATAAAAAAAATAATTCTGCGGAATTATGCACAAAATCCCACTCAATCTTAATGAAAACCAGTTGAGCTCTCGCCCGGCGGGAGACGGGCTTACACGCTAGTTATCAATATCGAGATTTTGGGAATTTTGGGAACTTTGATAACATCGAGATTCCTACATAATTATGTATACGTATACGTTTATACACATACGTATTTATATAGTGCTATAATAAGCAGAATTTAGCTACATATTAAAAAACACAAATCTTTATACGTTCTGTTCTGAAGTATGTAGCGTGAAAATATCTATAACACTTCGATTAGTTTTTACAAATGTCGGAACAAGTAAATGGATTATTTTGAGTTATCAGGGATAATTATTACATGTAAATATAATGTGTAAATATGTATGCGTGTTTCGATAATCTCTTATGCGAGGTCGTTCGCAGCACCCCACAATTTCTAAGAGATTCTCAAAATTGTTTAAATTCAATTCCAATTTGTACACATCCACAAGTGTTCTGAGAATTATAATTACTTTGTCTTTCCAACTTTCTAGAAGCAGGTCTAATCCTAAGTCCTACATATATACATGAATATACATCTCAATTACCATTACAGCACCTTACTTAAAACCTGAAATGGGTGCAATACAAATAAATAATAAACACTTTGCAAGCAAAACATTTTTGTATCATAAGTAATTCAATAAATTATTTGCCTTATTAGCTAACGTCGTTTTGAGATTATTTTCTGGAAGAAATTAAACCATTTTGGAACTTAGAATTAAAGGCTACCAGCAACATTATAAGTATTTAACTCATTCCTACATATCTGTATATGCCTGTCTTTACGTTTAATTAAGTATGTATTTCGTAAACATATTACGTATGTATGCACGTATCAAGACGATTACAGTTCTAATTTTGGAGCTGCGCAGATACCAAGATATCGAGTTGGTAGATACACCCTGCTTTCTCCATACATATTTACACAAGTAAATACATTCGTAGTTAATGAAAGTTGAAATTAGTGATGAAAGCTTTCATTGTGAATTACGGCATTGTCGCTTTATGTAATGAAATCGGATATCTGCATAAATATGGATAAGACTGTCATTTCCTTGCTACTACAGTATGACGGAGTTCTAAATATTTAGAGTGGTCAGTATACATAGATATATTTTTATTTTTTACCGATAATTAGATATGCAGCCGAATAAAAGGTAATGGGTGCATACGCAAATGCAATGCAACAAATGGGTATGTACTTATATGTATTAAGTATAACATTATAAACAAGTGTAACATGCAATTGTTGACCATTAAATTAAAAAATATATTTGCTAATGATATTCGTAACAATTTGTGCCCTGAAATGAAATAAGTATATACACAAATTGTGTAAAACAATGTATCTTATTGCTCCACATATTCGTATGTAGATACATATGTACATATTTCCTACATAGATATACAATACATATACACATGATGTCGATATACAATCCAGCCAGAAACTCAAGAATGTTTGGACATATGTATGTATTACACTAAAAATAATGCTATCCTTCAGAAAATTAAATGCACTCACAATGGTATAATTACCTAACTAACTATGTACATACACCAAGAAATTTTAGGCTTTATTAAGCTACCATTTGGATTTAGCATATTTTACTTATGTAACGTAGAATCGAGAGTGCATTTACATAATAGTTTCTATGAGGATAAGATTATTTTTATGAATGGTGATTTCTAAAGGTCACATTTACCCACCCCCTATTGTCTCAGAAGTATCGTCCATAGACTTGCATAATAACATCTTACGCATTCATGATGAATCACCATTGATATTTCTTTTATGATGTAAGTATGTAAGCATGCGAATACGTGCATTAGCTACCTTACATATAAATATTTTCGAGGTAAGAATGCTACTACACACTAGAATGCTACTAAGAATGCTACTAAAAAATCTAGTAGAATCCTATGAATTTATATGTAACTATTTATGGTATTGATTTCTTACGAAGTTGGTAGAATGGTATTTATTTCTGAGCGGTAAATAATTCTTCATTACCATATTTACTACCTAAGCCATACCAGTTTTTTAAGAGTGTGTACATATTGTATAACCGGAAAAAGGACATACATATTTAAAAATAAGGAGTCTTTCTCAATGGAGTCGTTAAGTAAATAATTCATGCCTGACAAGCAAGGGGTACACATGTAGCCTGCGTGGGGAGATGTTATCTATCTAAATTGGGTGTAGGCACAGAATTGTAGAAAAACACTTATAATCCGCACTATTTGGTCAGCATGTCATACGCTAAACATCATCAGTACGCCGCCAAATTATACACATTATACACATCAAGTATACACATTTGGCCCGCATTTTTCAGTTGAAATAAATTTCTAGAGAAATATAAATGGTTGATTGGGTTTAAATATGCCCACTATATTCGACTACTTGCCCCTAATCCGCGCCCAGTTTTTCGTCAAGAACCTCTTTCTCTGCAATTTTATCACCTGGTCGGCTAAAAAGCAGCAATTTGTCCCAGTATTTTGGAGCAATGTGAAGTACACGTTGCCCCTCATTTGCAATACGGTGCAATGTGCCACCGTCCTGGCGCGGATGCGATCGTTGATTTCGAACGGTCCAAAAAACATCTTCTTCACCCAGATCATATCATGTTGTCTCTCTCTAAGCAATATTGGCCACTGGGCGATGGGCATGGCGTGCAGGAGAAAGTCGGCCGAAATTACGGCCTACTTTAACGGAATCTTGATCACACATGCGCAGTACAGTAAATCACTCCCGGCCAGACGAGGGGTTAAACTCCGCCTGAGGGACATCATTTCGACCGGGAAGTGCATGCCAGGCGATATAAGTCGTGGTGAGATGGGTCGATTTGCCCTCTGCATCGGTCTATTTACCCAAATCGTGCCTACTATCTTGCAAAACATGTTAGTTATCATGTTTCCCTGTGCAATGCCGCACTTCCTTCGATCTGCTTTCCCAGATTGTGCGGCAAATGGGAACGAATTCGTTTGGGATTTCGGCATACCGACAAATTGGGCATGGACGGTGACTCTGGTGGACATGTTTTCTTCGGGGTATGGAATGTGTCTAGCCTGTGTAGCGGTATCGTTCGTGTTTCATTGCGGGGTTACCTGTGTGGCGGATCATTTGAAAAGGTAGAATATAAATTTGAGACGGAAAATGCAAGAAAATGCGATTTCATGCAAATTATTTTCTTTCAGAACTCGAAATTCACTCAACCTGCAATCTATCCTGGCTTACAAACAGGCACAAATTCTAACCACTGCGGTCAACAATATCAACCAAGTGGGAAACCTGCCCATCATGATTACTGACCTTACCTGGGTGGGCATCACCTGCTTCTACGCCGTCATAGCACACAATTCCAAACTATCTGTTCCAGCCCTTCTCATCGCCGTTGTGCTCGGGGTTGACTGCACTTTTGCCACTTCTTTCGTCATTTATAAGGCGGGCGCTGATCTCCACGGGCTCTCGCAGGATATCCTGCAAAATTGGCGGGGTCGGAAAAGTATGTTGAAGAATCGCTACTTGAGAAGGATGAAGGCGTCGTGCAACGTGCTAAAAATTAAGTTGGGAAGTTCAGGAAATTTTATCGAGAAGGCGACCCCTCTTATCATATTCCAGTTTAGTATGGAGCAAGTAGCCAGCCTGTTGCTAATTTCGGTTAAAGAGAAGAGAAATTTGCATGCATAAAATTGCCCATAAAATGCGCCAGACCACATTATTTACTATGTATACGCGTTTCAGAATTTATTAAAATGATTTCATGTATTAATTCCCAATTTGGTCAATCGTAGGTAAATATTTGTGTATTCACATATGTACAAACTATTCTAAAGTGGTGCAATTTACTTAAACTCGTTGGAAAATAAATTTACGCATACATAATCCGTTAATGATAAAGATTAGTCCTTCATAAGTCTTATTGTTAGAAGTTCTTCTCTGCTACAACAATCGTGATGGAATTTTGTTTTGACGAACTGCGTGTAAAATGTACATGTGCATATACCCAAGTGATGCATGCATAATACTGTGGGTCTCAAGCATCAATAAGAAGTACTTACTGTCTCATGCATTATTGTGATCGGAAACTAACTGAGGCATCTTGAGACACAACAATTTCATTCAATACAACCGGATAACATCATTTGCTCATTCAATTAAAGTCTAGCAACGGCCGCTCCGGATGACTACAGTGTAGTCACCCAAATTTTGTGAGCTGTACATACATTTACATACTATCCACAGTCATAATAATCATACAAAAATAGCGATGCAAATTCGTAAAATATATTACATGTGTTTCTCAGGAATAAATAACAAATGGTGAAAATCTTGTCATACAAGATCTCGTTGGCATGTAAAAGTAAGAAAGCGGTGTTTGCAAGTACGCTTACTTGTTTTGTTATGTAACTTTTGTGTACATATGTACATACCGGCTTACTCATTCATTTCATTCCTCAGCTCCAGCTGGATGGAAAAGTCACATTTACATACATTTCAGATTGAAATATACTTTTTTTACAATTTTATCCTTCCATCAAACCGGAAGTGGAATACTATCTGGATTATTTATTTGCACCCTTTTCCATCACCTCCATCGTAAACCAATTCAAATCATGGGTTTAAGTAAGCAAATACATTCATAGTAGTTAACAATAATTTTACAACTTTCTCCATTTTTATATTTAATAACCTATCAATAATATTAATTCCATATTATTTACTCGACAGGTTCCTCCAGTCTCTACAACCTACAGAAAAATATAGGATACCATTTCCGAAACGAGGTCATTCTAACGGAAGCTCTAACTCATGACAGCTGCCGCGTGGATGATCCCAATATAAAGACTTATCAACGATTAGAACATTTGGGCGACGCAGTAATCAATTTTGCCATAACGAACTACCTTTTTCGCAAATATCCCGACTCTAGTGAAGGCACCCTGTCCACCTTGAGGGCCAACTTGGTCAACCAAACTAAACAAAAGGAAATTTCGGATCAGCTCGAGTTACACAATTTTGTCAAGATGCACCAAAGTGTGAAGGGATTGCCACGACACGACAAATTTTTGGAGTCCGTAATCGGTGCAGTGTTTATTGATGCGGGTGGTGAAAGAAAAGGGGGGTATAAAGAAGCAAAAAAGGTCATTTACAATTTGTGGGAGTTGAAAGATGGCCAGGCTGCCGAGGGGAACGGAAGTATTTTTGAAATTGTGATCGGATCCGTACTTATTGTTGGGATAGCAATGCTCTTTTTAGATCGGGGAGTCAAAAAGTGAATTTAGAAATAAGATGCTTATGTATGAAGTCAGCTAAAGTGAATATTTATTAAATCGATAGTTTGTTACCACTTACATAATTCTGAAAATTGTAATGTTTACATCATGTGCTGTAATTATAATTACATGGCAATAATTGATTTGGTAAGGCATACACATGGTTTATTTGAATTGGTACTAAAAGGAAGATACACTCACTCACATACATATGTACATAAGTCATTGTAATGATTATTTAATCGTGGGTACTTTTCTGCTTGTTTATCTTGTCGCATTTTGCTTGCGGAGGTTATACGACAGACAATACATAAAATCTAGAAACGTGCTAACTAATCCAAACCAACGAGCAATATTTTAAAAATATCAGGTTCTGTAATTTTCATATTTTCAGAGTAATATGAGGGTGTAACTACCTCGAGCTTTAAACGAAGACACGCGTTTGGAAGCATTCTCACCCCAAACAACGAGACCCCGAAATCAAACGGTTCGATGAGCTATATTGAAGGGCCTCAAGAAATTTATGGGGATATGACTATGAGTGCCCCCCGGTATTTGTGTATGATGAATGATTGATTAGTCTATTTGTATTTGTTCCACAAGTTGTCGAGAAACCTTCCCGGTTTTCCCTTTCGGAAGTTGCTGTGAACATAGTAACATACATACATAAATACGTAAATAAACTGTAATACTTGCAACGTGCCTTGCCAATTGACTACGTAGATGTGTACATACCTCGAGAAAGTGGACACCTCCTCGAACATGTTTAAAATTCGGCAATCGGCCTAATAACACAAAATTGTACGTCATTTGGCAAACCTGCTGCAAAATCATGTAATAAACGCACTATTTGCAAACTCTAGCACTTCCTGCTCACTGCATTGAAAGTCTGGCAAAATAACGCAAAAGGCTCGCGGAATGTAACCACCTCCATCAGGATCGCTGACTCCCACAACACAAACCTGTAAGATCGTTCAAGATGATAAAACTTACATACATTTGTGAAGCACGGGGCACTTACTTCTCCGACTGCGGGATGGTCGTTAATAATATTTTCGATATCCGTTGGTGAAATCTGCGTTGTTATTAAAATCATAAATATTTATATGTATATGTTACAATAACTCCCTCGTTACGAAATCCAAAAAAGCTTACATACTTACATGATTCCCGTAATATTTAAAGATTTCCTTTGCTCTATCCACTATGTACACAAATTCGTTCTCGTCATAATATCCTAAATATGTTTCATGCTAACATGTATTAAATTCGGGTTTGTAAATAATGGAGGTCTGCATTGCCAATTTGCATCATTATTAGCAAAAACAATCGAAAATTCGCAAAAAAATGGCTTGAAAATTCATTTGCGAACTTGCCCATGTATTTATGTATTTCGCAATTTTTTAAAGTTAGGCTGCAATGCATACCCCGAATATTTACGAGTAGAATGCAATACGGTAGTGCATGCATTAAAAAATTATGGTTCGCAAATTGGTAACTTCTCTTGTGACTTAATATGTACATACTTACCCACATCTCCCGTCTTATAGAAACCATCTGAAGTCATAGAATTCTTTGTGGCCTAGAATAAAATTTGATATCGTTAAAAACGTGTACAGAAATTTTCAGGTTCCTTATGATTGTTTCAAACCACTGGATTTTTATAATAGCTGGTGAACATTCCTTTGAATTTTACGCACAGTTCACCAGATTCATTGGGACCTAGAATTTGTTCCCCCGTCTCCAAATCCCTGAATTGAGCAGAAACTCCAGGCATTAACTTTCCCACGGAATTTTCGGGTAGTCCTACATAATTGTCATCGAATATGTAGAAAATAACTCAATATCAATATGTAAAATCGTTTAATTAAAACCATCGCAAAAAATTGTTTAATTTCATAAAGCCACCTTGTAGTGCATTTTCCCAAGCAGGTAGTGCATTTTTGGTATCAAAGTTCAATGTACTCAGGATAAGTCCCACCTCAGTCGTGCCCATAATCTGAAGTATAAAAAGCGTATTAAGTATGTCAAACACGTGTATAAATTCCGTGGCCGCGGAAACTGTGGGGACATCTTGCAACATTAACATTGTGGATAGGGGAGGGAGGGGTTTATATAACATTATCCCTCTGTCCCCACACTTCCGCGGCCACTGTGTGATTTTGATACTTGTCCTATATAATAAATGTGTTAACAAGATGAATTTATCGGTTTATTTTGTCTCACATTAAAAACCTGCTTCATATTTGGAAGGGATAGAATTATCCTGACCATTGCACCTGTCACTGTAAACCATACAAAATTATTGCCATAATATTTACTTCTAAAAAGGGCGAATTTTCTTACATGGTGAACCACCAGTAGTTGCCCACTGTAAACAAGAAAAATCATACTGTGACACAAGGGGGTGGTTGACAAGGGCCAATAGCATTGCTGGAAATGCGAAAATATGTCGAGGCTATAAAACATCAGACATTTCTATTAACAGACAAAGTACAAAATTCCACTTTAACAAAATTCAACCCCCCAAATTCAAACCTGGTATGTTTTGATGGCTTCAAAAACATTTTCTGGTTTAATTGTGTGCATAACAAGGACGTGAGCTCCATCGATAAGCCCGACGGCTGGGAAAATGCAGCCCGAAATATGCGTGGCTTTTGTAATAGTCAAATTCGGATTTTCTTTGTCAAAAAGTCCACTCGTTATGGACAACACGTTAATCATCAAGGCTCCATGCGACAACACGGCTCCTTTGCTTGGTCCACTAAATTTTTATAATGAAGGGATTAACAATCATGTAGAGTTTACATAAGTATTAAAATTTTCTAGCTTACGTTGTCCCACTTGTGTTTAATATGATAGCAGGGTCGTTATAGCTTATACACAGTTTTGGCATTGCTGTAAATTTCGGATGTTATGCATGGAAATTGACAACGTAACAGCAACTGCATGTCTGTCTACATACCTGATCCGTCGTCATCCATCAGATCAAATATCGATAAACAGCCTTTCACCCTTCCATTTACAATGACATCAACGTCCCAATAAATTTTGTTTGCAATTGTTAAACACATTTCTGCCATCTCTGGTTTACAGTAAATCCATCCTGCTCGAGACTCCTTCATACGGTGAAATATAGTTGCTGTGTGATTGAAAAGTGTAAAAAGCATACTTAACACAATGTATTTTATAACTGAGGTCGACGCCGCCGATCGTACGCCGAAGCACTTTACGCGCCGCCAATGGCATCAACATTTGGACGCTGCGCCGAAAAAAATGACCAAAAATGGCGCCGCCGCAGCCGAAAATTGGTCGGCGTCGACCTTTGCTTTACAACTATGTCTGTTTGTACTAAACTAATGATTCTACATCATTATTACATTCGTCATCTTCAGGATAAGACGCTCTTGGCGTTCCGTTCGCTCGCCAGACTCCGGTGAAAAATATGTGCAGTTTTGAAACGTCATAGGTCAGATAGAGTATAATATCTCCAGCTCTGAATCCCCGTTTGTAAAGGGCACTTGCTACGCCTTGTGTATTTTTGTCAAACGATGAAAAGTCGTACGACTCTCCTGTGAGTGTGTCGGTCTGTAAAGATGCAAATTTTGTACACATGGAAATTTTAGAAATTACAGAGTCCCTTATCTATTTATTTAACTTGTATTTAATTACTATGTATGTAGTTTTCCCTTGTGCTGCGTATTCGTTAGCTTTCTCAACTAGGTATGTCGCCAATGTGTGGTTTTCGGGTGGAGAGATATCCTCGAATGGTGAAATTAACGTATAGTTTTTCATTTTCGAGATGTACCGCAGAGAATTTCCTGATACAAAGTTTCAGCCAACTTGTTAGTGTAGTGTAGTCAGATCACTAATTGCTAACGTGGTGTCACAGTTGACAGTGCTTCCTCCACTCTCGATAAGTCTGAAGTCGTTAGTGGAATGACATGATTTCGACCTTTATTAAAAAAACTAGTTTAAAAACTTTGACACAATTACACAAATAAATAGAGATGAAAATGCAAACACTTTCTCCGGACTTGACTTGAAATGCACAAAGTGTTTCGCCGAGTTTTCCAGGTTTTTAGTGGGTTATTTGCATGAAATAGCTATAGCAAAGCTACATCAGTCATCCTTGGGTTATTTGTGTAACTTGGTTTCGCTGTTTGTACTTATCATACATAAATAGTATCTATCAATCGGCAGGGGGGTCGTGCATAGTTCTACACGGTGAAGGCAGGTGACATAATGTTGAAGAGGGAAGGTCGTCGCAATTTCGCAATTATTAATTTGACACGGTGTGACCTATATATTTACATACAATATGTAAACACGTAGCAGGAATCCGGTACGTCATAATATCAAATCACACGAGACAGAAAACATTGGATGGCATCGATTTTACTCTATTATAAATAAGACAGAAGGTCATTCCCAAAATTAAGTTCAATCATGCAATGTTTAAATAATTTCATGGTAGAGTTGTCACTTTTTGGCTTGGCTTTCTCGGCTTATTAAGGATGAGTCGAGTCGATCTCAAGTAGGTAAGCCAAGCCATCAGTAGACTTACATAGAATGATGATTTGATGTAGCATAGATTTTTAATCTTACTCTACCCATATTCGATCATCGAATTTCGATGTCTTTATTAAGGATAAGTGCAAATTTCTCCAATGACACCGATGGTACATTAAAGTATCAAACGTTGCATTGTAGATATCTCAAAAGACATGAATTGATGAGTCAAAATTCATGCCATTTTAGAAATTTGCCTTTAAAGACATTGAATAGGGGTAGAGTGAGATTAAAGATCTATGGTCTATCTAAAGATCTATCTATGTCACATCAAATCATCATCCTATGAAAAATGAAACCTTAATGACCTGAACCCGGGTAGCTTGTTTCGACCAAAAACTCAAGTTTTGAGTTTGCCAGCTTGCTGGCATTTCTATTTCGAGGATACTGTGCATGCTTTTCATTACAACTTGTGCAATTAAGTACTTCTATTAAATATCAGATTGTCCTTGTGCAACATAAGGCAAAACAGAAATACAAACCAACTAAGCTAGAGATGTGCATAGGGCAGGGTATACCCTAAAAAAACCCTACCCTGCCCTACCCTATAGGGCTTTGGGCGGGCGGGCTTTTATTACCCTGAATTTTTAAGGGTAGGGTAGGGTAGGGCTTTTTTAAGTAGGGTACAGGGCCGGGCGGGCTTTTTTGTATGTACACCAATATGCTGTAGGGCAGGGTAGGGCTTTTCTGCTTTACAATAACGCAGTCAACCATCGAGCAGGCCATCAGAAATGAGACGCGGGACAATCTTGTCATCTTTCTGCTGTTAATTCACTTGTGTTACAAGTACTTAAAATTGATTATACTATGAAGATTGACTACTCCATGTTGACATTTGTTACTGGTGTGGCGACAAAAAATTTGGGAAGTTGCAAAAAGACTGTCAAAATTTCTTGCGTCACATTCCATAGATATAAGAATTGTTCAACCACAGGAGTACAAGAGCCAAGAACTTCATTTTTATCCGGTGGAAACGTAACGAAATTAACTTTGATTTACAAAATTACTAGACCATTTTTGAAGTTTGAATGTCATTATAATTTTTTTAATCGTCATAATTGCGAACTAATAATATATTAATATTATTAGTTGCTTTAAATGATTTACATAAACAATTATTTATGAATAGGGCCAGGGCCCGAAGCCCTATTGGGTAGGGTAGGGTTTTTATTGGTTAAGAAAATCTAGGGTAGGGCTAGGGCGGGCTTTATTTTTCCAGGGTAGGGCAGGGCCGGGTTTCAATTTTACCCTACCCTATAGGGTAGGGTAGGGCAGGGCTGGGCCAAGTAGGGTATAGGGTAGGGCGGGCAATGAAAAATGCCTGCCCTGCACATCTCTACTAAACATGCATGTCAAAAGAATGAATACCATGTAAAGTAACCTTTAAGTTTTGCCTCTGAACTTTTACATATGCCTCTAAATGTGGTATATGTATACGTGTATAGTATAATTACATTGAGTAGTTTATGGGCGAAAATGGATCGCATAAATTAAAAAATATCACAACGCTTGAAAATCGAAAGTTTTTCCAAAATGCAATTATGAAGTTAATTTTAAAAAATTGTTAATCATAAGTCAAGTTTGTCATTCAGAGCGAAATTATTTTTAAATCGCACCTAAAGTCAAAATGACAGCTCGGTTTAAAAATCTGATTTTGGCTTAGAATTTATTTGTGGTTTATTTAACAGTAACACTAAATTGAAACAAACTATTATCCTTAGCAGTTACAATTTGTAAGATAAAATAGTAGTGAAATCTACATCATTAACAAGAGGAAATTGTCGCCTTCGTTTCGCGTCCGACTCTAAAACTGGTTAATTTATGTATTTAGAAACGAATTTAACAAATGACACCCATTTGAAGTAATAATTGAATAAGCTAACTTGCAGAGTCTGCAGCTCAGAATCAAACGGACACGTCACCATAATCATGCCGTAATATGCAGTCACAGTAAAATTACCATTTTTATGTATAGTTACTAATTATTAATTAGCTAGCATTTTATTAGCTTCAAATGAGCTGGACGGCCCCACCCGCTACGAGATGAGAAACAGCTTCGTACCGCATAAAGTGCAAGTCTCCTTCCTCCAAATCGATTGTGACAAATCTGCAAAAAGAAATATGTAATAGACAAAGTAATTTTCTAAAGGAATCATTCAACAAATTTAAGAACCCTCACTCGTCAATGCTAATCCCCACTTCCACCGTTTGGTTTTCAACGACGCGAAAAAACACGAACGCATCCATCTGTGGAAGTACCCGGAATTTCTTGATTTCAAACTTCTGCAGAATGGGAGGCATTTTTGAGATGAGCGTTTCCTTCAAGTAGTCGGCAGTCCGGGTGGCTAAATTTTTTAAGAAGGTGAATTCTTCCTTGAAAAGGACGGACTCCTCGCCTCGTGGCCGCTTCATTTCAGCCTCGTAAAGGGCAAACGACATCCGCTGGACTTTGAAGAATCGTGTCCTCATGTACGATACCACGATGTACTTTATCCGTTCCAGCTGCAAAAATTATTTCAAGCAGATTTTATATTCTTTTCCACTACACAATTAAGTAATGCGTCAAACTAAGCTTAATTATTATTAACAACAACAAAAAAAGTAGCTGTAATTGTTCACCTCTAATTTGTGAATATCTGTCCGAACATCCTTTTTATCCAACGTGATGACATTTCTCTCCATAACCTTTATCTGGCCAAGCATCGCATCCTTCTCCTGTTCCAAGGGGGGCAGCACATCTGGCGACATTTTCTCATTCATCCAGCCCTGCAAGATGACACTTTTACTATTTAAATTTACAATTAAACTCTTTAGTTGATGTTGACATTGCATCTTCATTATCAAAATTTACTTCCAAAATCTTACGTGTTCCAACCGAAGCAAAACCTCGGCAGATGTGAGGACCATGGGTTCTTCGTCGTTATCTTGGTCTTGATCATCGACATGGTCGCCGTCTTGCAACGAAATCTCCATTCTTGCTCCGGGATGCGACGGGTTGTGCAAAATGTGTGCCTATAAATAAAATTAAAAATCGAGCTACTTAATTATTATTTTTACTTCATACAATCCTCAAAAAAATAATTGCAAAGAACTGACAGAGATTCTCTGCCCGAGAAGAAGAAAACGGAAATGTGGAGGGGTCTCAGAAATCCCTGGACACAAAATGTTAATTTTGTCGCTGAGCGACTGTCGCTCAATTTGAGTGAGAGACATTCGATGTTTTTACTGTTTTGTGAAACTTGCTCATCGTCTAAAAAAAGTTAAATCAAGATCTCCTCGTGATTTCAGGAGGATCAATCAATAGTAGGTCTGACTTGTAATTTATTTTGAATAATTGCAGATATGATGATATTTAAATACTCGGTATTTCTTTCTTGTGACCAATCACCATCAGACCATCACCGACAATCTGACTCTGACAGTTTGTAATTAATAATTTATCTTATTTGGCGCAGAGGTACGACACCATCATGCTGGTCACCAAAACTTGTACACAATTGGAGAAGTATGTTCCTGTCGATGACAACGTGGCGACGAAGGCTTTATTAAATCCTCTGGTATTTAATTAATGCCTTCATAATTGACAATGACAATGTGCAATTTCGATCATTTCATTCAACTTATAATTTTGCAATGACACCACGCAAATAATGTCAACTTAATTTGTGTAAATATTATTTCAGATCCTGCATAAGGTCTTGTGTTCCTTGGACACCACCACTTTAAAGGCATGTCGCCTCGTGTGCACCCTTTGGGCGGACGTGGGCGCTACATATCTCGGCAGGCAGGGTCGCCTCGCCTTCTCGGCACCGCCAAATCGAACAAAGTCTGAAGAGTTGACCTCATTCAATCACGATCTGGTCAAGAATGTAGAATTACTGTTCTACACAAAGACGGCGTGTTGCTGTCCCGACATTTGTACATGTTTGACCAAGCTGCCCTCCAACTTCGTCATAATTTTGCCCGAGATTTTTGACAAGTTGGAAACACTCGAGTTCTTCTATGCCAAGGCTTTTCAACCCTTTCAAGAAATTTGGAGCACTAATGATTTCCCACACCTGACTCAGATCTCGATCATTGCTGACGGAGAGGATCTCGATAAAAATGCACCACCATCACGGGAGATGGGTCAATTTCGACTCCTCCCAAATCTGAAAGTGTTTTCCTTGAAAATGTCACCCTGCTGTGACTCGTCACAGCCCTTGATGTCATCCATTTGCCAAAACCTGGTCAACTCGGCGCCCAACTTGGATGACCTAGACGTTGTTGCAAGTTTCCACTTGGACTTGTCGGCATGCAAAAAACTCAAAACGGTCCGGTACAAATTTCATTTTGAGCGTTATACTAGATTCTATATCGAAGAGTTTGCGAAAATGTTGGAAAGCTGTAGAAATTCTTTGGAAAGTTTGACCTTGGGTTATTTTGGGTGGGGGTGGGATCAGAAAGAGAAGGTAAAATCCTTGCAATATTTATTCGTCTTACTCAAGCTTAATTAATTTTTTTATCGTAAGCTGGATTTCCACTTCCCAAATCTCACCAACTTCAGATTTAATGCTGTAGATGTGTATTATAGCATTAAGGACTCGCTGAACGTCACTAATCTCCCAAAATTGACGCATTTCTCCATGTCGAGCATCGAGGTCAGAGGCAGAATGTACGATCTGTCTGAAATGATTCAACACTGCCATTCTCGTCACGTTGGGGTAACGTCGCTTGATATTTGTTGCACCCATTATCCACAAATTGACAACAGGGACGGAGCCGCTGCACGAGTACTAGGCAATCTATTCCCGGCCGTGAAGGAATTTAAATTGAAGTTGATGATTCAATTCTTCGGCGATCATGAGGACGACCAATATCTTTTGGGCTTGATGGAAATGATGCAGTCTTTTGGCGTATGGGAGTTGACATGTGGGCAGGTCGATTTTGAGATTAAGTCCGAGCTAAATGACAATCCAGGTCGCGAGTTGTTTCGCCCAGAACTGATCATTGCTGTTTTGCGAGGAATGGCGGGATGGATAGGTTACTATCATTTCACAAATTATTTATCGTATCGTAATAATTAACATTTAAAGAATGATACTAACTAAATTTGTAGGTTTAGCGAACACGACACTTCAATTTAATGGTCAATTGCGGCTTCACGCAGCGTTTAGACTGGTGGACGAGATGCGAGATGCGCTCCTGTCATGTAGAACGATTCAAAGCGTGGCTTTTACTGGATTTCTGGTACATTTTTTTTATACTGGGGGGAGGAAATATAAAAATGTTTATTTTTCTAATTTGCACAGATGGATGAAGAGACGAAGCTAAATTTTCAGACGTTTATTGGAGAGAATAATTTGCCAATTAGTGTCAAATATTAAATATTTTTTCCATTCATGATTTATTATGCTTTTCAATTACTGGAATTGTGAAAATATCGTGATTTTTTCAAAATTTTTTCAAAATCTGTCCTAAATATTATTGATAAAAATGTATAGTTAGTTTAATTAAGTAGGCAAATCTAATGTTAAAAAACGTGAATATTCCCTTCAAATTACTGTCAAAATTGTTACAATAATGTAAATATGTATTCCATCGATATTTAACTAATTATATAAGCAATTGTTAAAAAATATTGTGAAAGAATTTTGGTTCATGACCGAACTAATACGAATATAAAAAATATTGTAGCTTAATTTAATCCATGCTTTACACTATTTTAAACTTACAAAAATAGGAGGTATTCTGCTTCTTAGAAAACTATTTCCTCTATACTTTTTAAAATGAGTATTCTTTTTCCCATTGCACATATACATAAACTAAGACAATGCAAAGTGTTTTACTGATAATCATCCATTTCTGCCCAATTTGGCTCTATTACATTCCACCCGCTCGGATAATAAATATTTTTATATTGCCAGGCATAAAAAATTTGCGCATCTGGCTTGTATATCTGTTTAATAAACCCCTCCCTTAAATGCGCCGCATACACAATTTTATCCTTTTTCTCGCCCCCTAGATAAGCCGCCCACCAAGCGAAAGTACTGGTCGGAATTACAAAATGCTTACACCTCGTCAACAGATAAAATTCCTCCAGACTCGTCAAACTCGTCGGATCGGACACAATGGAGACATCAAAGTTAGAAAAGACCTTCAATATCGGAATAAATCTTTCAGTAACATAGTTTAAATCGTCTGAAAATATGAATAACGAGATGTCTTGCAACTTCCCAAGTTTTTTGACCAGTCCGTCCAGCGCCGTGGAATAATAGGAGATGGGAATTGTGGCATTAAGCTCGATAAAGTCGCCACGACGGATGTGAACCCCAACAGGGATGGTGCCCTTCCTGGAAATTATCTTGTCCCATGTGATCGCTCTTTGAGAGAGGAATCTTCTCCGGAAGAATTTTGCAAATTTGAAAATTTCCCGAATTTCTTTACGATACTGGAAAAAGTAGGCTTCTGATTGGCAGTAGTCCTTAGCCGAGAGGACGGCTCCGTTAACCGAATAGTTGCCGGTGAGAATGTCCGAGTCTCTGATTTCGGTGTGACTTGGGACCAAGTACCTTTCGTCAATCGTGTTCCAGGAGAAGAGGGGGACACGGAAGGCGTCGAGGGCGACGGAGCGGTCAGACACGTTTAACTCGCGAAATGGTGGAGGCGGGGAAAATTGTGTGGCAGGCTTATCTGTGATAAGGTTCAATTGGGTGCGAACGGCTGAGGGTAGGTAGATGTAGAGGGGAAGGGCATGTTTCTTGGCGAGGGCGTAATGACACGCGTATTCGAACAGTTGATTGCCTATGCCCCCTTTAGGAATGAGCAATACGGCGGGTGGGGTGAGTGATGGGAGTCCAAGGTATTTCCAAATCCTGAAGTATAAGTTGGGCTGGTTGGAATCTTGTAAGTTTCTGAAAATAAGCCATATTTTGTTAATGGGACTAAAAACAATTTTAGTATCAAGTATTAATTAGTGCAGAATTAAAGTAAAATGTTGGCTTAACAACTTTACTGGACTGGTTTTTAGGATAATTATTTGTACATATTTTGTATTTACATCTCTGTGATGAGGATAAATAAGATCATCAGAATGACGAGGACGACGAGGACAAAGTATCGTCGACGATTTCTTACAATCATATTATTTGTTTTAAAAAGATGTATGTATTTCATTTCTAGTTAATTTCCCAGAATTAAACAAGGTTAATTAAATAATTTAATTTAAATTTGCGCCATAATAGTGAATAGACTATTCAGAATACGTAAATACGTTAAGTGTATTTACTTTTTCAGGCGACCACAGTCGATGTGCCATTTTGGCACAATTTAATTTCTATGCTAGATACTGTATGCTGCAGTGTAAGTTGGGTTGTCCAATAATTACGTAAGCAAATAATCCCGATTTTTCAATTTATCTCCATATTATTCATCTCATTTTTAAAACTTAACACTGTAAAATAACAATAATAGTCACCAATAATTCTTGCATTTTACTGAATCATTATATAAGAAATTAGGTTACATTCATAATTTTAAAAAAACATGTTACTACTGCAGCATAATTTTAATTTTTTGATGACGATGAGGAATAGTTTTTGTGGGTAAAATGTGTAAACATGCAAGTGCAGTGTGAAATGAAACATTATATCCTATGAAAGATAACAAAACAATTTTTCCCGAATACATAAAATCAAAACCTCGTTTTGTCATTCAAAATTACAAGCTCATTTTACACAGCTTTGAAAATTACTCCAAATCCACTACAGGCCAAAAACTTTCCTCGCTATTTAATTCTTGCTTCACACGAACGATATCTTGCCCTGTCCATGGATGAGATTGACGCACGTGCTCCTTGATTTCGGGTGTGGATGACTTCCAAACCACGCAATGGTCACATTTGACCCATGTGCATTTTCCCATAGAAAGCTCGGGATGTGCACTATTTAAAAGAATAAGGCATATTAATTATGTAGGTCACTTACTTATGTAAGTAAGGTTTTGATAATTACATGAATGAATTGTTTTCCCTTACTTTTCGAAATGCTTGTCCAAATTGGTCTTAAATTTAAAGGAGCCCCCACATCCAAGACATGCAAACCCGAGACCGTGCGTGGCCTCGTGCTTGGTCAGTTCGTGAGAAAATGTGAACTCTTCAATACAGGCGGAGCAGTGATAGAGTTCCACATCAAGGGTCAAAATTATCGGTACTGGTGGAGATTCTTCGAGTGGCTCATTTTTTACTACGTGAGCAAGACAGAAGTGTAACGAAAGGTCTTTCGCTGTGTAGAGGAATGTCCCACACTGGTCACACTTGAAAGAAGAGGATGATAAGTTTGCAATTGTCTCGTCGTTTCCGGATGGAGAGGATGTAGGCGTTATAACTTTAGTCGTAGCAATGGTTGTGCTGCTGTTGACGTTATTAGTTTCCGGGGGGACGTTTTCCTCCAATTTTTGATTATTGGTCATGTCACCGCCAACTTGAACCTGGGAGGAAAGGAGTTCCTCCAATTCGTCCTCGATCGATGGAGAGACAATTATATTTTCAGAATTAGTATTGCCTGGTGAAGCTGCCTTCGGTGTCGATTGTCTGGGTGATGGCGTCGGCGCTATTGACCATTGTTGACCACGTGACCCCACTGCCCCATGCGGTCTAGTGACCTTCCCCGCATCAGCCGCATTCAGTTCCCCCTCCTTCCGTTTACTACCCGCCTGCTCACCGTGCTTTAGAATAAAGTGACGGTGAAGAATAAATCCTGTTTTGCATTGCCTGGGGCATAGGGGGCATTGCAAAGTGTTCGTGTGGACGCGAGCCTGTAGATTATTTTAAGAAATTGCATCTTAATATAAAACTAGTTACTTTTTTACGCCATCACCTTACATATATACTCTACCTGATGAGTTTTGGCCGATTCCGTCGTCGTAAACTTGGTAAGAGGTGGCATTTTGCGAGCGATAGACTTTTGGGGTGGGCCAGATCGTGACGCTGTAAATGAAGAGTTTGACGAAGAAGGGATTAATGGCCCAGAATTTCGTTCAGTGGGACGTTTCTTTCTACCGTTTTGCCCTGCGTTGACTTCCACAGGTTGAAAAGATTTATCTCTGTTGGTTAATTAAAACATGCTCAATTAAAAAATGCCTGCTGCCCACTTTTTAAATCTCATAAAATCTATCGCTAACATCAGAACTAGTGGCACTTCCGGTGTCAGTTGCGGCATCTTCCTCTTTTGGACTGACGATGCTGCTTTTGCACGCTTCGCACTGGGAAATAGATAAACCGGTGAGTCCGGTCTACAATTAAGTAACACGATTAAAAAGCGAACCAAATTGTACAACGGGTATTAAAATTTGAAGTTATACCGTACCGATCATCATCGTCGTCTTCGCCATTATTCATCCGATTATAGTCAATTTCGTCCTCTACGTTAAAAACTGGAAGTTCATCCCACAAATTTTTCTCACCAAAGTTTTGTACGGTTTTTGTGGCATTCAATATCCCATTTTTCTTGTGGGGTATTACGGCGTGAATTTCTGGCGTATATTGGGTTACGGGGTCAATTTGGCTATCCGGATTGACGTCAGAGACTTTGTTACTTGCTTGGATTGGTATGTATATGTTATCGCCTTGGTTTACTGCATCGCTTCCAAGTGCATTTTTGTTTTCAGGTAGAAATCGGTTGGTACGAGTCTTTGCATTAGTTTTCTTTGGGGCAGTGAAACTACGATGTTTACGGGGAAGCTTATTTGTCACTTTATCGAAGACATTCTCAACTAAAATCTTGCTCTTCGTGACGACAGGTGTAACTTCATTCTCTGTCAATTTCCTAATCTTGACAAAGCAGTCATGCCCATCGTTAGTTGGCAGTTCGTTTTTTCTTGCAACGTTTATCGTTTCGCTGCTCATTTCTTGCACGGATGAGGAGTTTCCTTGACCCTAAAATTTGAATTTGCATGAATATTTTCATACGATTTACATATTTACTAAATGCCATAATTTTTCCAAAGTTACGTCACTCTGAGGTTATACTACATTGGTACATAAATATTTCTCATCGAAGGGTAGCAATAATTTCTAGGAGATTCAAAAATGTTGCCGCGTTTTAATCAATCTCTAACCGCTAGGTATCAAATTTGAGTTTCACATAAATTATTGTTACCTTTCGGCGGCAAATCTTTATCAACGTTGGTGCAACCTTCATTGTAGTGACATTTTGTTAACTTATTTTGAGTATAGTACTAATCTGAAGGTTTGTACAGAACGTAATGAAAGCCTTACTTTTTCCCAGTAACTTAGACGGAAACTTAACAAAAACGGTAGCATTTTTGTTTAATTCGATTTACTGGAAATTTAGTAAGCCTCATGGAAAATAAAACCACAATAAGTTACGTATGTATCTCTCATTAAAGATTCTCATGAATGCACCACCCTAAATTCTAAAAATTCTAATTTATTAACCATTTTCGACTTTGCCCTCGTTCCATACGTGGTTCGTCCAAAGGTGGAAAACTTAAGCGTTGCAGGGGTTTCGTCATTAGGGATGGCGTTCTTCTTCTCCGTGGTCTTAGCCTCGCCTCTTCTTTTAGGTTTACTGTCCTTACGTGTTGGGCAAATTGTGCCTTCCCGATTAACCTTGACTTTACTCGTATTTTTGCTTTGGACCTCAGGGCCGTCCGATTTTTTCCATTCTTTCTGTGCAGTAATTCTAAAACAAATCCAGGTATCACATAAGTAAAGTTTTTCTATGTAAATTATTTACTTTATCCAAAAATTACTCACCCTTGCTTCCTCTTACGCTTCCCATGCCAGTGGGCAAGATGGGCCAAAATCGCAAGTTTAGTTGGAACCATATCTCCGCATAAATTACAACAGTAACTTCCAGCCATACTTCTTGTACAAATTCCAAACAAACTATTTAACAGGTATTTTCAACAAAAAGTCAACGCTTCTTAAAAATGTTTTATGTACATAAATTAGTACTCAAATGAATAATAATTTTAATCACGTTTAATTTTACATACGAGTCCTTAACTGAATCACTAAAATTTCAAAAATCGATACGCGTTCCTCGTTACACAATAATTCGTCAAAACAATTTAAACTTCCTGTTTATGATTTCCCTTAGGAAGAAGGCAGATATATAAACATATTTGTTAACGTGGATGAAAGGCAAAAAAATCTACCTACATGATTTGTACATATACAACTACGTGTTTAATGTAGATCGAAAGAATGAACGAGAAAGGTTGAGTTGCATTTCAATAGCTTACGTATGCATTGCGCTATAAGGAGAATGCCATTTTATCACCAAAGTCCGACTGTGTATATATGCATGCATATTATTTAAGACTGGTCAGAAGAGCATGCTTACACAGATATGAATTTTACCGCATTGTTTACTTGGAGGAATCCATCGTAGAAATATTTTTTTGGTGGGAAGTTTGCATACTGTAGCGTCGCGTCAGGTTTGTATGAGTTTGCAGCATGATAATTATTGCAGGATTGTACATATGTACATTTGTACATATCTTTAGAGAATGGTTCTTCTGGATGAGCGATAAGTTGGTAGATATGGATGACACGTTACACAAAATGAGGATAAGCTGCCAATAGTCGATAAGAACGCATAAAAATACATACATAATGAATGAAATTGAAGAAACAATCTTGTATCTTGAACGGGATAATGACTTGTACACTAAATTATCTCAGGAAAACGGTTAATTAATTATGAATAATTCATAAAGCATTCCTTAATTAATTACATATGTATTTATCTACAATATTTAGCTTGCATATCATGTTTAAAGAATGAAAATTGCATACAAATGCATATGCACATCACGCAAAGAGGACTGACAATGAGTAGGGACTATTTAACATAATTGTGAGACAACGACAATTTAATAGTAGGAAAGTCCAATATTTTTGTGGGGTCAATGTAAATATTCGCATATCTAATTCACTGAAGAATACCCTCGGAAGGATTTACAGCTTTCCCGCCCCAGCCCCCGCTAAAACCGTTTCCCTCACAATATCCACCGTATCAATAAATTCATGCAAAACCGGCGTCCATCCCACATCCCCATTCAACCCGGCAGCCTGCCCCACCTCAACTCGCGCCCCGTTCAGCACCGTTCCCCTGTCCAGTAAGGCGTCCCCATTGGCCACACTGACCACCCGACTTGTCGCCAACCCAGCCACATCGATGACGTTATTTTCCGCAAAAATTTTCGACCTGTACCCCACCCCCCAGGAGTAGCTGTACCTGTAATCCTCCCCAGAACTCGTGCTCCCCTCGTAGTAATTGTTATAAATATGAATTTCCCCAAATCTGGCGCGTGGGGCGCGTTGCATCACATTCTTAAAATAGTTATGATGTAGGGTAACTTTCAAATTTCCCTCGTCCCCCGTTGCCCCATCACTCCCGCCTATAATCATTGTTTTATCATGCGTGTGGAAATAGTTGTACGATATGGTCACATAATTCGCCGCGTCGTTAATGTCCAGCAGACCGTCGTGGTGTTGATACGGGCGGTCGTAGTAGGAGGGGAAATTTGCGTCAATATTGTCCCCATCGGAGAATGTGCAGTGATCGATCCAAACGTGGGAGCCGCCCTTGATCGTAATCGCGTCGTAGATGGAATTCCAATTGCCGAGGGAACCATCGGTCGGATCCCATTTGGGAAAATAGTCGAACGCATCGACAAACTCGATGTTGCGAATTATGACGTTATCCGACGCGATGATAAGGCTGGACTGGAGGAATTTGGCCGGGATGGTGTTAGGAACGCCGACAATGGTCGTGTTGGGGGGAATGTTGAGTAGGACGCGGGCATTTTGACGGGTCCGGGAGCGTTGGCGGGCGGATTCTTGTTCCCCAGTGGGCACCCGGTCACGCCCCCAAGTGTCTGGATGGTATGCTTCGAGGAACAGGGTGAAATTGTAGATGGGGTCGGAATATTGGGCAAGGCCGAGCGGGTTGTTATCGTCATCCACATTGAAGGGGATGGAGCCAAGGATGTAGAGAATTTTTGGGCGGGAACCGGATCTGGTTAAGGCGGAGACAAATTCGTAACGGGTGGTGATGTTGTAGTAAATGTCGTCCGGGAGGGCGGACGAGCCGCCGGTGGTGCCCGTAGTGGCGGCACCCCATCCGTTAATTGCGCCAAGGGTTTCGGTTCCAATATCACCTTCTGTAGGGCATGAATAAATAAATTGTAATTTAATAGTGAGATGAATTAACTAATTACGTGGGAAACTTACGAGCTGATGTGCAACAAATTAAGCCAAATATTAATACGGGGTAAGGCCACATGGCGAAAAGTATATTATTATGTTTAAGTGACAACAGTGACAAGAATGGTGACCGGGCGTTGCAAAATAGGAATGGAATTGGTCATGAAGTTTGCAGCAGTACTTTTATATATCCGTTGGCCATTGCTTATCAGCGAATTCCAACTCAACCGACTGTGATTGATTGAATTAGAGTCGCAAGTTCGTTGTAAATGTTCATGGTTTTATTTTAGACTCTGGCCCAAAAGTTGGTGTCGTGTGAACTTTTGCGGTAATCCAGATGTCAGATAGTGGGTGTGCTGATCAATTGGTTTGACTGACGTATTCTTTCCTGAAGAGATGCATGTATGTTTGTATTTATGAGTATTTATGACACATACAAACAATCATAAACTTTCTCATCGTGTGCAAGAAACATTCCAGAACTTTTGACTAGATAAATAAATATTCAGCAAGTACATATGTACATTTATGTACATAAGCCAACCATGCTATATACTTATGTATGTATAAGTAATACATGTAGTATATAAATAATACAGGGTAATAATTGGTAAAATGTGCTAGTGAGTATAATAAGGACTCCTTATTAAGGAGTAAGGAATGGGATGAGACTCACTGTAAACTGTAGAATCCGGATTTTAGGGCCAATGGTCAAATTGACCATTGGCAACCATTCCTTACCCCCTATAAATAATGCAGGTATTACTTCAAGCCAAATTAACCAGACCAAACCGACTATAGACCAAATTTTAGACAAAATAGACTAAATTTGACTAAATTTGATTTAACGTAATTCTTCGATGACGGTTATAGTTCCTACTTCGTCCAAGTGTCGAAAAAACCAAGGAGGTAGAATGCAAAATAAATATCTAACTTTTATTGTAAGCAAAAAGTTTGGCCTAAAATGAAGTATTACTTATTCCAAAAGATTAATACCTACATACACAATTTTGCCATGTAAATTAAATCTAATTTTTCTTATCCAGAATTAAATACGAACCATTTTACATTTTACATGGCTAAGAAAATTAATCCAGATCCATAACAGGCCAACAACTTTCTTCTTGTAACTCTTGCTTCACGCGCACGATGTCTTGGATATCATGAAATGCATGAGATTGGTGCAAGTGCTCCTTGACTTCGGGTGTGGATGACTTCCAAACCACACAATGGTCACATGACCCATGACACGTTGACCCATGTACATGTTCGCATTGAAAGCTCGGGGTGTGCCCTAAACGAATATTTGTAAGAATATTATGTAGCTCACTTAAGTAAGGTTTTGATAATTATATGAATGATTTTTCCCCTTACCTTTCGAAATGCTTGTCCAAATTGGTCTTAAATTTGAAGGAGCCCCCACATCCAAGACATGCAAACCCGAGACCGTGCGTGGTCTCGTGCTTGGTCAGTTCGTGAGAAAAGGCGAACCCTTCAATGCATGCGGAACAGTGATACAGGAGCTGAGGAACTGATATCTTCACCTCAACCGGACTGGAGGTGGTGGTCCTGTCGCTACTGTTGCTCTGTGTGGGAACGTTATCCTCCAATTTTTGATTATTTGTCATGTCGTCGCTAACTTTAGCCTGAGAAGAAAGAAGTTCCTCCAATTCGTCCTCGATCGATGTGGAGACAATTATCTTTTCCGAATTAGTATTTCGTGGTCCAGGTGCCTGCAGTGGTAATGCTCTGGGTGGTGGTACCGGCACTGTTGGCCGGCGTTGTTCACCAAATGACCCCGCTGTGCCATTAGGTCCAGTGACCTTACTCGCATCCAGTCCCCCCTTCTTATTGTCACCGTGATTTTTGACAAAGTGATGATGCATGATAACTCCAGTTTTGCACTGCTTGGGAACGAGGGGGCATTGTAAAGTGTTCGTGTGGACGCGAGCCTGTAAATAATTTTAAGAAGTTAGGTCTTATTATGAAAATAGTTCTTACTTTTTCTCTAAATAAGTATACTCTACCTGATGAGTTTTGAACAATTCGGTCGTCGTAAACTCGGCAAATGTTGTGCGAACGGTCGACTTCTGGGGTGGGCCAGGTCGTGACGCCATAAATGTAGACTTTGACGAAGAGAGGCTTAATGGTTCGGAATTTCGCACCGTGGGCCGTTCTTTTCTACCGTTGCGCCCAGTGTTGACTTTTACAGGTTGGAAAGATTTATTTCTGTTGGTTAATTAAAACATGCTCAATTAAAAAATGCCTGTTTCCCAATTTTTAAATCTCATAAAATCTATTACTAACATCAGAACTAATGGCACTTCCGGTGTTAACCCAGCAAACGATATGTTCATCATATGACTATCGTGTGAGATGATCAAGATGATGAACTCCAGATTATCCAAATGTCCGATTATTCATATCATATGATGGGCTATACGACGATCTTGTGATGAACTTCCGGATGATCATAACGATAATCATGAAGATTTTCGAAATGATGGTCGACAGATGACCATAATGATAATCATGAAGATGATCGTGATGATGGTCGATGGATGATCAACTGGTTTGTATGAATTAATTGTACACTGATTGCAAACTCAATAATTTAATAATTAATTGTTCATTAATTATTTACATCCCAAATTGTTTAACGATTTAGTCTACAATATATTAACGATTCTATTAATTTCGATAAGGTGATAACATTTTGATAAGCTCAATAAAATTTTTGAGGGATTGTCAAATAGTCATAGGCACCACGTGTAGGAAATATTGAGTTGTCAAGGAATTCAATGCTACATGCACACAATCTGTTCAAATTCAATCATTCTTTGCAATCCCCTTAGTTCTGTCGCTTTTATGATCCCACCAAGTTTTTATTTTCTCTCTTATAGTGAAAATGTCGGCGCTGGGATGTTTTAGTAGAACAGCATCTAATTAATGTAGGAATTAAAAAGAAACAATGAGTGACTGCAATCCATCTTCAAAAATCAAAGTAGCCCCATACCCATTACCTTTGACCACCATGTATGATTCAGTCACTTCGAAGCGAATAGTATCTGGATTCTTGGTAGTACTCTTACTGCTGAACACGAAGTGAGGTTGTACTTGAACTGAAAACATCGCCTTCAACAACTTGGGAATCATTCCCTCCACGTTTTTGTGAATAAACTTTTCTTCTGCAATGATGGCCTTCAACTGTAACATGAGAAGAATTTTTACTTGTAACACGTAGTTGGGAGAACGGAGACAATCACATACCATGGATTTATATTTCCCTTTCTTGGAGGATCCGGATCCCTCCAACTGCACTTCTTCCTCCCGTCTAGAGAACAGGGCTGCCTCCAGAGTAGTGAAGGCATCTTTGTCCATTACAGGCCACTGTCGCAAAATATCATCTGCTTCCTCGGAAGTTCCGCCGGAAACCTCATTCTCACACAATGGTTGGGAAGAGTATGTTCCCTTCAACTGTAGAACAGCCTTCATTAAGATGCGATCTAAAATAATAGAGCTAGTTATTATTATGTAAATAACTAATTTATAAAATGAGAAAAAAGGGGACAACTTACGGCATTTCAGAAAATCCCTTCCTGTTATAGGCTTGTCCAAGTCTACACCTGGATACAGTTTCCTTAGGATTTCATCCTCATCCTTCATCTTCCTTCTTTTGGGGTGGAGGCGAGTGGGGTTGATGGCGGAGGTAGCAGTGGGGAAGCACTAGGTGTAGAGTTGGTGTTGTTGAGGGATTGTTGTAGGGAGGTAAGGGCATTCTGATTGGATTGAAGGACACTATCGTCCAAGTCATCATCGGACTCTAAGTCGGTACCCTTGTGATGGGGAGGGCTGCCATCCTCTGAGTCTGAAATGGTAGGGCTATGAAGGTCCTCAACTCTACAAAGGCTGGGACCAGAACGCCTCTTCCTTCTTGGAGGCCATGCTACTTTCCTTGATGCTTCCTCGGCTCTTAGGGCTCGAAATTTCCTTGTCTCCTTTGGCGGTGGTTCGTCGTCAGCAGATTTGGCAGCCTCAGCAATGCTTTCCCCTTTACGCTCTGCTTCCTGGCAGGCCCGAAGTATCTTCTCAGCAGTTGCATAAGTTTCTGAAATTTACAATAACTTGTCACATCTAAATTGAAATTTATCACATCCACAATAATCACCACCTACCTTTTCTCTTCACAAAGCAACAATTATATTCTTCCCATGTAGAGTCCGGGATCTCCTTTTTTCGGTAGAGTTCCCTCAATTTCGTATTAGACCAAGGGCCAGAGGTAGTCGGCCATTTGAAGACATAACTGTTGAATACCGCCTCCTTCACCTCACCATTGTCGTGGTAAAGAGGATTACCTTTGTCGTCACATAGCACTTTTTTTGTCTCTTCCTTTCTTATCCAGAGGTCCAAAACAATAAGAAACTCCTTCTGTATTTTGTCCTCATCCAGATAGTGATATACAACATTGAAACCCATTATCCGTATCCGACTTTTTTCTGATGATTGTTAATGACAACGCACACAGCACTTTACTTAAAAAACAATTATTTACCAATTGCAATAGTTTCCTAATCTTTTATATCAACTCCTACCTACTTGGAATAATTTAATCAATTTATTAACGTGAGAGGTTTTGAGGAATTTTTAGAAATAATTAAATTGTTATTTGGAAGGAGGGACGAGAGCTTTTGAGGAGAAGAAGGAGAAGAAAGAAAAGAAAGAGCGGACCATTTCCCACCAAACAAGCCCTCCATTCCTCATCAGCCTCAAATCTCATCTTGTACTACAAAGCGGAACCAGATGAAGAATGTGATCATTGTCTCTTGTGTTGTCCTTGTCTTCTTCGTCTGGAATGACACACATTTTCGCACTGATTTCACTTATCGTAGATTCTCTGATATCCAATTCCAATTCAGTTGCTTTATATATCCCTAATTGCTTGGAGTCAATCGGATATTTGAAAGCACTTTCTAACACCGCAAAGCAATACCCTCCGAGCAGAATTGTTCCATCCTGTCTTCTGAAGTATTCCACAGACATAGCACATCCATCCGATAAGAGTACAATATTATTCCCATCCTTTAAGCAATCAATAGTGAATATGTTTGTCTCCAGTCGGGAAAACTTTCCCGGATCGGTAACAATGGGATTGAGTAGGGCCTCCTTTCTTTCTCTGCTTTGGGCCAACTTGTCAGTGTTATCCATTTTGGCAAGAAGTGAAATGACAACTTGCATGAGTGGCTGATTTGGCTTCTTTAACATTCTCTTCAGCTTTCCCAAGAATGACTCAAACACAAAAGCACTGAAATCGTTAATTGTTCCCCATTTATTTACGTCATCCCATAGATGGACAAGGTTGTGGACATTGTAAACAGCATATTCCCTTCCATATATTGTCATTCCTTCAACAACAAATTTGTATAGGAAGTAGTTTGCTTGATTACCGAATTTTGATATGAGTTCAGGGCAGCTAAAGATGTAACAGGCAACGTGCATATGAAGGAAATGTTGATATTGATCGTCGGAAGTTACGTTTTTAAGAAGATGAAAGCAGTAGTAGATGAGAATGTGCTTATACTCCTGACCCTTAAACTGCTTAAGGAATTGGATGGCCCTCGGCTTCCTATTGAACTCCAGGGGGGCAAATTTTGCATAGCTTTGCATTCTTTCACTCATCTTCTTTATAAGAGGAGGGCGGAGGCGGAACTTTCCCTTTCGTTGTACACACCACATGTAAAGGTTCCTTCTCATAACACCTAAGTAAAGTTGGTGCAAAGGATCGTGGGGAAAGGAGTAAATCATATCCAAGCCCGGAACATTTTCTAGAGGACTTCGCTCAGCCTTATGGTGTTCTGGATAGTGCCGATGGCGAAATGATGAGTCTGTTCTAAGGGTACTTTTCACCAAAGGGAAAACCACCGATTTTACATATTCTCCTTTCTGTACACAGTAATCGCAGCCATAATACCCACTGTACTGCACAACACACTTTAAGAATGCCTTGGCAGGGGCGTCAGCAAGTATTGGCCCCATATTTAGCTTGATTGGTTGCATACCAATCATACAAAATGTTTCAGACGTTAACTGGTTAATTTCTTCCACAAACTTTGAGAGGAATGGCTTAACGTCTGGCTTTCCACGGCCACACCAGATCCCAATTGGAAACACGGATGTGTGAGGGACGTTGCATTTTCCCAGAATGCACCAAAATTCTGTTGTGTCACTTTTAAATAGAGGGATGCCATCCACATTGACAGTTAACACAAGATCCTGAATTATACAGTCCTGGACAGAGTTGATCTCATACATTATCATTTTCCGAACCCCAAAATAGAAGAATTCTCCATTTGAAAAGCTTTCCAAATCTACTGCCCTTCTATTTATATGCAGTAATGAGTCAGGAGTACTCGGAAGCCCGTCAATACCCGCATTCTTGAGTTCCAGCAGAAGTAATCTTAATTTGTTTCCCCGTTCCCCTGTTACTACAGCCCAGTTGGACAAAGCTTTCCTGATCTTATCAACATCTCTTTCCTGAATATTGGATTTATTGGAGTTGCATATTTGGAGAGGATTTCCTATTTCTGTGATTTTATTGTTATTTGTATTATCACTTTCACTGTCAGACTCGCTTTCACTAAACAGATACGCATCCCAGGTCTCGGAATCTTCAGAGTCACTTATCGATGAACAACTTTCACACGTAGATGAATCCTTTCCCTCATTAATATTCACAATTAATTCTTTATCTGAACTGGATGACGGAGGTTCGGGAACAAATGAACTGGAAAATTCACCAGAAATAAGCTCTTCCATCTCCATATTCACTCTTCTTAGCTTTTGTCGCCCTGATAGTGAATGAATGGCTCTTTTTCTATCCATTGTAAAAAATATGGTAGTTAATTTCGCTAATTGCAACAGGAACTGTTAAAGTCTTATCTCTATCACACAGTATGAGTGAGTTACAGGTGATGAGATGTTGTCATCATAAACCTATCAACTTATGATCATCGAATGATCATCATAGAGAAGTGAACCTGGAGCAGGATAGGCATCTTACATATGATGGTCTTATGATCGCCATAAGATCTATTGCTAAGATTATGATGAGTCCACGATGGATCGATGATCATGTGGCAATCTACAGATAATCATATGATGTGATGTCGTTTGCTGGGAATCGTGGCATCTTCCTGACTTGTTCCTTTTGGACGGACGGGGCTGATTTTACACTCGCCCGGTGATCTACCTATTCATGTACATGCAAGTACATGTAATTTGTACAAATTTCGTTTGTTTTCATTCATTTAGAAAACATTCTTTGCACGCCATAATCAAGGTAATATAAATCAATTCTTAAAAAAAAGCTTAGGTGAGGCTTGCTTAAAAGGGGAAAACAAGCTACTATCATCGTGTACTAAAATAATGTGGTGCATCAGTGTTTATCCCAGAATTATAATTTTCGGTAAATATCCCAACAAATAATATGCATTAGGGACCATTTGCCTCACCGGGGGCCGTGTTGTAATACAAACAATTGAAACAAATTTTTAATTTCATTAATGTGGTAATTGGGGTCGAGTAATCTAATTTGTTGCTTATTTAATATATTCCTGTGCGTTCCTAATTTTGAGTAACTTGCTCTGATCATTGAGTAAGACTCATCGAATTTCTTTATCTATGTATAATCGATTAATGGTCAAACTTATAACACTGAATTTCAAGAATTTTGTCCATCATCAATAAATTTGTGAAATATATCCATGCTGGTCATCAAAGATAATATTATAATCAAATAGTGACGGAGTTTAATTGTAAATTTTTCATATCAATACATGATATCAATATATATGTCAAGAATGTATATTTGTATCAACCAATTGATCACGGCCCCCGGTGAGGCAAATGGTCCCTAATGCATACGTATTATTTGTTGGGATATTTACCGAAAATTATAATTCTGGGATAAACACTGATGCACCACATTATTTTAGTACACGATGATAGTAGCTTGTTTTCCCCTTTTAAGCAAGCCTCACCTAAGCTTTTTTTAAGAATTAATTTATTTTATTTTTTTAAGCCTACAAATAACCTAGAGTCCAAAATTACCTATCCCCCTAGAGTGTAGATGCATACTAAATTAATTCCAACGTGTGGGTGCGTTGCATGCCAGATTAATTTCCCTAAATGTGAATTCATACACTTTAAAAATCTGGTGTAGTGACGCCAGTATTGATTTTTTAGTATTAAAGTTACTACCGTTTGGCATTAAAATTATAAAATTATACCGGTCCGTAAAATTTTGCTACCAAGCTATTACTACAATTTATTGCTTATCATTTATCAATACCAGTTTTATTGAGTAGTGTGTGAATACCGTTTGGTATTATTTTAATACTGGATTTCCAATATTGTACCAAAGTAGTTTCTCCTGCGGGTGTGGACTCATATAGTTAAAAATATGCATTAATATAAGATACACTCTTAAAAAAATCAATAACCGTTGGTATTGATATGTGACTCTACCGCGTGGTATTGATCCGGCATTGAATTAATACTACGTGGTAAAAAAATTAATACCAATTAGTATTAAAATTATTACCATGGGGTATAACTTCAATACCGGGTCTATACCAATATGGTATAACTGTTTAATACCAAGGCGGTAGAGTCAAGTATCAATACCGTTAGGTTTTTTCAATACCAAGTTTCTAAGAGTGTATACACTGTTAGAAATCTGGTATTAAAATTATACTGATCCGTAATAATTTGCTACCGATACTTACTACGCAGTATTACGTATCAATACCACTGGTAGATTCATATATGAATACTGCTTGGTATATATTATTTTAATACTGGATTTCTAAGATTGTACATGCAGTTGCACATATTTACATACGTTAGCACAAGTCTCAATAATTTCTCGTATGCTGGTTACTAATGGAGACCTCGTATTTAGGTATGCATGATAAGTAATGGAGGACTGTTATAAGTAACGTAACTGGTTGCAGATGCCACCAAGAAAAGTCCTTCATTTCTTATCCGATTTCGCTCGGGTTTGTTTTAAATGACGCGTTATAGATTTCTGCATATGAAAATTAAGGTCACGCACTATCATTGCATGGTAAAAGTGAATTTGCCAGTCATTTGAAAGTTTAAAATCGATTTTAAATGCGTTGAAATAAGATTGTCATATCTCTAGACCTGACGGGCATCATCTACCCGGCAAGGTCTGCACGATTGCCTTTTACACCATTTTGGTACGATTAGCCGTTTTGCCGCAATCTTTGGCAGAATATTTGGAGGGGGGGTCTGTTTGCATGCTAAGGCTTCGCCGTAACCATGCAATTTTTTATGTGGTCATGGTTACTATGCCTCACCTAAGAAAAATGCCCTTAATTCTACTATAAAGTACTAACCATTTTTGAGTTTGCCCTCGTTTCATACACGCTTGGTCCAAAGGTGGAAAGCTTGAGAGTTGTGGACGTTTCGTTATCGGCGACGGCATTCCTCTTCTTCGCCGTCTTTTTATCGATAACCTCGCGACTTCTTTTAGGCTTACCGTTCGTTGTTTTTCGGCAAATTGTACCTTTCCGATTCGCCTTGGCTCTACTTTTATGTTTCATTTCGAGCTTAGAGCTCCCACATTTCCCCCATTCTTCTTTCTCTGCATTAATCCTATAAGAAATCGAATCATCGAATAATAAAGTTTTTCTTTGTAACAACCTCCTTAAAAAATTAATTACTCACTCTTGTTTTCTTTTAAGCTTCCCATTGCATTGGGCTAAAATGGCATGTTTACTTGGAGCCATATCACTGCATAAGTTATAAAACAGTAATTTTATTACTCTTACACCCACATATATTACTTGTGCTTTCTCATACAAATTCAATTTCAAGTATAAAATTGCAAACGAGAAGTTAAGTTTGTCTGATTATAATTGTATTTGTAGAGCAAACAGACCATTACTAACAAACTAATTATTTAGCAAATATTTTCAATAAATATTTAACGTCTCTTAAAACATATCGTATGTATGTACTTAAATTAAATTTACATATGTGCAAATAGCACGCAAAGTTGAAAGTGTGGAAAGAATCATTTTTCTTAAGACATTATGCTCTTTAAACATGTATTACATTACATGTACATATCTATTACATTACACGTAGACTCGCTCAACTGCTTGGGATGAAATAAAACTTACCTTTCTACATATACGCGTGTTCAATTGAATGATGCAATTCGAATCACTATAACTTGCAAAGATCACTACTATGCCTCCCTTATTACGCAATAAGTCTCTTAGAGCAATTGTAATTTCGTATTTATAATTTCACTCGCAAACAAAGCACCTAATACATGAATAAGAATAGAGAATATCTATATTTTTCAGGAGTGGTATGGTCAGAGCATGCCTTGTCTTGTCTTGAATCTGCAGCTCTCAACAGAAAAGGAGTCAGAGCACGAACACGTCCAACTTTACATTTGTATATTAAGATATCATCGAATTTAAATGAATCAGTTCATACCAGTATGTACATATGTATGTGTGTGTATGAACTTAATTGTACGCTGAAATCATGCTGCATACAAGTAACTTAAATTTGAATTTTTGCAAATGTATCAAGTATGTATGTATGTGACGGATTTAACTCCGAAATTGCCAAGAATAAGCATAACTTAAAATTATTTTCGCAAAAAAAACACTCTTAGGTGAGCCGATGTGGCGCGAATAAAAAAATAAAACAAGAAATTGATTATTTCTTTAGCATGCCAAGGATTGGATGACATGTGGATAATTTACATGTACAATAATAATTGTGGTATTTACATTATTCACATTTCCTCACCGTGGGCCCAACATTACAAAATTACAAAGTACTTATTCGATTCGATGTGTTTTAAGACATGCGAATTATTTGAACATTATTTTACGAATCTAATATACATATTTAATGTAATGTGTTAATTTTTGGCATTCACTCTGTACAGCTACCATTCGCAGTTTGTAATGATCCCATCCCTCCCAATACATGCAACTTGTCATTTCGGCTAAACTTAAGTATTCGTGATATGCCACGAAATCCGTAATAAATGATCACTATTTTTAATAACCACATTGCCGTGATTTTATGGTATAGTAACTCGAAATTTGTCTAGCTTTATGGGCCCACGGTGAGGAAATGTGAATAATGTAAATACCACAATTATTATTGTACAGGTAAATTATCCACATGTCATCCAATCCTTGGCATGCTAAAGAAATAATCAATTTCTTTTATTTTTTATTCGCGCCACATCGGCTCACCTAAGAGTGTTTTTTTGCGAAAATAATTTATTTTGTAGTTTTTAAATGTTAGTATTTTACATGAATATGTGTACCAAATTGAATTTATTTGATGAAAAGTTTGTGGGTAACTCCATATGGTCGTTTCAATGAAAAATTTTCACATTTAAATTCCTACTATTCAATTAGGAACTAGTTGCAACCTCAATATCAAATTATGGCTCGATTTTGTGTTTAAAAAACATCAGTATTGTAGTTTGGTTCATCTATTGGTTTTTGGTTTTTGCGTTCACGAATTATCGGACCAATAGGCAGGCGGATGGACACGAAGAAGTGTAAGATGTCGACAAGGCGTCGCAGGTAAAAACGGGAATCAAATTCGTGTCCAGCGTTAAAAATCTGTTCAAATTGATACGCTAGAAGTATTTTCTCATTTTGCCCCAAACCCACAACCCCATGGCGGGAAGTGGGTGTGGCTCTTAACTGATATTGACTTATAGCTTAATATTCCTGCAAGCAGATTTCAATAATATTTAGCCATTCTAAATTTAGGTTAGTGTAAGCATTTTATCTTTGGCCACACCCCCTGGTCACACCCCTTAGCTCGTATGATAAGTACTTCTGAACGGATTCTCTGTCATGCATTACCCATGGGAACAAAATATTAAGCGGAAAAAATTGATTTGATTATTTGCCACAACCCGGGTGGGGGGGAGGGGGTGTGGTATATCAAATCGCTTAACGTAAAGAACTTATATTGTAATTAAGCAATGAGTAGGGATCAAAAAACATAGTGCAAAAAGTTAAACACTAGGGAGAATCGAACCCTCGTCACCTCGATCCACCCAACCCATTAACCCCTAGACCATCATGCAATTGCATTTATTGGGGCGTCTGTACAGCTAGTATTTGTTTATCACTCAATAATTATACAACGTTTAAAATTGCTATTTTAATCAGTCAATTAGCTTCGTACACAAATAAGTGTAACAGAAAAAAGTAAGATCTCAATATAAGCAATACAAAAAACTCCTATGTCTAATAAGAAAGTTTAAATTTTACGTTGACTTCAGCCATCTAAAGTTTTCAAACTTCGATTTGTAATAGAAAAACCAAGAAATTTCAAATTTTGAAATTTTATGACCTTGGGTCTCGGAATTCTCTAACTATTTTGTCTCTTTTTATTTTTCTCTCAGATGCATCGTTAACGAGTGAGATTTATGGGACCTTTTGAGTGGTCGGTGGAAAAGCATTCTCAGGCTACGCCGGGCCCCAACCGAGCATATTCATTTTTGCTTTTTGCGTGGGGCCCAGCTTTCCGGCGTTCGCCTCACCTAAGAAAAAAACACCCAACTATTCGGGTTTGCACTTCATGTCTGATTCGACGGAAAGGAAATATTCCTCTTCAGCCATTCCACATTAAAGGATTATGTGATTATCTTTTGTGTAGTTTGGAGGTTTTATCCCAACTCTTCAGAAACAAAGGAAATTAAATTAACTAACATTTTTATTTATATCCACAAATGGAACCGTTCATACATACATGCCAATGTACATACTTGCATCTAAATAGGTCACATTCGCCACGGCCCACTTGCACGGTTTGGATAACAAATCCCGTATTCTGCGTAAAACTTCAGACCTTTAGCCCACAAATTCTTATTTTGCCTCAATCAAATCATTTTTATCAAAATGACCACCCCACTAATGTTCAAGGCGTTGAACGCTGGTCAAAAAATGTCCGACCTCATCTCTCCTGTTCCCGTCCGGTGGGATATTTCCACGCAACGTCTTCACTACGAGGTAGGACGTGGCCAAATATTTTGGGCTGTTCAACAAATCTTCCACTTCATCATTTTCGGCCTTGGTTCGTTCATTTTTGATCTGGCATTTTTTAAACTTGGTCCAAAAACTCATCCCGTATACGTTGAGACGAGACAGTCGTCACACTTTCTGACAACTCGTCTCATTCTGAGCATGGTCTACTTCGGGGGAATTGCCTTCTTGGGGGGAATCTTCATCTGGGGCGATGACATTCTGAGCATCATCAATTCCATGATGGATCTGGAGCGACAACTTAAGAAAAGTAAGTAAGTCAGATAGAATTTTATGCTAATTTTCACACTTATCGAACTGATTTGAAAATTAGTTGGTATGTAACAAACACATCGCGCTGGTAAAAACTTGCCACCGAATAGTAACAAAAATTTGACACAATTTTACACAGATTAATTAAAATATAATACATATCTAAGAGTTTTGAACCTCCCGGAAATTATCCATACTTTACGGTGCAAATCTTTACCAATATGGTAGAGCTACAGAGTGCATGACCAGTGGTAACTGACCACCACCACCACACGCGGTGACGATTTTATTACCAACTTATTTTAAGCGCAGAGGTACCCCAACGCCCCTCAAAATTTGACCTCGTTGGTACCTTCTTCTTCATCGAGCTGGCCATGGTACCCACCATCCCACCAATCGTCGCCTTGACGACCATCCTACTCCGACAAGATCCATACCGCACGGTCCTCTACGTCCTCCTGCCTGACTGGTTCTTATCCATTTCCGGAGTGAAATTGGTCCTCTTCATCGTCAGACTAATCCTCTTAACCGGCGTTGCAATAGAAATTGCCCGAATTCTAGCCATTCTGATCCAAGCGGTCTTCCTTGGTGTCGTCATGGTAACAAATTCGCTCACCCTGCTCGACAAATTGTACGAGTCTCTCACACCCGAAGGGAAACTTGAGACGGACGAGTACATCCCGTACTATCAGCAATTGTACATCATCATATTCGTGATCAATCGGTCGGCCAGCTTCATTTTTCTACTCGCGCTGATAATCAGCGTCGTCCTGTTTGTCACATTTAGCGTCATCGTGCTCAAAATGTGGCACATTCAGTCGCTCCAGACTTACCTGATTTCCGTATTTTTCCTCGTCGGTCACATCGGAATGGCGATTACTATCCTGCCAATGGCCGCAGAACCGAACGAGGTGTCGGTGCTTCTACGGGAGAAATGGAGAAGCAGTGTGAGCAGGGTACGGGTGGGGGGCGAGGGGGTGGAGCAAAAGGAAGGTATGTTCAAAAGAGGGCAAAGGCATTGAATATATTTCCGGTTTATGGAGGATTCCAAGAATATCGGTGCTACAATTTAACGAAGAATTCGTTATTTGATTTCGCGGAGATCTCGAGAGACTATACGATCGATGCGTTGTTATCGGTTAAGGTGTAATTAAGTAATCAAGAGAATTCGGTTATGATGTAAATAATTACCTTTCAATGCAAATTTTTTTATTGGTGTCAAACATAAGAATTTTATCAACAATGCCATTCAATTTTTCTCATATTTTGGCTATCAGTTCATTGGTTAATTAAATACTTTATAAGAAAAGCAAACGTATGTATACATATGCACATATGGCTCTTATCAATATCGATTCATAGAATTAAAGAACTTTTTTTGTATGGATACATATACACGTATGTATGTACATAAATATGTAGCTTTATTATTTATGTAGGACTTCTGCTTCAATGCCCTGCGTTCGAATTCAAAGGTTCGCAAATTTAATAATACTAGCGTATAAGCCTGTCTC